CTTTCATCGTTTTTATGGGGCATGTTTTGTTGTTGAGGAATTTAACATTTAGTTGGGGGGTTTGGTCACCGCATCATTTTGGCGCTTTCGCTTGTTTGGCGCTTTCGCTATACATGTACGTTAGTATTATTTTATAAATCTTAAGTAATATAACTTACTGCTCAAAAACATTTTCTAAAGCTTTTAAAGCATCAAACTCTGCTTGTGGGTTATAGCCTAATTTATTAAGCCAAGTTTTTTTAATTCTTGCTTCTTCATTCCAAGTCAAGTGAGAAGTGATTCTCCTAAATTCTGTTGCTAGTAAAGTTGCTATAAATAAAGTACTATTTTTCTCCTCAAAATGAAGAGGAGAATAGTATTTCCTAAGCTTTAAAACTCCTTAATCTATTGCTAAGCTCATTTTAGAGCCCTATAATTAATTAGTATATTTGTTTATAAAATAAGAATGTAAAACTTACCTTTTGTACTTTACAAGTCTAAACTTTGATAAATTTGACTTATTAAAGGTAACGTAAGTCGTGGCGTAACACAGGGGATGGCGTAACGCGGTGAATTTACCCCGCTGACTTCTGATAACTGTAAATAACTCAACAATGGTTCGCCGTAAAAGCCTGGGTGTTGCTGAGCATGAAACTTTAATAGCCCAGGCAGTATTAGATGTCCAATCTAAGAAGTATAAGAGTGCATATCACGCTGAGAAAGTGCTGGGGCTGCTGAAGAGTTCAGTGACGTGACACGTCAATGGAGGTTTGACACGCTCCCAAGCCTGCCAGAAACAGCAGAATTTATCAGGCGCGCAAGAACAGATACTTCTGAAGTGGATTAAAAACCTAACAATCAGCGGCTATTCTCCGGGGCATCAGTTGTTGAAGGAAATAGCTGAAGAACTCTGGTCGCACCGGTCACTCAATTTTGACGACGCGACGCCAAGCTTACTTCTACCCCAACCACGATTTTCCCTCAGTCGCGACTGGGTACCACGATTCATACAACGACATCCCCATCTACAGGTCGCTATTGGGCGACGGATCAAAACTGTATGCATGGACGGGTGCAACAAAACCAGTGCTTACGGCATGGTTTGACGCGTACACTGAGGTGGTTCAACAGTTTGCAATCACACAAGAGAACACATATAACATGGATAAATCCAGATTTTCGATTGGGACAATGGAATCTACTCGAATTATACTTGATTCAATACTTCGTACGAAGCATCAAGCGCATCCTGGCCATCAGGAATGGGTTTTGATGGTCGAGTGCATCTGCACAGACAGAACCATCCTCCCACCCCTCAGGATCTTTAAGGGCAAGAACGTTCTCCAATCATGGATTCCGCCTGCAGTCATCAACCAGTGGTTCTTCTCTGCGAATACAAAAGGCTGGACAAGCAACCTCCATGGGTTGGAGTGGTTAAAACGCATCTTCGAGCCAACAACACGCACAAAAGCAGATGGTCAGCACCGGCTTCTTATATGCGACGGCCACGACTCACACATTAGCGGGAGTTTCATTGCACATTGCATGTAGAACCATATTGTATTACTGATACTTCCCCCTCATACATCACACTTACTACAACCACTGGATGTTGTAATATTCGGCCCGCTAAAAAAGCGTCTACAGCAGCGCTCTCCCCACTCAACCAAGTGCAACTTGCGCGCATACAGAAGTATGAATGGATGGAGGCATACATCCAGGCACGGCTTGATATATGCAACCATCAGAACATTGAGTCAGCATATCGTGATTTCCTTTTAACCCCCAGCGAACATTGCGTACGTGTCATACTGACATTCGTTGCACTCAGTTTCCTATCAAACTCAAGAGCAAACTTAGAAATCTCCTCCTCAAACCTACAAGTCACTATACATATTTTGGCTTGTCACACCAACAACAAAAGCAATACTACTCAACGATTGCTACAACCCTCTATGATTCATTACACGTCATTGCTCCTTAGTTACTGGGCCGATATGACCACATAGCATATCTCTACAACCCTCTATGATTCATTACATGACATCACTCCTTAGTTACTGGGCTAATACTACACATGACATATCTCTATCAACTAGAGGCCTAGGAACATGAACGATAGCTCCAAAAGCTTCTACAACTGTCTATGATTCATTACACGTCATTGCTCCTTAGTTAACCACAAGATTGGTTAAGTTATGACATAATCTGTCTATAGGGGTACTCTGACCTTGGACCTCCTTTCACTTCCTATAGGCTAGGAACCTAGGAGATGGTTCTATGGGATTCTCTTACGTCGACTACAGTTACCAAGCCTGGTTAGTCATGGAAAGTATTGGAAAATGAGAGAACTACACTCCTTTAGCATAAATAGGATTGCCCTTTCCTTAAGAAAGGGCAAGCAGACAATACAGTAAATCAACTATCACATACTTCCACATCTTTTCCAAGCTTCCAAGCATTGATCTTATTACTCCTTGTTTCTGAAAAGTCAGTGAGGTGCTAACCTCTGACTTATCCCTGAGTTCTCAGACTCAACATTTGTTACAACTTGTCTAAACCACTCCACTACATCATACACCTGATTGCTGCGTTGTGGAATAGTCTAAGCACGACCCTTTGGCTCTTTTTCTTAAGACAGTGTGTTGTCTTAGTAAAATCATCCCTTCCTTGGGTGGCTAGATTCTCACATCTGGTGCGACATTTGTTGCAACTTGTCTGAACCACTTCACTACATCACACACCTGATTGCTGCGTTGTGGAATAGTCTAAGCTACGACCCTTTGGCTCTGTTTTCGAAGACAGTGTGTTGTCTTAGTAAATTTATCCCTTCCTTGGGTGGCTAGATTCTCACATCTGGTGCACCCACCATTACACACCAGATGTAAGAATCTAGCCACCCAAGGAAGGGATGAATTTACTAAGACAACACACTGTCTTAGGAAACAGAGCCAAAGGGTTGTAGCTTAGACTATTCCACAACGCAGCAATCAGGTGTGTGATGTAGTGAAGTGGTTCAGACAAGTTGCAACAAATGTTGAGTCTGGGAACTCAGGGGTAAGTCAGAGGTTAATACCTCACTGACTTTTCAGAAACAAGGAGTAACAAGATCAATGCTTGGAAGCTTGGAAAAGACGTGGAAGTATGTGATAGTTGATTTACTGTATTGTCTGCTTGCCCTTTCTTAAGGAAAGGGCAATCCTATTTATGCTAAAGGAGTGTAGTTCTCTCATTTTTCAATACTTTCCATGACTAACCAGGCTTGGTAACTGTAGTCGACGTAAGAGAATCCCATAGAACCATCTCCTAGGTTCCTAGCCTATAGGAGGTGAAAGGAGGTCCAAGGTCAGAGTACCCCTATAGACAGATTATGTCATAACTTAACCAATCTTGTGGTTAACTAAGGAGCAATGACGTGTAATGAATCATAGACAGTTGTAGAAGCTTTTGGAGCTATCGTTCATGTTCCTAGGCCTCTAGTTGATAGAGATATGTCATGTGTAGTATTAGCCCAGTAACTAAGGAGTGATGTCATGTAATGAATCATAGAGGGTGTAGAGATATGCTATGTGGTAATATCAGCCCAGTAACTAAGGGGCGATGACGTGTAATGAATCATAGAGGGTTGTAGCAAACGTTGAGTAGTATTGCTCTTGTTGTTGGTGTGACAAGCCAAAATATGTATAGTGACTTGTAGGTTTGAGGAGGAGATTTCTAAGTTTGCTCTTGAGTTTGATAGGAAACTGAGTGCAACGAATGTCAGTATGACAAGAAGGCCACGCGCCGTGCAAAGTCTGGTAAGAGGATTACCAGAGGATTACCAGAACTCTCTAATAAACATATAGGCACCAAGGCTCTCCGCAATATCAGAAGACAGCAACTCGATACTAGCCTAATTATCCCAAAGCTCCCATTCCAGCGTCTTGTTAGGGAAATCACAGAAGACTTCAAGTCCAATCTTTGCTTCCAGCAATCTGCTATCCTAGCTCTTCAGGAAGCTGCTGAATGCTTTCTCATTCGAGAATTTGAGAGTATGATGTTTAAACATAGTGACAGTGTAAGGACACAGGGCACCCAGCTCACAGTAATAGCATATGAGAGTGCGAGTCGGAGGCTAAACGGATGCTATCCTATAGGTCTACTACGAAGGATACAAAAAAGATGAAGGGGGAACCCCGTTGAGTCTGTTTCCTTAACTCCCGAAACGGGCCTGACTCGGTTATCCCAACCCTAGCCCTGATCCTTCCACCGCAACAGGTCTACATCGGCCCTGAACCCTATACACTTACCGTCCCCCACTATAGTGTAACTCGCTATATGCTCCTCTACTGGTTCGAAACCCCACCGAGCCGGATTCCATGCTTGTAGTGACCGTAACAGTTCTGAGACAGGTTCTTCGAGTATCTAGGTACGGAGGCATCCTTACAGACAGGGACATACTAACACTTATAGTGACAAACCTCATCGCTATTCATGCAAAGAGAGTGACAATTCAGGCAAAGGATATGATATTGGTTCAGCGTTTGCGGGATATGATGTTTAATCATGGAGCTGTGGGCTTAATCGATGGAAATGTCTCTCATCCAGGAATGAAGGTCAGATGAGTTCTGGCAACCTTCTGGTAACCTGGTACCTAAAGGCCAAAGCTTATAGTGTGGAATAGGACATCAACAATATGGGAATGGAGTTATGGAGTTATGGCATCTTGATCAATGAAGTCGCGCCCCATTTTTAACATAAGTAATGGCTAATCAAACATGTGATATAACTGAGTTGCCAAGACCCATACTAGGTACTCAGCAAGCGAGTAATCCTCATTCAAAAATACTCGGGATATGAGTGAGTAACTCAGCTGGGTGAGTAAAAATTCTACTACTCGACTGGTGAGTACCCAGTGCGCAGCCTAGTCGTGAAGGACGAGGGGGGCCGAGGAGGGCGCAGTGCAGAATATCTCCCAAGTCCGTCACAATAGTTTCCAATGTTTCAAATGGAAGGATAGAACACATCGTACCTTAACAAGTTTCAGTTTTTTGAGTATTTTATAAAGTACCAGGCAACTAATCATAGCGGGCTTTAACGCCAGTATTACATGTTAGTGAGCGAAGTAGATATTGGGGGCTTCCAAGTTCAAGTTAAGAGCATACTGTGCAAGCCGAAGAAATACGCGGAGTCAATGTCTATCTGATCCCTAGAATGGCCGTGTATCCTATTTGGTATCCAATTCTAAACCTCAATCGCCCTCCAGAAAGCCAAGCTCTCGTTACCCTCCAAAACCGTCGCAATCGGAGTCAAAGATGCACCCAAAAGCGAGTTCATATACATCTGAGCAACCTTGATCCACATAGCCTTCTCTGCCTTGCTAGCTCCCTGGCCTCTCCAGACCCAGATAGCCTTCCCGACGTCGAGGATGTAGACATCATCGCCGTTAAGGTCGGATCTCAGGATAGCTTCTCCGTCCTTGATGAGATCAAGAGTTAATTGACCCGACGCATCGCTGAGTCGGAATAATCTAGTTGGTCGTCCAGCCTCGGTACCCTGCTTTTCCGCTGTCAAGACGGGCCTGGGGCATTGTAGCTCCTGTTGGGTAACGTCCTTGCCTCCTAACAGGCCAACCACGACTCTAGACCTTGATTCTGCCTGCGATAGAACTTCCACGTCGATGTACTTCGCGCGAGTCATATCATGCACCACCTGTGCCGCCTTCGCCTTCTCCATAGGGCTGCACTTCTTCCCCTGCCACACCCAGATCTTAATGCCCGTATCCAAGACAAACACGTCGCCCTCATCGAGACTCTCCCAGGTGGGCTGGACCTCATATACCATAATCCCGGCACCCCTCTTATTCGCTGGCGCAAAGATGCGCAAGAGCGTCTTAATCTCCTCCTTCTCAACCTGCGTCTCCACGTGACGGAAGCCTGACTTGATGCCCCCAGTCAAGATCCTAATAATAGGGAACAGAGCCAAGAAGTCCTCCGAAGGTGACGCCTGCACCTCTCTATGCTGGATCGCCGCGCCCTTCAAGAACTCATCGAGCTCGACGGTCTTGTACGCCGCTGTGCCCGCCTCATCCTGCGTCGTCTTGCTGCCCAGCCAGAAGAAGATATCGTGTCCGAGCTTCTTATTCGCATCCTTACCAACCTCGTAAGAGTGGAGAACGATATAGCTATCCCCCTCGTAAAACTGGCCATAGCGTTCCTTGGGCCACTGCACGACCTGGAACTCCTCAATGCGCCAGATGCGCAGTCCAGCTACAACGCCGACCTCGCCGTTGTTCCAGGCGGGCTCGGTGGCGGCGGAGGCATACTTGAGGTTGTGGTCGATGTCGGTGCCAATCAGCTCGACGTTGGAGTCCTTGACGTCATACTCCTTCAGAGATGTTAGGCCGTCGTGGGGTGGCATTTTGATGTTTGATTGGGGGGTTAGGCTTTAGGATAGAGGGGGAGGTTAAGGAGTGTAAACAAGGCGGTGCGGGGTTATTGTAGCCACGCCAGACAACACCGATTACCCCTGTTTCATAAGAAGAGCTTATGCAGATCATTGACGGTTATGACAGGTCGGCTTAAAATGTAGATATTTGTGCCTTTCATATATTATATTGCGCCCATACATAGCTGCATTTTTAGCCTTTCCCTTCATATGCGGTCTCCTCATGCGGCTGGTCTCACACGTAGGCATACTCGGGTTTCCTTACAGAAATTCCGCCCGACACTGCCACGCACTTCTGTAACACATTCATATCCGTCTATCAGGTAATGTTGCACATCAATAATGCAACATAAAGAATTCCACAGCTTGGTAATGTCTCGAGTCTGCATACGTGCTCGATTTCTATTTCCAGAGTCATGTGGCTGTAAAGCCGAGACTGAGACCTGTCTGAGCAAGCGGAGTTAACATAATTGCCGCGTATCCCGAGACTTATCAGCCGTAAATATTGTACAATAAATCCAATATCTTTAGGATTCAGTATCCAGTACATTCACCAGTCTACACTAAGGCGTCGTCATGTTGTGTACGCCATCACAGTATCTGATGGCATTTTGGCTAAGCTTTCTCGGCCCCTGTAACCCCACAAAAAAGGTCCGAACCATTAGCGTCGTCAAAGAAACTTTTATGACGCTAAAATGTCGGTGTTTTAGTTGCCTCCGTCCCGACGAGGTCCTTGGTTACGGGCATAGTACGTGGACTCGGGCCTTTGATTTCAATAAATAAATAATTGTCGCGGCTTAATATATGAACCGAAGCTTTTTCCACCTGGTAGGGTTTTTTCTTTTCTCTGTATAGCATCGTAATCAATTCATTGCAGTCGTACCTGCAATTCCAATCGCCACACTTCAATGGAGAAGAAGACGGCGCCTGAGAGGAGCCCCTCCCCAGCTGCCTCCCCAGCTACGGAGTCGACAAAGACGAGGGATGAAGATACAACGCCAAAGGAATCAGATCAAGATGTTGCACCAGCACCGCTCGAGCCCGAAAGGGAACGGACAGCTCTTCAGACCGCAGTTCTCATGTTCGCCTTATGCGTAAGTTTCTTCTTGCCCCTTCTACGTTTGCAACTTAAACTAACACAATCCCAGGCGTCTGTGTTCCTTGCCGCCCTCGATGTCACGATCGTTACCACCGCCCTACCTACCATATCCTCATACTTCAAGACCTCTATGGCCTACACATGGGTAGGGTCCGCCTACATGTTGTCCAGCGCGGCATCGACGCCTATATGGGGCAAAGTGAGCGACATCTGGGGACGCAAGCCGATCTTGCTGGTCGTGTCGGCAATTTTCTTTTTTGGGAGTGCACTTGCGGCCGCAGCTATAAATATCGACATGTTAATTGCTGGAAGGGCTGTGCAGGGTCTTGGCGGAGGAGGTCTGTTGACGTTGGTGAACATTTGCATATCGGATTTATTCTCCATGAGGTGAGTTTACATGTACCGGTTACTATGCACTTATGCTGACTGTCTAGGAATCGCGCGAAATATTACGGATTTATCGGCATGACATGGGCGTTTGCAAGTGCGATTGGGCCCATTCTTGGTGGAGTCCTGACGGAGAAGGTATCTTGGAGATGGTGCTTTTATATTAACCGTAAGCCACTCCATTCGCATGCCTGTCAAACACCAACTAACTGAGCTATAGTGCCTATAACCGGCGTGGCATTTTTCATCATTGCCTTTTTGCTGCATCTCGACACCCCAAAGACGCCCGTTGTCACAGGGCTGTTGGTGGTTGACTGGCTTGGAAGCATTTCAATCGCAGGCGCGACTGTGATGTTTCTCCTGGGACTAACTCTCGGTGGCGTCATTCACCCATGGGATTCTCCCATCGTTCTCTGCATGTTAATATTTGGACCTCTACTCTTCCTGGTCTTCCTCGCGATCGAGTGGAAGGTAGCGAAATACCCAATCATGCCGCTGGAGATGTTCGAGAACCCATCCAACATCGCATCCTTGCTCGGCGTATTTTTCCACGGCATGATGATGGTGATTGGCTCGTTTTTCGTGCCTCTCTACTTCCAATCTGTCCTGGGGGCCACGGCTCTTCTATCTGGTGTCTGGCTGCTCCCTCTTGCTCTATCTTTATCATTCAGCTCTGCCGGCACAGGCTTGTACATCTCTAAAACCGGTCGCTATATGGATTGCATCCGTGGAGCCTTTACCTTATCCATCGTCGGCTTTGGGCTCCTTTACGACCTCCCGCTTGGCAAGACATGGTCAAAGATCATCATCTATCAGATCATCTGCGGATTAGGCGTTGGTCCTAACTTCCAGAGTCTCTTGCTGGCGCTACAAAACCAGGTGAAACCGCATCACTACGCCTCTGTTACGGCAACACTCGGATTTACTCGCAACCTTGCGACGGCTATTGGCGTTGTGGTCGGAAACGTCGTCTTCCAGAACAGCATGCTCAAGGAGGAGCCTCATCTGAAAGCCAGCCTCAGTCCGCAAGCAGCTGAAATGCTGTCAGGGAAGAACGCGGAATCGAGTGTGTTCTTTGTTAACACTCTCCCTGCCCTCCAAAGAGATATAGCAAGAGCAGCATATTATGCATCTTTGAGGAATGTTTGGCTTACAGCTGTCGCATTTGCAGCGGGGGGGCTTATTTCTTGTGTGTTTATCAAGGGGCGTGAACTTAGCAAGGTTCACGAGAAGGTCGAGACTGGCCTTGAGGCTGAAGAACGGAAGGCCAGAGAAAGGAAGGCGGCTGCGGAGACGAAGACGGCTGGGGAAAAGGACATTGTATGAGGGCCTTATACATACGGGATCCATATATCATTTTGTAGAGGCATTTGGTTTGGCATATTTTTAGGGGATACCATAAAGCGGATATACTTGCATATATTAGGTCCAGGGTTAGCAATTCGAATATAAACATGAATACTAGGCTATAACGTACATGTATAACGAACTGGCCAAACAAGCGAACCGGCCAAAATATCGCGACTACCCCACAGGAATTGCTATAAATCCACCACAAAACTAGAAATCAATTGAAACTACTCAGATGTATCTATTACAATCTAACAAGTGCGCGCATGTCCAGTCCCACCACACTTGCTACAGCGACGTGCGCGGGTTTCTTCCCTTGGCTTCCGACCACTACTCGCCCTTGTTTCTTGCTCTACTTGCTGTACAACATCCCTCTCGTCCTGTAGCTCCTGTGCTACTTGTTGACTAAGTGATCCTCCTTGCTGTAATCGTGTTTTTTTAGCTCTCTGGTGCTTGCTTAGCACTTCATTTGCCTGTCGTAGGTTCTGGTTCTCCGCCTTCAACAATGCTAATTGATGCATTATTTGCGATGTACCCTTTGTAAACTGGTTAACAGCTGTATAGATTGAGGTTGGAGAGCTATTTTGATCATGCGCAATTCAGTTTTAATGAAGGCAGACTGTGATGAGGCTTTAATTAGGTTGTTTGGTGTTTGGAAAACCTCAAGGTTGAGCAGTACTTAGGCGGGAGCTTAGAGGCGTTAGTGTCTTTAACTTAAGATCAAGTGTAGAGATCACACTCTCAGGGTCGAATGGGAAAAAGTCCAGCACCCCAGAAAGCCTCCTTGAATGTTGCTTTGTGTCATTGCAATGTTAAATGCAGCGTAGAAGGCAGGAAAAAAGTCATCCTTAGTAGTATGAGAAATATGAGCCTGCATCATATCTTCAATTTGCCGACCATAAGCCCTTTTCAATGGGCTAAAACAGCCAATATCAAGTGGCTGGAGTAGATGAGAGGAATGAGCAGGTATACAGAGAGTTATAATGTTGTGTTCTTTGCAGTACTCCTTAAACTGGTCCGAGTGGTGGCTCTCATGACCATCAAGGACTAACAAGCGATAACCACCAACACTCCATAGCTTTGTGTGCTTCTCAAAATGCTAAATCCAATCCATGCCTCTCTCGTTTGTAGTCCAGCCATTTTCAGTAACAGCAATAACCCAATCGCTTGGAAATCCACTATTCTCATACCAAGATGTAAGGTGGTTTTTGCCTGCAACAATGACAAATGGCAGTACTGCCCAACCCTAAGAACTAATGCCTTGGATTACTATAACCCATTCCCGATTGCTAGGCTGTACCTTCTTTGTTTTTGCCCACCCGTCTAAGCTTGTTACAACAGTAGCAGTTGAGATAACACCTATCATAAACCTAGTCTTATCAAAGTTGTAGATATCTGCTTCATAGATACCATATTTCGCAATTGTGTTACACACAAGCTCAAACCAGCCACATATAAGTTCTAGATCTTCACACTTAGCCCTCTAGTAGTTGTATTTGCACTAGAAGCGTGTCCGGAGCTCTACATGCCGCTTAACAAAGTTTGAAGCCTAACGTGTGGCACGTCGCATGTTTCAAGTAGTCGATTTACCATATCTACAACAATAGACAACTGAGGAGGAAACCCTTTAGTAGCTAGATATTTAACAAGGACTGATTCCTCTAAGTTAGTTAATTTCCATAAGTTGGCTTGAATATCACGTCTTGAAGGTATGCCTAATAAATGACGGCCTAGCTTGCAGTAGTCAATGGAATAGATCTTAGCAGCAACTTGAGGACGTAACTTTAGGTCGCTTTGTATAGCTTGGATAGCTAGCATCAACTGGCTTTTATCATTTTTCTAGGGCATGTTTTGTTGTTGAGTAATTTATATGTAAAGATACCTAAATAAGCCATTCTACGTCACTCCCACTCACTCCCACGCTCGCTCCCACACTCACTCCCGCTCCCATGCTCACTCCCACTCTCACTCTATTCTCGCCCTCGCTCTCGCCCTCGCTCTCACTTTTAGGGGTTCTAGCTCAGGAATTGGAAGCTCAAGCTATAGAGGAATAGAAGACCCTCTTTGTATAATTAGGTCAACATCTTCTTCTAGGCGCGCTCTTCCTTCTAGGCCTCAATTCCAGCTCTCTTAAGCTGTTTCTAGGCCTGGTTTGTAGCCTAGCAGGCTACTCAGGCTTCTTTAGCTGCGAGCTTCCAAGCCTCAGCTTCCACAGAAAGCAGACAGGACAGCAAGTTGGGTCAGGAACCAGCGCGGGATACTGAATTATTGAGTGAAGAGGAGACTCTGAGACTACAGGCTCTTTCCATCCTTGGGAGCTTGGCATATGGTAAACAACCTTCAAGCCAAACCAAATTATATTACACTACTAAAGCATATCAGGTGGACCACCATTCATAGAACCATTGCACTGTGCATCCGCTCTGGCTGCCATACTGTCCAACCTTTGTCCGTCTACAAACCCGCCGCAATTGGTTGCGACAGAGCTGCAGGCTCTGTCTAACTTGACAGAGTCAACTTGCTTATCACAGGCATCAAGTTCCTTAAGCATTACTTCGCTTGCCGATGCTGTTTTATCTACCCCTCATGTTGGCTCTATGTACAAAATCTTCAGCCAATCGTCGACATTACCTCATACATGCAGCCAAGTATGTCTTGCAGCATCTTTGATAAGTAAACTTTGTCAAAACGAATGCCATCGGTCAATCCTTGCCAATGTTGGAATATTAGATGCTCTTGTCACTAGACTGGCTGGAATTATAGCCCTTCAGGGACTGGTTATTCCCAGGGCTGATGCAGCGGTAGAGAAAGAGGGCCTCTTAAACAAGTTCCCCTACGCAGAAGGTTCTGAGGGTGCCAACCTTGCAATGATTCTGGAATGCATCAGTTGTAAGGACACAGGGCACCCAGCTCACAGTAATAGCATATGAGAGTGCGAGTCGTAGGCTAAACGGATGCTATCCTATAGGTCTACTACGAAGGATACAAATCATGTCTACCAAGATTCTCACGGCGAAACAGGTTCGGTGGATGGAGCTACTCTCCGACTTCAATTTCTGCATTACGTACACCGCAGGCAGGAATAATCAGAAGGCTGATATTCTGAGCTGAAGAGACCAAGACTGGGTAACGCAACAGAAAGTCAAACTCGACAGTAGAGCGAGGGTATTGCTAGGTCCAAGCTGCCTACACCCCCGTATCAGCGCCGAATTAGCAGAGAGCTACGTGGCGTCCATTAACCTGATAGACACCCCCAAGGCACAGGTGCCCTTCAATTTAATAGAGGCGCTATGTGCGGACAATCGGAAGTCGTTCACCGAGACTCGCGCAAAACAACCCCTACCGGATGGATTCGCAATGAACGACCAGCTCCTCCTGTACAAAGGCCGCCTATGTGTGAATCGCCACACTGACCTATGTACAAAACTGATCCGAGAAGCACACGATCAAGTGTCGTCAGCACATCCAAGTGGCAGGAAAACCTACCAATTGCTCGTTCCAAAGTATCATTGGGTCGGGATGGAAGCAGACTGTTTGCAGTATGTACGAAACTGCGTGACATGCCGGCTTTCTCACACCAATGTCACTAAGCAACAAGGATTCCTACACCCACTACCCATACCCGAATATCCTATGCAACACCTCACCATGGACTTCAAGGAGTTCCCAAGGGACAAGCACAGATACGATAGCATCTTAGTGTTTACAGACCAACTCGGAAAGAGTTCAGTGACCATACCTTGCTACAAAACCACAACTGCCCGGCAGATGGCGCAATTGTTTATCGAATGGATATACCGATTTGGACACACTCCGGAGTCGATTGTAAGCGACCGCGGACCCCAATTTGTATCATCTTTTTGGCAGGAGTTCTGTTGAATTATCGGTGTTAAGGTTAAGCTGTTGACTGCCTATCATAAGCAGACTGACGGGCAGACGGAAATCATGAACCGATACATCGATCAGAGACTGAGGCCTTTCGTATCCCATTACCAGGATAACTGGAGCGAACTCATCCCCATAATGGACCGCGTGCAAATGACACTCGCCCACGCATCCATTGGCATGACCCCCTACCGACTCAAGTATGGAACCGATCTGCGTACGAGTTGGGATTGGAACACTCCGAAAAGCACCAACCCCCGGGAGACCCTAAACTGAGAGGAAGCCAAGGCGGTTGCAGACCGAATGCATACCGCATGGGTCCACGCAAAGGAAAACATGGCAAAGGCACAAGAGGAAATGTCTAAGCATGCGAATCGATGCCGAAGGGCCATCGACTGGGACGTAGGAGATAGAGTGTACCTATCGACCAAAAATTTGAAAAACTCTTGTCCTAGCCGCAAGTTGGGCCAACAATGGGTCGGACCATATACGGTGTTGGAACGGATTGGGCACGCGTTCCGATTGGAACTACCTACCGGTTCTCAAATACACGATGTGTTCTCACCAGACGTACTCATGAAGCATCCAAACAATCCCCTACCTGGTCAGGATCCGCCTGAGCCTAGCAGCGAAGTGATAGATGGCGTAGAGGAATGGGAAGTGGAAAAGATCCTCGCCGTAAGGCTCCACCGGAAGCAACTACAATACCGGGTTAGTTGGGTCAGATATGATCCGGACCCGGAGTGGTACCCAGCGTTAAACTTCATGAACTCTCCCCATAAACTCAGAGAGTTTCACACGGAATACCCAGAGTTACCAGGTCCACCTTAAGAACTACTAGGAGGGGTTACGGCATGGGAGACGTGAAAGGAACAAAACTACGATCACGGAGGGAAAGACCAAGTGGAAGAAACAGAGTCGTTACTGTCTGCGACTCTAAGCTAAAAATACCCTCCGAACCAGGGTGCACTCACCACTGTAACCCTTGCGGGAGTCACCCTTCCCAAACGTCTCACCGGCGTCGCAACAAGCGGCTACCACCATGAGAGACGAAGGGTCGAAGTGACCCCACATGAAGGGCCAGGCCCGAGTCCCCTCCGACACAGGGTCTTCCCCCACCTAGGCCCCGTAGGCTGCCCCAACTTCCCCATCCTCCCCCTCCCTCCTTCCATCACCCCGAGTCGGAGCGACCGCGGGAGCGGCAGCAGTGGGCAGTTTGCCCACAGCAGCCACCAACTCCTGCAAGAGAGCATGGACGCTCTCCTGTTCTGTCCGGAGATGGCGCAGCGATGACTGAATTTGCTGCCCAGAGTCAGTATCGAAACCACACCGAGTCGCAAGGGGAAGGGGGTCTACTCATGGCAAACCCCGACTCGAGGGCAGCCCGAGTGGCGCGTGCCTCCTCGTAGAGGTCACGCTCCGACTCGGAGCGGAACTGTGGCATGCTCTGGGCGGCCAGGAGGGCCACCCGATTTGCCTCGGTGGCGGCGGCGGCGACGTTGGCGGGGATGAGGGGGATGGCCTCTTCGGCGGTGAGGAGGGCCGCAAACTCTTCCCCAAGGAACCAGGGCAGCTTTCACCAAAGTAAGCAACAGCCAACCAAACCAAACACCGAACCCCACAAGAAAACCTACCGGGATGCAAGGCGAGTGCTGCGTGGTGCAGTACCCACACTTCGAACTGGTCGGGGACCAGACACAGTCGTGGGACTGGATCCCATGGGCTTTGGCCCGAAGGCAGCGCAGACAGAGCACAGCGGAAGGCAACCGTAAGGGCCCCGGAGGGGGTGGGAACCGGCATCTTCGATTTTTGGAATCTGCGATTCCGTCAGCCAAGCCCAAGTTATCAACAGCACGCCAACGCGCTCCCATCACCTACTCGTTCGTGCAGATTGTGTATATACTATACAATCAGTTAGTAAACGATCAAGAAACGGACAGGGAGTGGCCACTTACTGGACTCGGAGGGCGGTTTGTGGGCGTTGTTGTTGTGAAGCAAAGAATAAAAAACGAGAAAGTGCGCGAAGCTCTGAACTCAGATTTGGCTTACAACAATGACACCCAAATCGGGTTAGCGCAGCCACCCTCCTTGTGCGATGGGGAACTTTCGACGCGTACCTGTAGCGGATATCTCCCGGTGCTCATTCGGACCATCACCACTAAGCCAGAGATTGAACAAAGAAAACAAAAAGTAGTCGCATACCAGACGGAGCTGATACGGTATTACTGCTCCAGGACTATTTTTCCATCTCCTGTCACATCAGACCAATGCGGTTGTCACTAATGCGGCCACGCGCGCAAACCCTACAACAAAGAACGCCTAAGCTCACAGACGCTACCCGGATGGGTTCCGGACTATAGGCGGGCGGCGTGCTTTGCGGACAAAGCACTCTCTTAAGACGGGGGGTAGTGTAAGGATGCCTCCTTACCTAGATACTCGAAGAACCTGTCTCAGAACTGTTACAGTCACTACAAGCATGAAATCCGACTCGGTGTGGTTTCGAACCAGTAGATGAGCACATAGCGAGTTACACTATAGTGGGGGATGGTAAGGGTGTAGGGTTCAGGGTCGATGCTGACCTGTTGCGGTGGAAGGATCAGGGCTAGGGTTGGGATAACTGAGTCGGGCCCGTTTCAGGTACTCAAGGAAACAGACTCAACGGGGTTCCCCCTTCATCTTTTTTGTATCCTTCATAGTAGACCTATAGGATAGCATCCGTTTAGCCTCCGACTCGCACTCTCATATGCTATTACTGTGAGCTGGGTGCCCTGTGTCCTTACAACAAGAGGATATCATGGATATTTGTTATCCAAAATATCCTTGATATCCCTTTAGCACGACACCACTATATTGTCATACTGACATTCGTTGCACTCAGTTTCCTATCAAACTCAAGAGCAAACTTAGAAATCTCCTCCTCAAACCTACAAGTCACTATACATATTTTGGCTTGTCACACCAACAACAAGAGCAATACTACTCAACGTTTGCTACAACCCTCTATGATTCATTACACGTCATCGCCCCTTAGTTACTGGGCCGATATTACCACATAGCATATCTCTACACCCTCTATGATTCATTACATGACATCACTCCTTAGTTACTGGGCTAATACTACACATGACATATCTCTATCAACTAGAGGCCTAGGAACATGAACGATAGCTCCAAAAGCTTCTACAACTGTCTATGATTCATTACACGTCATTGCTCCTTAGTTAACCACAAGATTGGTTAAGTTATGACATAATCTGTCTATAGGGGTACTCTGACCTTGGACCTCCTTTCACTTCCTATAGGCTAGGAACCTAGGAGATGGTTCTATGGGATTCTCTTACGTCGACTACAGTTACCAAGCCTGGTTAGTCATGGAAAGTATTGAAAAATGAGAGAACTACACTCCTTTAGCATAAATAGGATTGCCCTTTCCTTAAGAAAGGGCAAGCAGACAATACAGTAAATCAACTATCACATACTTCCACGTCTTTTCCAAGCTTCCAAGCATTGATCTTATTACTCCTTGTTTCTGAAAAGTCAGTGAGGTGCTAACCTCTGACTTATCCCTGAGTTCTCAGACTCAACATTTGTTACAACTTGTCTAAACCACTCCACTACATCATACACCTGATTGCTGTGTTGTGGAATAGTCTAAGCTACGACCCTTTGGCTCTGTTTCTTAAGACAGTGTGTTGTCTTAGTAAAATCATCCCTTCCTTGGGTGGCTAGATTCTCACATCTGCTGCACCCACCATACATATATAAGTAGATAGTATTTCCTTGGATAGGAGTTTTGTGCTCAACTGTTTCTTTACAATACTATAACATGTTACTTGGAAAGCCTTTGTGTTTATCCCCTGCCTCCTCTGTGAAGTCAACCTTACGCAAGAAACCTCTGTGTCTTCTATCGGCTAGAAGTTAGCGTTACAGAACCCTATAAAACGAAATACACAGAGATATAAGCAGAATTTGGCTAGAGTATAAGCTCTGTGAATACAACGTCTGTAGCACCCAGCTCACAGTAATAGCATATGAGAGTGTGAGTCAGAGGCTAAACGGATGATATCCTATAGGTCTACTACGAAGGATACAAAAAAGATGAAGGGGGAACCCCATTAAGTCTGTTTCCTTAAATACCCGAAACGGGCCCGACTCGGTTATCTCAACCCTAGCCTTGAACCTTCCACCGCAACAGGTCCACATCAACCCCGAACCCTACACCCTTACCGTTCCCCACTATAGTGTAACTCGCTATGTGCTCCTCAACTGGTCCGAAACAGCACGAAGTCGGTTTTCATGCCCGTGGTGACCGTAACAGCTCTGAGGCGGGTCCTTCGAGTATCTAGGTAAGGAGGTATCCTTACAACGTCTAGGACTAAGGATTGCATCGAGTGGCACGACAACGGCTTCGAAAAGACATGTGAGGAAGTACTCAAATACTAGAGTATCACTCCTGAAATGTTCCACAAATGGAACCCTTCTGTTGGTCTCGACTGCAAGCCATGGGAATATCAATCCTACTGCATCCTTACTAAGGAGAGATACGATGAATTAGAAGCGATGGCAACAACTCCATCCCTACGACTAGTCCCACTCTAGGCCCATCTCCTACCTAGTAGGATGCCAAGGGCTGTTATTACCCGGACAGCCAGTTGCCAATTCTTAAGGAGCAGTTGAACCCAGATGGTGGAGACTTGGCCTTGTCCATCCCTAAATGCAGGAATGTCTGCTATAGCCATTTTTACGACTTTGCAGGTGTGCAAGAGGGTAACCAGTGTTAGTGCAGCAGTTATGTTGGCGGCGAGCGGACAGACAATCAGACGGACTGTAATATTCCCTACACTGGCGACAAAACTGCAATCTGTGGTGGAAAGGGACTCTATAATGTCTTTGAGGCTGAGAAGAACATTGATCTTCCATCTATCACTGCTTCTGGTGCCACGACTTTTGGTGTCGATTCTCTTACAGAAACAGTTCTCAGCTCAACTCACGCCCTTTGCTAGGCGAGCGGCTTGTCCTCCAAACAGATCCTTGAGCGTTGTGCGACAGTGTACTTATTGCCATCATGCCTGATAAACGTATTCAATCCCAATTCCACGTCCGCCATCAGCGCATAGCTAGTAATTACCATGGATGCCGCCCCATAAGGTGCCGCCGAATGATGCCACCAACTAGATGCCTTAGGCAGTCAACTTTGAGAGTAGTGTTACGACGGAACAAGAAGGCTGGCCAACTACAGGACAGGAAGGAGGGAGGTCGCATGAGACCGGCCCTGGTACCTGGAGGGGCAGCGGGGAATAGTAGTTCCGAAAGTATCACGTGACGGACTCGCAGGATGATGAGAAGAATCCTAAGAGTCCAGGACTCCGAGGACTCGAGTGAGTTCCAGGAGTCCACTAGGCACGACGCCACTATATAAGTAGATAGTTAGTTCTTAGATAGGAGCTTCGTGCTCAACTCAATACAGTATTTGTTATATACTAGTAACGTGTTACTTGAAGCCTTTGTGTCCGATCCCCTGCCTCCTCTGATAAGTAAACCTTTACGCAAGAGAACCTCTGTGTCTTCTATCGTTTAGAAGTCAGCGTTACAAGTAGGCGCTGTTGGAACTGCGTTTTAGTACGCTGCACATGCGTAACCTGTATACCAACTGTGTATATATAGGGGCTTCGCCCCTATATATACGCCGTAGTTTCTCAATCAAGTCGTCAAACTGCAATTATGTGTTCAACAGGCGCCACACTGTCAATAGATCACATGATGTCGTCGTGCCATGAAACTGTTGGAACCCTGGCATTACAGTACTGTTGATATATACGGTATCGTGAGACTTGCGGCACCGAGAGCGATACGCTACTGTCAAGCACACAACACCATGATATTCCCTGCAAACCACGGCGAGAGTGTTAAGATTTCAGCCGCGTTGTAGAGGATTTGGCACTAGCGCGGTTGGACGTAACCCAACCACGACACTATACAGGACTCTCCTTCCTTAGTCAAGTCAAAACAGCTCATGATCACTCATATCTGCAATACGCTGCCTACCTCCCTGCTCCTCAAATTTACCCCACATTCTAATGGTTACTACGATGCGTAAAGAAAACAGGCATCGCGAAATTTCTGTCAGAATGCTCCCATCAGGTTCATCGGTTGTGTTCAAAGAATCAACGTATTTCTTGCGGAATGGACCAGAAATCTCCCTGCCTTTGCCTGCCGAGGTCCGCGCCCATCAACGCCAGGGGCAATATGGGCCCATTCAGTTCGAATCGCTCAACCTCCTGGTCAAATACGGAAAAGAGATCACTATCGCGGAGGGGCAATGTCTCTGGGCTATCCGTCGCTTCTTGCCTTCCCAAGTCCCAGTTCCCGAAGTCTATGGCTGGTGCGAAGACAATGGCGAAGTTTTCGTTTACATGGAGCTTGTTAAAGGCGTTACATTGGAAAAAAGATGGGAGTCGCTCTCAAAACAAGAGAGGAAAATCGTCTGTGACCAGCTTCGAGCTATGTTACTAGCACTACGCAATCTACAACAGGATCCAAAGGATCAGTTTCTAGGTGAGTAGCTTTCTCATTTGAATCCCTAACCAAAATGCAAACTAATTGCTTTTAAGGTCATATCAACCGCCAACCTCTGCTAGATATCGTATTCACAGACGACACAAAACCTTCCGCTGGCCCATTCGCCTCAGTAAAAGAATTTCATGACTGGCTATCTTATTTGACCAAACAAGGGAAGGAGATCCACTGGCCAGACCCTTCACAAATTCCTGATCCATTCCGGCACTTACTTCCGGACAACTCGCCAATTACCTTTACTCATGCAGACCTACATCCAAGCAACATCATCGTGTCTACAGACAAACCCTATCGCATTGTGGGTATCATTGACTGGCATCAATCGGGCTGGTATCCAGAATACTGGGAATACTGCAAGGCCGTATTCACAGCCGATCCCAACGGAGAATGGGAGACCGAATACATACCACGATTTTTGGAGGTTGCTGATTGCTATGGTGCTTGGAGCTATTATTCTCAAACTCTTGGATACTGAAACATTTTCTAGAGATAGCAAATCAAAACGAGCGTGAAGTCTAAACCCCCAGGAGCTTACTTGCCCCAGCTCTGGTTCGGTAGGGCACCTTGGCTCATTATTAGTTATCACACCGACGGAATCTTCACCGAAGTAAAAGTCACTGATGCCGGGGCTTGATTCATAGAGTGGGAAAGCAAACATCAAACCAAACTACTAATACGGGCGACATTGTTTGCGAAATGTTATATTTATTCCTTAATTCTCAGCGGTAAGTCTTAAAGACAAAAGCCCGCAACGGTCGGCCGAGCTTAAACTCCGGAGGAGAACTCCATACAACGACCAAAGCTCACAAAATAATAACGGCACAAGCCATCAAGTTCGTTGGTCTTCTAGAGCTGCCATTCATGTAAGCATGCGGCCAGAATTTATAATGGACTTGTTGACCACCTCGAGAAGTACTCACCTAAGCTAGACTCGCGCAAATGGCAGCAGCAGCAGCAGCCGCAGCCTGAGAGTTAGAGTGCCAGCAATAGCGGTGCACGTGGCAGCGCTACAAATTTTGCCAGTAGCCTTAGCGGTCCTCTTGCAGCTATCGTAACTCTTCTGAGCGCTAGGGTCGTGAGCCTTTTCAAGAGCGTGTTTAAGGGCCTTGTAGAGGCCGTAGATAAGGCAACAGCTGCCAATACCAGCTTCTTCTTGTCTCTGTAGCCCAGATCTCGCGTCTAACGGCGGCGCGGCTAGTCCCAGCCTAATGACAGTGGAAAGGACGATCATAACCTTCATTTTGGCAATATGTATTTAGTAATTGGAATGATGTAACGTGGTCCATATGCAATTGAAGCACCCAATCGAGTGAAACACCCAACTACGACAACACGACAAAATACTAATGTGCATTGTGCCCTATGTTGCCACATGTTCCACATCGCCGTTCCCTCGCTTCGGTCCTCTTTGCACGACCTGCACCCTGGCGTGCTTCCTCTACTACTTGCCTATTCACATCCCTTTGGCCGACAATAGCTTGTCCTTTAAATATAGCAAGACTGCCTCATTCTTGGAGACGAGTTCTCTTTGCTCTACGACGCTTGCTTATAGTTGTGTTTGCCTCTTCTAGTACTTCAACTTGTGCTCGTAGTAATACAACTTCGTGCATCATTTTCCCTGTCCCCTTGCAAAATGATCAATTGCTTCAAACATTGCTGATGGAGAGCTGTTAGTATAAATAGAGACGTATAACTAACTTGTTAGCTCTTAAAGAGTGACAGGCCTATCCAATAATGTTAAATATTAAGCATCTCATTAAAATCTACAGCCATCCAACCCTAAGGTTATTTAAATCGTTAGCTTTAACTAGTATTACCATGGCATTAAGAACCTGCTAGATTTCTCAAACACCTAACGCCACTTATAAACAATTTTTAATAATGGCACCTAACAAACACTAGGCTAACGGTCCATTTAAACTAATCCTAACCCTACTCTTCACCTAAGGCCCTAACAAGCTAGTTGACTAATACATAACCATTATAAGCTAAATAGCTATAGTACATAACACTATGATTTGTGTGCTAAACAGGTACCCTCCCCTTAACCCTATCTTACACCTCTCTATATAGTTATAGACTAACAGAAACTAGCATCTACCTCTAAGCCCTATAAGTCAAGCTAGAGGACTATAAAGATTTTATTAAATACAGCTTATGCTAGTATTAGATGATTATAAACTACCATTGCTATAAAGAGGATCGTCTCTTCCTATAGATTAAGGAGAGGACTAAGAAGGGGCTTATAGAGGTTAATGTTAAACAACATATACCTTCCCCTATTTTCTTACCTATGGCCTCTTATCCCTAACCTTCATCCTGAACCTTCATCCCTAACCTTCACCCCTAACCTTTACCAACCCTAAGAAGTGTCTAACCCTAATGTAAGGCGGCCCATCATGTGAGGCTGCCCTGAACTCAGGGGCTGCCTGGCAGCGGAGCCACTAGGGCTCAGTAAACTAGGGTATATAGGAACATAGGATATAAGGAGCTGGAAGCCTCAGAAGGAGGCCTCCAGCTGATAGTCGCTGTACATACGTAGACCTACTGTCTTGCAATATGATCTCACTTCTGCCTTCTGACCTGGTTCCCTGGACTCCCATGAGACCCTAGGGACTGCGCTTTACACCTAACCTCACCCCTAACCCTACCCCTAAGCATACCCCTTATAGACCTAACCAACCTCACCCTAAAAGCCTTTAAAGCTAGCATCTAATCCTATAACACCTATCTCTAATCCCTCCTCCTCTCTTGTAAGGACACAGGGCACCCAGCTCACAGTAATAGCATATGAGAGTGCGAGTCAGAGGCTAAACGGATGCTATCCTATAGGTCTACTACGAAGGATACAAAAAAGATGATGAGGAACCCTGTTGGGTCAATCCCCTTAAGTACCCGAAACGGGTCCGACTCGGCTAACCTGCCCTAACTCTCCCCACGTGACCGTAACCTGCCCGACTCCGATGCTTTCCGTCACTGAGGGCGGAGGCATCCTTACATCTCTAGCACCTCCTTTTCCACCCCTAAACTCCTTGCTATAATCAACTCCTTTACCGCTACCCTAACAACCTACCTTACTAACAAGATCCCCTCCCTCCTCTCCCTCTACTGCTATAGCAACGTGCTCCTGCTTAGAAAACTTGCTACTATAGAGTTTTAGAAGGCGGGGATAGGGGTAGTGAGGACGGAGGGGGGACATATGTTTTTTGTGAATTTAGATAGGGGGTTTAAGGGGGGGTTGTGGAGGGATTTCCTAGCTATATCTATGAGTCTGCCTCTAGTGTCTTGGTAGGGGGTTGGTATGTGTGGAATAAAGCTAATGGTAGAAAGGCGCTAGGGTAGTGGAAGTTTGCGCCGCTAGATAGTGATGGGAATCAGAAGGAGTTGTATGCACTTAGAGAGTAACTATGTGCCTCTGATTAGGGTTGCGGGTTTGCCAACGATGGGGATTGTTGCTGTTTTTGTTGGGTTTCTAAGCTGAGATACCACGATCATTTACCACATGCTGAGGTTGTTGGGTTTCTGAGCTGAGATACCACGATCGTTTATCATATGCTGAGGTTTGCTTGGTTTTGAAAGGATAGTTTTGGGAGATTGGAAATGATACAACAGCAAAGGCCTCAATAGTGTGCGCATTTGATTAGAAGAATATAGTATGTACAAAATATACACCTATTACATTAAACGACCCCCAGACATAAATAAGTCTACATCCAGAAAGCAAACAATGCAAATCCAGCAGTCATAGCGATGCTGGAAGTAAGCAGGCTTGTTGCGCTGCTAGGGATAGTGGATGGCCTCCCGGTGGGCAAGACGGACGAGGACGGCTTTTGTGGGATGACTGTAGTGCCGTTGGTCGATGGGTATGGCGCCTCAGGGGTCACGGTAGGTACCATTCCGACAGGGCAGACGGTCTGTAGATGTTAGAGAGGCAAAGAGGGCGAGGAGGAGAGGAGCAGTAACCCACGGTGTAATCCTCATAGGTGATGGTGGTGACGGAGCCAATGGGGCAGTTCGTAACAGTAGCTGGGCACTTGGTAATAGTGTGGACGGAAGTCGCGTAGACAGTTGAGGTTGTGAGGCTTAAAGTCGAGTTCGAAGCACCAGTGGAAGTAGAAGCGGAAGCGGACGCAGATTCGGAACCAGATGCGGAGGCAGAGGCAGAGGCGGAGGCAGATGTTGTAGACGAGCAAACGCATCCTATATTAGCGAGGCTGGTGATCGGGGGAGCATTGCAAGTAGCCTGAGCCTCCCATGGTGCGACGGAAGTGTATGGCGCATCGCCCTTGGCCTTCTCAACCTTGACAAGAACTGGGATGACAGAGCCAGTGCTCAAGCTGAACTTGCGGTGACCAAGGACACGGAGGAGGCTTGCAATCTCTCCAGAGTGGCTGGTGATACTGAGGAAACTGCTTGGGTCAGACGGGAAGATGGAGTCTAGGGCGTTCTTAGAACGCTTATCCTGGGCAGAGGATGTCTCAGCGGTGGTCTTAGTCCACAGCTCATCCTTCTCGGTAAAGCCGGCGTCGAAAGGCCACCCTGGGTAGTTGGAGGCGATGTAGCTCTTGGTGCTGCGGCGATCGCAGGTGTGCATGGAGATACCCTCGCGCAGGTAGTCCTTGATGAGAGGCGTGAACGGGGTCACGAGACCTTCGAAAGTGAGCTTGGCGGTCTCGAGGCAGCGGATCAAGGGGCTGGTGTAGAAGCTCCCTGGGAGAGACTGCTTCTGGGAAGCAATCTGCGAGGTCCAGAAGGCATGGGCCCTTTCGGCCTGAGCAATGCCCCTCGGCGTGACCTTGGCATCTGCCCAGACGAAGGTTCCGTTGCCATCAAGCTCTGACCAGTAGCACTGCATAAAATCAGCGTTTGTCACGGATCAACGTGGATATACTTACGTTCCAGGCTGGCGTTCCATAGCTGGACTCGGCAACGTTGTGGTAACCCTCGCCATGGCGACCGAGGTAGAGAACGGCATATCTCTCATCGGCAGTACTGGCGATATTCAGCGCGGCAACCTCATTCTCAAAACGCTCCCACTGGGTCTTGGTGCCCGCGGGATCAAAGGACGCGTCTGAGTCATAGGATTGATTAATCAAGCCAAAGTTTGTCGCGGTCTGGGATGTGTCAGTTGCCGCGTATAGTCACATCAACAACATATAGTCTTACATAATCAAATCCATCAGTCGAGGTGGAATTAATATCCTGAAGAAAGTAACCAGGTACGGTACTGTACTTGAGGTACGATGAAGTAGCATCAACGGTTGCAAGGACAGAAAGGGCAGCAGCGCCGGCAGTAAACAAAGAGCGAGAAACCATGTTGAAGCAGCAAATAACGACTGTATAAAGGTGAGTAGTCGAGTTAAACACTGTGAGCATCGTGAAAAGAAATGGACTCGTGGTAGATCTTGTATCAAAACAATTCAATATCGTCCAGGGTTATACAAGCTCCGGATACTCTGGGGCGCATTTTGGCATATAACCAATTACACGGGAGTGTAGAGACATTCGTATTTGTCCGTTAATTTTCCATCGCCGGAAGTTATAAAAAAGGGTCCAACACCATGCAAAACAGTGTAGTCGTAAGCCTTTCAGTGATGGCGTTGTCGTATTGTTGCTGTTTGCATGGTGGTTGTTGTTCTCTAATTTCATCTCGGCGCCAATCTGGGGACGTCGGGGAGACACGTGCGCGGTACCAAGCTTTGGTGGAGCAAGCACGTTGTTGATGGTTTTTGACAGGGGATACAGTTATCTGATATGTAACGCCGATTTTTTGACATTTGGTTATATAAGTTGCTTGTGCTTGATGGGTTTTAATGCAATGCACGCGTGTTCTGGGTATCATGATATTGTTGCGGCCTAAGGTAGGCTGCGCACTACTCGCTCAATACTCGGCTCACTCGCTCAGTGGGTTACTCAGCTGGGTGAGTAGCTGAACCTTTTACTCGACTCGGTGAGTGAGGTCAATACTCAGTTACTCTGTAAAAACCCGGTGAGTACTCGGCTATCACGTGTAAGATTTATGCATCATGTGAACAGTCCCTCATACGATTAATACTGTTTTATGGTTAAGTTAAAGTATTACATCTATTAGCATCACTCTCGCCATCTCTAGTAAGCTGTGAGAACGAATCATGTATATTCCTCTATCTAAGTACCATGATTATCAGAAGATTATTAGAACGCTATTATCTATTATATATGCTTAAGAACATCCCTCCACCTTGCTTGATGAGGCCGGCCAGACCTACTAATACCTAAAGTATTTATAGGGTCTTGATGAGGATCCTCGACTGAGCGGAACGAGCTATGAGTCAAGATAACTGTGTATAGAACTTGTTCATAAAATGTCTCTTGTGTGAGAATATGATCTTATTATAGGTATTAACCTACATAATTCTGGTAATAATCTGGTAATCCTTACTTGTTGAGGTTGCATTTGATTGATTCGCATTTGATAGAGACTATCCTTCCCATCTGTGACTTCTTTTTGCAAATGTCTGATGCAAGATGTGTTGCCATAGACTTTGGGCCAGCAGACTTGATTGCAGGATGCGTAAGGGGCCTTCGAACAATAAGTACAAATAACACATGGTTCTCCAGAAAGCCGGTCTGCTCCTTGGTGATAACTTCTCCAGTATTGAGAACTCCAGTTGGTTGAATCCCATGCAATCTTCATAAGGAGTTTTGTAGTATGATCTGAGTGTTGTTCATACCATCGTGATAGCTTCCACCACTCAATGAATATATCGTGTGTATCCTTAGTCCATTTGACAAATTGGTTTAACTTGCCAATATATTCAAGGCCTGCAGGGACTTTGTAAGGATGCCTGTCCCTCAGTGATGGAAAGGATCTGAGTCGGGCAGGTTACGGTCACATGATAAGAGTTAAGGCAGGTTAGCTGAGTCGGACCCGTTTCGGGTACTTAAGGAGATTGACCCAACGGGGGTTCCTCTCTTCATCTTTTTTGTATCCTTCGTAGTAGACCTATAGGATAGCATCCGTTTAGCCTCTGACTCGCACTCTCATATGCTATTACTGTGAGCTGGGTGCCCTGTGTCCTTACAGACTTGATTTAATGAGGATAGTCGTTGAGAAGACGGAAAAGAGTCTGAGAATACTGTCAGAATCAAACAACTCTGAGTATTGAGATGGCATTTGGCAAATTGCTCGATTATCAGAAGGTTACCAGAAGTCTGGCTACGATGAAGTACTTAAATACCTGGTTTTCCAACGCGAAAGGTACTCCAGCGCTATAACTTTAGCAACTCAAGTTCTCCTCTGCTCTAGCTCCAGGAACAACATATCCTGTGCAGCTGATACCTTAGCCCACTTTTCCTTATCAAACTTCTTAGAGTAGACAAGTAAGAACGCCTCTTTGAAGCTAGAACTATGAGTGGATATTTGCAACCATCCATTGTCGACAAGATTGTAAGACTTTGGGTACCACTGCACAGGTCCTGGTAATTAGGCCCACTTTCCAAACTGCCTGCTCGTACAAACAGAAATATTTATGTGGTGGGATAACCTCGTGAAAAGTGCTATAATAAACAATTAGTATTGCCAGAAGATTGCTAGGATGATCAGAGACGTACCCTTCCTCTACATCAATCCACGGCATATACTCAAAGAGACGCTCAGGCTTCTTTCTCAGCTTTCCAGCCTTTCTCGTATATGAGTGGATACAGCTATCCCAGAAATGTTGCCACTTGCGGAAATTGGACTCTTCATGGGCCTATCAACTATTAGTATCACCAGAAGATTACCAGATTATGAGGTAGCATACATCAATGTGCGCTTGAGTTAAGAGAGCCTGGGTGCTAGTGATCTCTTCATCGGAAAGCTCATCTGGTAGAACAGCCTCGTCATTTAAAATATCTCGCGCTGTAACATAAGCTCCAACTCCAAATCGTCTTCAACCTCAGTATCCTCCCATTCGCTGTTATGATTGTCATCGATTGGAATACTTGAGATACCCTCAAATGCAGCAAGCTCAGACAGAAGTTGTTTGGGCGGAGTAGATGGTGGGGCTTGTGGAGAAGAAGAGGCGCTAATATTCTTGACTTTCTGATTCGCAATGCAAGATGCATGGGTACCCTTCTCAGTCCTGTTTATAGTTAGATTGAGGCTACCAGAGATTACCAGAAGGGACTTACCGAACACAAATACGCTCAACCTTCAATTCATTCTGTAGACGTGTCTTGTCTTCAGTAGAGGCAGCGATATACTTTGTGTAATGACACAGGGCACCCAGCTCACAGTAATAGCATATGAGAGTGCGAGTTGGAGGCTAAAAGGATGCTATCCTATAGGTCTACTACGAAGGATACAAAAAAGATGAAGGGGGAACCCCGTTAAGTTTGTTTCCTTAAGTACCCGAAACGGGCCCGACTCGGTTATCCCAACCCTAGCCCTGAACCTTCCACCGCAACAGGTCCGCATCGACCCTGAACCCTACACCCTTACCGTCCCCCACTATAGTGTAACTCGCTATGTCCTCCTCTACTGGTCCAAAACCACACCAAGTCGGATTTCATGCTTGTGGTGACCGTAACAGCTCTGAGGCGGGTTCTTCGAGTATCTAGGTAAGGAGGCATCCTTACACTTTGCAGACTTATATAACTTCTTTAAGTAGTAGCTCAGATCAGCATGGTCAGCCTTGAGTGCTAAGTGAACAGCCTTCTCATCTTCAGTAAGGTTGGAGACGCAGTTGCGAGCTTTGATAGTATTCGCATTAGTGGAGAGTTCTTCATGTGCCTTGAGTTTCGCCATACTAACTAAACACGTGATTAGCAGAGATCTCCAGAAGTTCTGGCTATAGAATCAAGATAATAAACTTAGTTGAAGTCCTAGAGAAGAGGTAAAGGCTCAAAAGGGAAGAAGAATGTGTAGATCGGAGAGTAACCAAGGAAGGTGGTTCTAAGGTCGTGGTTATTTTAAAGTTGCAAACAAAAATATTTGTGAAGGAATATTCACCTACAAAGAATTACTGTTCCAAAAACAACACCACAATGCGCACCTTCATATAAAACACATACCTTTCAACCTCTACCTCTTTACTATACTCTTCTTCTGCAATATTCTTTCTACAAACTCACTGTAAGTACACATATCTTTTGATCTACTTCTTTATCTTGTGTTTACTTTACTAACTCACCTTGATATTAGCAAATGACTCGTACCAAGCAAACTGCTAGGAGATCAACTGGCAGCATAGCACCAAGGATGCCACTTGGATTACGGGCTGGCTCTGGGCTTGGCGGAAAGGGACAGGAAAAGGCTGTGGGCACAGCAAGAAAAGCTCCAGTTTGCTCATCTCAAGCTAGCAACAATCATGCTCAGAAGGCCACGCGCTGCACAAAGTCTAGTAAGAGGATTACCAGAGGATTACCAGAGGATTACCAGAACTCTCTAATAAACATATAGGCACCAAGGCTCTCCGCGATATCAGAAGACAGCAACTTGATACTAGCTCCCATTCCAGCGTCTTGTTAGGGAAATCACAGAAGACTTCAAGTCCAATCTTCGCTTCCAGCAATCTGCTATCCTAGCTCTTTAGGAAGCTGCTGAATGCTTCCTCATTCGAGAATTTGAGAGTATGATGTTTAAACATAGTGACAGGGACATACTAACAGTTATAGTGACAAACCTCCTCGCTATTCATGCGAAGAGAGTGACAATTCAGGCAAAGGGTATGATATTGGTTCGGCGTTTGCAGGATATGATGTTTAAGCTGTGGGCTTAATCGATGGAAATGTCTCTCACCCAGGAATGAAGGTCAGATGAGTTCTGGCAACCATCTGGTAACCTGGTACCTAAAGGCCAAAGGTTATAGTGTGGAATAGGACATCAACAATATGGGAATGGAGTTGGAGTTATGGCGTCTTGATCAATGAAGTCGCACCCCGTTTTTAACATAAGTAATGGCTAATCAAACACGTGATATAACTGAGTTGCCAAGACTGTTGAAGGCCTCACGTGGGCCCAGGGAAATTGAAGCCAGATTGGGCCTAGCCCACGGATTCAGGGGCTCAGAGGTAGGTTTATTTAACGTACGTAGACCCCGTAGATAGTATAGCTTAATCAATCGACTTGAAGACCAGATTCTGTACACCCCTCACTCCGTTTTTGCCTGTTTAAAGTGATGATTCTAGCGGACCGTTGATACAGTACTAATTTGTACGTGAATCACCGACCCACGAAAATCGGAACCACCGTACACCTCCAACAGGTTATGAGCCCGGAGTCGCCCAGGGGTTAATCAGATCTCGATTCCGACGTCTCACTTCGATAAGTGAGAACTGAGTTCTACGAAAGAAGACTCAGAAACGCTGTGAAGAAGGCCACACCCTAGCCGCAGCGGTTCCGACAGAAAACGGAACAGAACAGACGGCATCGATACTCGAAGCCAGGAACAGACCGGAAACCATCCAGTATGGATACCAGTGGTACAGGGAGGGCCCTCATAACGAAGCTGACGGGCCCTAACTACCGGACATGGAGCGCGCAGGTCAAGCGCCTGCTCCAAAGCAAGAAACTCTGGCCGGCCATCGAATCGACGAAGGCAGAGCCCAAAGAAAAGGTGGCTGCCACCACAGAAGACACTGGCGAAGGCGACCCCACAAGTGAGGAACCTTCGGCCGCCCAGATAAGAGACTGGGAGGCAAGCACGCTCCTAATGAGCCTGTGCTCGAGGGAAGCCCTCGAGTACATCGTCGATATGGAAACTGCACAGGAGCAGTGGGCGAAGTTGAAGGAGCTGTACGGGCCGGTAGGCAAGCAGCAGCTGAGCGAGAAGCTCAGGTCCTTCAACAATTACGCCGTGCAGAAAACTGGCAAGACGATATCTGAACGGGTTACGGAGCTTAATACGCTCCAGGCCCAGATAGGGTCCATCGACCCTGAGGAACGCCCCTCAGAACGCCTTAAGACAACCATACTGACGGACTCCGCCAGGGCCATCGGGCCCCAGTACGAGGCCGTCACGATGCAGCTCGAGATCGCTGATGTCACTGACTTTGATTCGGTGGTCGCCCGCCTGACCGAGCATGAACGAAGGCTGGCGGCATCGAAGCCCCTTAAGGAAACAGCCCTCCAGGCGACAACTAGACAGGGTGATGCTGGCCGCAGCCGCGGCCGCGGCCGTGGCAAAGGAAGGGAGAGGGGCGGCAGACCACAGAACCAGTTCCCAGACGTGGTCTGCTACCACTGCGAGAAGTCCGGCCATTATAGGAGTGACTGTAATGACCGGAAGAAGGAACGAGCTGGTGGAAGAGAAGGGCCATCCACCGGCCCCCTCGCTGCGCCAGGTGGCGGCAAGGGACTCTCGCCCCAGTCGCAAGAGGCACATATGGCCTCAGAGACAAGCTGGATCGCCATCACTAGATGCGATGAGAATGCTACAGCCAACTGGGCTGGTGCCAGCCAAGCTCAAGAGCTCTCCTGGATCGTCGATTCAGGCTGTACGCGGCATATGACTTATGCCCGCGAGGCCTTCATCGACTACAGGCTCCTAGATGAGCCCATCCAGGTGAACATCGCTAACGGGGCATGCATTGATGCAGTCGCCGAAGGTACAGTAAGCCTCCAGACCGCTGTCAAAGGCAGGATACGCAGCGTGCAGATCTTAAACGTGTTGCACGTCCCGCTCCTCGCCGGAAACCTCATCTCGGTGCCCCATCTCCAGGATAGGGGCATCATGACATGGACCGTCAAGAGCGGCATGATGCTCCTTGAGCTCGACGGGCGAGTCATTGGAGAGGCCAAGCGTATAGGCCGCTCCTATGTACTGAACGGCACATAGGATGGCGTCGTCACCGCCCAGCGAGCGGTGGCGAAATCGCCGAAGGATGCCATGCTGTGGCATCGACGTTTTGGGCACTTGAGTTCCCAGAGCCTGCGCCTAGTTCATACTGCCGTCACCGGTATGCCAGGGGCGATTGAGGGCATCGCTGAGCCCTGCGAAGCGTGCTTGCTCAACAAGAGCACGAGGGTGATCAGCCGCAAAGCCCCTGAGCATGCCAAGGCCCCTCTAGATCGCGTGCATAGCGATATCTGGGGCCCTTACAGAATACCCGCTCTGAATGGAGCGGCGTATTTTATCACCTTTACGGACGACTACTCCCGTAAGACCTGGGTGTACGTTGTTAGCACAAAGGACCAGCTGCGGACGGTGTTCATCGAATTTCGGACTCGTGTTGAGCTGGAAACTGGACTGAGGGTGAAAATTGTCCGTTGTGATAACGGGAGTGAGTATAAGGGCCTAGACAATATGTTTAGGACCTTCTACGGTGTTCAATTCGAGTTTACCACGGCATACACGCCGTGGCAGAACGCAGTCTCAGAGCGCCTAAACCGGGCTTTGGTTCAGGCTGCAAGAGCCATGATGGCTCACGCCGGCTTGCCCCCAGAGCTCTGGGCGGAGGCCGTGATGGCAGCGTCCTATATTCGAAACAGGACGCCAGTCGGACCAGAGGGAATGACACCTGAGGAGGCGTACACCGGCAAGAAGCCGACTGTTGAGCACCTCCGTGCTTGGGGCTGCGCGGTATACCATACCGTCGCCCCTGAGCAGAACGACAAAGACAAGCTGGCCCCGAACGGCTTGCGGACAGCCTTGGTAGGCTACATGCCCGCCTCGAAGCAGTACAGACTGTACGACCCCGAGAGGAAGAGAATCATCATCTCGACCTCCCCAAGATTTGTAGAAGGCCAACGCCTCCACCTGCCTGGCATCGAAGCCGAGAGCACAGAAACCGTGGGATTCGACCCCATGGAGGCAGGGCCACAGACAGGCCCCTCGCCAAAGTCGTCTAGACAGATGACTAGACAGCCACCAGTGGCCGCAAGGAGCGACCAGACACCGGAGGCAGATGCTAGTAGCAGCTATGCTGATCTAGCGCCAGACCAGACCCTCCCTGTTCTAGAACAGGGGCACATTGGTGAGGACACCAATGCCCCTGTGAGCGTGAACGCTCTAGGGAGGGACATGAACCAGGAGGCATACCGACCGCCCCCTACGTCCAGTTCACCAGAAGACGGTGGCAGAAACCACCACAGCCAGGCACGCGCAGCGCTGCCGAGAGCTGTCTCCCCTCTCGAAGAGGAGGACGAAGGTGATCCAGGCCGCCAGCTTCTCGCAGAAGCTGAGCTGGCGATCGAAGAACCCGCTGTAAGGCGTAGCGGCCGTGAGAGGCGGGCGCCGAACCGATTCGAGGGGGCACTCTATGCTGCCGTCGAGAAGATCCCGATACCAAGAGACTTTAAGGAAGCCCTCGGTGACCCGTCCTATGGGGCGGACTGGGCACAGGCCGCTCAGGAAGAGCTTGCCCAGCTCCAGTCGCTCGGGACATGGGAGCTCTCAGAGCTCCCGAAAGGGAAGCGCCTCCTAGGATGCCGATGGGTGTTCAATGTCAAGTATACACCCACCGGCCTCGTGGACCGCTTCAAGGCCCGCCTCGTCGCGCAGGGCTTTAGCCAGGTTCCAGGAGACGACTTCCTAGAGACATTCTCGCCCACAATCAGGGCCGAGTCACTAAGGCTTCTGCTAGCGATCGGCGCCTACGAGGATCTAGAGATCCGTCAAGTAGACGTCGTGAGTGCCTATCCACGCTCAGATTTGCACGCGGAAGTCTATATGAGACCGCCAGAAGGACTAGACTGCCCAAAAGGCAGTGCCTTGCGAATCCGGAAGTCGCTCTACGGCCTAAAGCAATCTGGCCGTGAGTGGTACATCGAGGCATGCAAAGGCCTAAAGGGGCTCGGACTGGAGCCTCTATTCGCAGACCCTAGCGTTTTCGCCACGACAGACCGCAAGCTTCTCGTCGGCTTATACGTCGACGACATGCTCATCCTCGCGAAGGACCCAGCAGTCGTCGATCAGGCTGTTGCTTTCATTCAGGAACGATGGCAGATCAAGGATCTCGGAGATGTAGGCCAGATCCTCGGAATCCAGGTGACCCGGGACAGGAAGAGACGCCTCCTGTTCCTCGATCAGGGGGCCTACATCGACCAGCTGGTAAAGCGCTTCGGCCTCGAGAAGTCGAAGCCTTTCCTGACGCCAGCTGCGGACAGGACCGCTCTCCTGAGAAGCGACGGCACCGAACAGCAAGCAGACCAACACCTGTACCAGCAGGGGGTTGGGTCCTTAGCCTGGCTGGCAGTATGCACACGCCCGGATATTGCATACGTCTGGGGGCAGCTCAGTCAGAGCTGCTCGGCACCTACAATCCGGAACTGGAACGGCGTCCTTCACGCCATTCGATACGTGAAGGGTACGAGGGATCTGCGGCTAGTATTTGGGGGAACAGGGGGCGATTTATCGCCCCAATTACATGGATACTGTGATGCCGACTACGCTGGTGATCACACAGACCGCCACTCAGTCTCAGGGCACCTGTTCATACTGAACAAGGGGCTCGTGAGCTGGAGCTCGGCGAAGCAACGGTGCGTGGCCACATCCACCACCGAGGCTGAATATATCGCCCTATGCGATGCGGCAAAGCAGAGCCAATGGCTCCGCATGCTCCTCTTGGAGCTCCGACGAGAAGAACTCGTTGGGAAGGACCGTGCCGTCCAGCTTTTCGGTGATAACCAAGCATGCTTGGCCATTGCTGAAGACCCGATGGCGCACAAGCGTACCAAGCACATCGACGTGCGGTACCATTACACACGACAGCTCATCGCTTTTAGAAAGGTAAGAGTGGCGTATGTGCCCACAGCAGACATGCTGGCCGATGTGCTCACAAAGCCATTGCCACTGCCTGCCTTCAATCGGTGCACCAGGGATTTCCTAGTGCCACCAGCCAAATAGAAGAGAGTCCCAAACCCCTTCAAGACCGGCAAAGGAGATTTGGAGCCTCTTCTTCGAAGAGACCCCTATATATACAACTACAGGACTACGTAAGGGGGCTGTTGAAGGCCTCACGTGGGCCCAGGGAAATTGAAGCCAGATTGGGCCTAGCCCACGGATTCAGGGGCTCAGAGGTAGGTTTATTTAACGTACGTAGACCCCGTAGATAGTATAGCTTAATCAATCGACTTGAAGACCAGATTCTGTACACCCCTCACTCCGTTTTTGCCTGTTTAAAGTGATGATTCTAGCGGACCGTTGATACAGTACTAATTTGTACGTGAATCACCGACCCACGAAAATCGGAACCACCGTACACCTCCAACAAAGACCCATACTAGGTACTCAGCAAGTGAGTAATCCTCATTCAACAATACTCGGGACATGAGCGAGTAACTCAGCTGGGTGAGTAAAAATTCTACTACTCGACTCGTGAGTACCCAGTGCGCAGCCTACCTGTTGGCCTGAACACCATCAAGAACCAGTATTTCATCATCTACGCCGTTTTCAACGCCACCATCGCGTTGCTTGTGTACTTCTGCTTCCCGGAGACGAAAGGCCGTACTCTTGAGGAAATCGACGACATCTTTTTGCAGTCCAACACCACGGATGGCCCGCAGGCTGCCTAGGCTGCACCTTTCTGGAGAAGTAGATCAAAAGCAGAGTTTGAATGAGGAGAGGGGCGCATATGCGTTGAAAGAGTTATGAGTCATTTGCTAGATCGAAGATGTGGTTGTGTTATTGTCTGCTTTGTTTTTCCTTTTGCAAACGGAGCTTCCCCTTACGAGACGTGCCTTCATAGCGAACGCTTGATATACTGTAGCATTCGTAGCTAGCTCATTGAGCATAGCAGAACAGAACGTACTGTATTCAAGTTGCTATACTTAGCGTTCCCTGGGGAGCTGCCTGTGAAATAGTATGTGAATAAGGCTGCAATGGAGTAAAAAAGAAGAGGTGACCCTTTGGAGGCTTAAAGGGTATTTATACTCTTTTGCCAAAACTAATAAAGCGGGATGGCCCGACCCCGAGCACAGCATAACGCCGTTGTCCGTGCTGATCACGATTCGCGGCCCAACTCAGTACACCCCGCATCCACTGATCTACCCAGGTATAGCAAAAGAGTGTAAATACTCTTCACCGAAGGGTAGTTCCGCATGAACACAAATCGTCAAATAATAACTAGCCACCATAAGTACAGTAGCCCCCTAATCCGCCCTAAACGGATCAAAAATCTCCTCCGGCCAAGGCCCCATCTCAAACACACACGAGAACTCATGTGTCCCCGAACCAACAACCTGCCCCTGACCATCCCCAACCGCTCCATGCACATGGTCGGGCAGGATAACAACCGCCGTAGTATTCGGCGGGACCTCAAGTTTCATCGTGAACTTCGTCCCCTCCAACGTCCAACTACACTCAATCCGTCCATACGGGCTCTCATACCTGACCTCAGCCGACGTCAGCGACCCCCCGGGCACAGGCCTGACCATTATCTCCTTCCATCCCGGCGCTAAGGGGCTAATCCCACCAGCAGTTGTGTGTAGCCAGTTAATCACCGAGCCGAGGGCGTAGTGGTTGAAGCTTGTCATAGACCCCGGGTTGATCGACCCGTCTGGGAGCATGCTGTCCCAGCGCTCCCATGTTGTCGTGGCGCCCATCGTGACGGGATATAGCCACGAGGGACACTTCTTCTCCAGCAGCATGCGATAAGCGAGCTGGCTCTGTCCTGAGCGAGTCAATGCGTGCGTGACGAGTGGAGTGCCCGCGAAGCCGGTGGAGATGCGGAAGCGGGAAGTGCGGACAAGGCGGGAGAGGCGCTCTGCAGCTGCTTCAGCCTGTGGTGGTTGTTCATGGAGATTAAACGCGAGAGCAATAGAAAGGGCAGTTTGGGTGTCGCTCACGAGGAGACCGAGAGGAGTGATGTATTTGCTCTGGAAGAGGGCTTTGAGTTTTACTGCATCAGTAGAGTAGCGTTCTACGTCTTCGGGGTGGTTGAGGATGGCGCTGATCTGCGCAAGTGTCGATGTGACGCGAACGAGATAGGCGTCTGCGACTAATACGCCGTCGGTTCGGCCCATGGATGGCTCATCGGGAGGGGCTGCGGGGTCGAGCCAGTCGCCGAGCTGTCTGGCCAATGGGTCCCAAAGACCATCTGGATCGCGAGCAACTCCTTTGTCTACCCAGCCTCTCATACTCTCATACTGTCTACGTAGGATCTCTATATCGCCAAAGGGGTTGTATAAGTCCCAGGGCGTCAATACGACCACGTCATGCCAGACCGCTTGCCCACCCTTGGGCCAGATATCGCGGAGGATATTTGGGACAACAATACCAGGAATCATATTCTCCTCGTCCTTAAACTGCTCTTCTGAAACATCTTCAAGCCAGTTGCTCAACATACCTGCAGTATTGTAGAGGAAATTTGCTGAGGGGCAGAATACCTGAATATCGCCCGTCCATCCCAGACGTTCATCCCGCTGCGGGCAATCCGTCGGGATCGACAAAAAGTTACCACGCATACCCCAAACAACATTCTCATGGAGCTTATTAACAAGGGTGTCGGAACAATTGAACCAGCGAGTCCTCTCCATGTTTGTATGCATGACTAGCGCAGTAAAGTCAGACTTATAAGGGAGTTCAGCATCCGCAGTTGCTGGCCACCCTTCAACCTGCACGTACTGGAAGCCGTGGAATGTGAATTTCGGCGACCAGCCGCGGAGCTCCTTTTCAGAAAAGACAATAGTATCAACGCAGACTGCTCCTCGAAGCGGACGTGTGCCGATTTCGCCATTCTCGAGCACTTCGACATGTGTAAATGAGATCTTCTGACCCGCGGGGAGTCGGACGGAGCTGACACGAAGCTTGCCTACCAGGTTCTGCCCAAAATCAATGACTGTTTTCCCGGACTTTGTCTTGATAATATCGACTGGGTTGACCTCTTCTGTGACCGTAACGGGCGGCGCATCCGGTGCCAAGAGTTTTGTAGAGAGGGGAGGGAGAACTTTGACTCCTTCCCAGGTGGCGCCATCAGGGGTAATAATGATTTCATTCCATCCCTCTTGCTCCTCCCTCATATCATAAACTTCGCCGTCATAAATCTCACTCCGAATCCTCGGGCTCTTCCCGCACATCCACGATTCGTTCGAGATCAACGTAAAACGTTCACTTGAATCAGCAAACTCGACCTCGAGCTGCACAAGTGATGCCAGTTCTCTCCCGTAAATGAAACGCTGACCCCCATGAAAACCCAAGCGGCCAGCATACCATCCCTCACCCACTTCAACACCAATGACATTGTCCCCATCCGCCTTCAGACTCTCAGACACATCAAACACCTGATAATGATGCCTATGCTTATAACTCGTCCACCCCGGCGTCATCGCCTCATTCCCAATTCTCTTCCCATTGATATACGCCTCATACACACCGCACGCAGTAGTATATAGCCGCGCCTTAACAACCTTCCCCTTCTCACTCCCCAGCGAAAACGCCTTCCTGAACAACACAGGCCTCAACGGACCCTCATCAACATCAGGATTAGTAATGAGTTTCGCTATCCAGTCGCTCTGATTCAACAGCCCCGCTTCACCCGTAACCCACGCCGACCACTCCGTCCCTTCCTTGCTCTCGCCTCCAAACGCCTTGACTCTGACTTGTACGACATCGCGTGATTGCAGCGCCGCGCTCGGCCAGGGCACCAGCACAGATTCCCTGCTCTCGACGGAGTATGACTCTGCTGCTCCCTCGCCCTGTCCTCGGCGTATTTCGAGCTCATATGCGCGCTGCTTCCAGTTTTTGACGGAGGGGGATCCGGCGGCGAAGCGCCATGAGAGGCGGGGTTTAGCGTGGCCGATGGCGAGGAGGGAGTGGGTGTTTTCGAAAGTTGCAGAGGTGATCTGTGGTTGAGCCGTCATTATGTGGGATTTGGGGCAATGTAAGTGCTGTGTTTATTATATGAGCCCTTGTCGGGGTAATTTATAACATGGGAATGGTTGTTTATGGATTTGGGATATGGAGAGAGGTTGAGGGGATGCCTGTATGTGAGATATACGTTGTCGAGGGCAATTATACCGAGCCTAACTCCCACGTAGTACTATCCGAGACCCCATAGGCCTATAAAGTGCTGCTCGTCAGCAGTTAAGCCGAAGAGCGATCACTCTTACCTTCGAGATGAGATGTCTTGGTGCGGAAGAGGCGGCGGACACAAGAGGGGAATGCGGGGTAATGGGGAAGGAACCCCACCAGGCGCATCCCGCAGCTATTTCTGGAACGACCCGAACTTTCCCCGGCGCTTCTCTGAGAATATGAGTATATGAGTATATCGCCAAACTATAAATGTTACTTTAGGTGCTAGTATTGATTATTAAGATACTGTAAATTGGAAGATATGAAATCGCCGCTACAAGATAGCGCTTAGCTTCTCGACTTCCCACTTATAATCATCTTAGATACGGTCCGGAAATACAATACATCTATCTTATAGTCCCTCCTAATATTCATCGCCCTTCCCGCATCTCAGTAATCCTCATACACTTCATACAGCTCAAATGGCGCCTCCCCCAGCACCTCTCTAAACTTCATAAACGGCTTCCGGACCGACACTCTAAACTCATCCGCCCTCGCCGTCCTAAGCAACTCCAGCATCGCCCAAACCATATCGTCCGCCCATTCCTGATTCACCAATGTATCGGACGGAAGTATAGAAACATGCAGCACCCTAAGCCCAGTCATCAACCCCAAGCAACGACATATATCCTCCCAATCCTGGCCGTCCAGCACCTCGTTCCACCCCGCACGCACATCAACCCCCCCGGCAACAACTGGGACACTAAACTGGAACTCCAGCCGCATCACCCGAACCCACCGCATGTAATCCACGCGCTTCGTGTTTCCGTGCACGAACTGCCCTAGCGACGGCTGGTACCAAAACGTGAAGCCCGTCGAGGCATATAAGAACCTGATCGACTCCGCGTAGCTTTCCGCAATTAGCTCTCCTCGCGCTATTATTACAGATTACGATTTATAAGGGGGCGGAACATACACTTGTCGACAACATAGCGCTAGCCCGAGCAAATTCCTCTCCTCGCCGGGCTCCTGTTTAAGCAACTTCCTCTCCTCGCCGGGCTCCTGTTTAAACTCCAGATACTGGTAGTTGTCAGGGTACTCCCTAACCACCTCTCCCCGCCAGCCCGCCTGCCACTTTCCGCCCGTGTGATCCGAATTAATCTCCCTGTACCGTAGAGCGCCCCTCGAAGGTCTGCACGTGAAGATGTTCCAACGTACGCCGAGTAGCAGCTCCCGGCCCGCAAAGACGAAGTGGTAGATCCGCGCACGTATTTCGGGAGGGAGGAAAGTGAGGAAGAGAGAAGCGGTGGGCATAGAGGGGGGTGAGTTCGCGGGTGGTGGTGCAACGGGGGCTGGAGCAATGGGGAGTGCCGGCTCAGGGCTGCGGCGGCGGGTGAGGCGGCGCGCTTGCCGGAGCGTCGCTGTGACAAGGGGTTTGAGTTGGGCTGGGCCGCGCTGAGCTTTGGTGAAGGGTTTGGATCGGGCTCCATAGTCAGATAATGCCATGAAGCTTCCTACAAAAACAAAAGCATTGTAAAAATCCCCCCATCCTTTCGCTTGTAGCCTTCAGCCTTGCCACGGCCACAACACAACACATGCAGTAGCTGTCAGGATAGGCGACCGTGGCGGCCGTATGTGGGGTGATGCGGGGAGACGCAAGGGCGGTTGCGTTAGGGTATTATCCGACCAACTGGAGACATCATCCCATTCTAACAATGCTCACAGATACAATTCTGAACTAGAAAAAGCCGCAAGCGCCGAAATGGACCTATCTCCGCGCCGGATTCAAAAACGATCACAGCACCAAGTCAGCGCGTCATCACGCCACAACCTCATCGCCCTCGCCACATAAAACCCAAGCCCCAAAACGCCCACCCAGTCGCAAAACCACGGATAGAAGCTATCAGTCAAGCCGGTACATTGCTCTCGGATTGGATATCACGGATACCGCTGCCAGTGCCCAGAGCCGTTTCGTTGATTTGTATGGCGATCTTGTTTCTGTATGCGTTGTGGAGCAACTGGGTGCTTGGGAGGCTAAAGTAGATGTGGGGAAATATATCGAGTTTGTGGAAATCTATAATATGGAGTGGGGACTAGAGCGCCTTCCCTCGAGCCAAATACGCCTGTGAATATATCGAACCATAAGTGAAAGTCGGCATCCAAAGTGAGAAACCAATCCTTCACCAGCCTCTCCCAGCTTCCTGTTCCCGTATGACTCCAGACCATCACTCAAAAACACCTAAACAACTCCCTCGTCAACCAAACCACAACCCAAAGCAATACCCAATCACAGGCAGCGGCGCATTCTTCTGCCTCATATGCTGACAAATATACCACGGCAACAAAGTCCCCTTCGTATTCCCTGGGCACCCAATTAGCTATTTCTCCCTCATAAACGCCATTACCTGACACGGTACCGGTCCCCCTATATTCCCGGTAAGACGGCACCCTGGCATTGCCAAAAACGGGAAAGGGAGTGAGTGAGTTCAGCACATACCAATAACTGCGATCTGCGCCTACCTCCGTCGATCAACCTCCTTCTTCAACATCACCAACACCGTCACCACAACCACCTCCTCTCCAATCCCTCCTGCAAACATATCCTCCCCCCCGGCCCTATCGAGCGCCATCTCCAACCTCCCCCCGTTCCGCGAACAACTCTTCTTCGTCCCCGGCGTGCGCGTCTCTTCCCCCCTCACAAAGCGGGCTACAGTCGTCCTAATTCCTTCCTTCCCCTCCCCTTCCACCCGTTCCAATAAAAGGAGAGAATGGCACCCTTTACCCCTGTCCCCTTCAACGCCGCGCCTCTCGGAACTACCGCCGTAGCGCCACTGGTACCGCCGGCCGCCCCAGCTAAAACTGATTGTCCGGGCTGTCCACTTTGGCATCGACATTACTACCTCCTTATCCCCGATACACACCACTGGATCGGATGACGGGGCCTACTTGTACCGTGTCTCTGCTAGCGGCGCGCCGGTCTCGTCGTCCGCGCGGACAAGAGTGCAGTTCCCTGAGTTCCTTACCGCGCGGGTAGACAGGTAGACAGGGCGATCACAACGCCCATGAGACGAGAGACTAAAGACCGCGGTAGTGAGTTGCTTAGGCGGGCTCGGAAACGCGAGCAAAGCCTGGCCGGAAGTTTGGATTTGCAGGCTGGTAGTGGCGTGGAACGGGGTATAGGGTGGGGGAGGGCGGAGTGTGGATTGTGAGTAGCGGGTCCTTGTGGTGAGGATGAAGGCGGTGTCGAAGGGGTTTTTGAGGGAGGAGGTTTTCTTGGGATAAGCGGAAGGGGAGGGTTGAGGGTATGGGGAGGAGTTGGAGGGGGTAGGTGTCGTGGGAGGTCATTGTGGTGGTGGTTATTGGGGTTTGTGTGTTATGTGTGCTGTATCTGTGTTTTTAGTGTGCAGGAGGTAGTATTGTGATGCTGTGAACACAGAGAATAGAATATGATCGTGAGAGTTGAATAAGAAAACGCAAACCTACAGCAGGAAACATAGTTATATACCTCACCTTCCCCCTCCTCAATTGCCGTTTGATATCCTGGCAACTCTCAACTCTTTACTTTCTTTAAGCCTTCTGGAGTCTCTCCATCCCCACTAGCGCCCCTTCCCAGCACACCCTAACCTTATCGGATGACTAGTAAAGATGTAGAGGATGAAAACCTACCCTGCCAGCTAGATATCTGCGCCGCCTGGGCGATCTCGAGCATACATTCGTAAAAGGCCTTCTCTGCATCTCTCACGACCAGTGGCCTGCAGGCCTCGAGGGAACCGATGGCCCCGTTTGTCAGGTCTGGATCAATACCGGGAGCGCCCTGGAGATACGGCCCCATCTTCGCCAGCTGCTCGTCATTGAGAACCTCAAAGACAAACTTGAGCTGCTTGACCCCCATTTGCCAGGCTACCACCATGCACCCGCGAATGAAGGACATGTACTCTGGGAAGCCGTCAGAAATGAGGGCCGATTGGAATACCAGCGTGTAACACGTGGCTAGCATGGCGTTTCCTTCCTCCATTGTGTGGAGGCCGCGCGACAAGGCTGTGCTGAGGGACTCGATTGCGCGTACGCGGTGGTTGATCCCCGACAGAGCGAGGGCTGAGTCGTTAGGCGAGTATCCTGATATGTCCGACGCTGCAAGCGCGCGCATTGCGTGTAGTAAGTATTCATGCTGTGGATTGCGTTAGTTATGGAGCATTGAGAAGTAAAAACTTAGGCGTAGCATCTGAGTGGAGGTAGAATGGCGTACATTGTGTGCGATACTTGGGATATCGTGTGCCCAGGCCGCCTCATTCCCAAGCGGGTGAGAATGGTGGCATTCTTTAACAAAGTGATTAAACAATCGGAAGTATCAGACGGAGGCACTCGACATTTTGAAGAGTAAGGGGGGTCAACGAGGCGGAGGCGGCGGTACTAAATACCGTCGCTGATGTTCTGGATAATTGCCTCTTTGGGTTAGACCTGTCATTCGTTAGCCAGGACATTTATTTGCGGGTAAAGATTGGCGCTAAAGGCCTGAACAAGCTACTGTACTGGCCTGCCATACACCTATGTTTGTCATGTTTGCCATGTTTGTCATGTTTGCCATGTTTGTCATGTTTGCCATGTTTGTCATGTTTGCCATGTTTGTCATGTTTGCCATGTTTGTCATGTTTGCCATGTTTGTCATGTTTGCCATGTTTGTCATGTTTGCCATGTTTGTCATGTTTGTCATGTTTGTCATGTTTGCTCTCCCGAACCTCTTGGCACAGGCAACCCCATTGACCCAGAGCTTCATTTCTGATAGCCCACATTCGCACCATATGGCAAACAGTCCTTCAATATTGATGCTCTGAACGATACATAGCTTCCCCAGATAGTTTTGCTGGTCCACCGATACATTACCCTCCACCTAAAGCCTATCCAAAGCCATGTCTTATGATGGCAGTGCAGCATCGTCTTCACCAGACAACTCGCAGCATCAGGACGTGACCGATATACCCATAACAACTCTCATACAACACCTCATCGATGCCAAGAAGGCCCTGAGTTCTATTGGAACATTATGGCGCGCCAACGAGATTGTGAGCGCGGCACAGGATGCGCTGGGAGAGAGCGTCATCTTAACCGCGAGGACTAGCTTTCTCCGGACGGGGATATCACAACAGGTCCGGCTACTCGAGAAGGTCAGGAGAGGGATTCAGGTCGTCTACGATGATGGACAGGCCGATTTTGAGGTAAGCCCCCCCCCCGTCACGAGCCCTAGTCCATCACTAACAACCACAGAACGTCATCAAGAACCTTGACGACGCCGACGACCGCCTCAAAAAGACAATGGACACCCTCCGCACCACCATCGTCGCCTCCGCCCTCCGCCCCCCCTCCGAACCCCCTCGCTCCCTCCTCGATTTTATCGACGAGAACGCCATCGAAGCCACGCGCTCCGCCCTCAAAACCACCATCGACCTCACCCAATCCGCGCGCTCTTCCTTCGCCTCCTCAATCCGCGCCTTCGACACCTCCCGCCAGGCCCTCAAATCCGCCATCACCTCCGCCCCCCCCCAACCCCCGCACACTCCTCCCCCACCCCCCCCCTCCTCCACGACCTCCGCATCCACGCCGCTGAAATGGCACTCCTCCTCGAATCACTCACATCCCACTTCGACCTCTGCGCCAAAGCAGTCAAGCACACCGAGGGCGGCTTCCTCGCCCTCAAAGCAGCGGCATCGAATAACCAGCTCCCCGCCGGCGTCACAATATCGGGCGTCATCCCCTCCCCCGCCGCTTCCTCACATCTCAGCCCTGTCTCACCCGACGAGCGCGCAGCTATGCTTCGCGTCCTCGCCGCTGACGCTACGGAACTCCCAGCCGTGGTGCAGGACCTCGATCTCCGCCTCCAGGAAATGGAAGCCCTCCTCCCCCATATCTCTCACCACGTCGAGGCCGCCCGCTCCGCTTACTCCGCCACCACAGCCGCCTTCACCATGCTCGAGCGCCTCGCTGCCTCCCTCCCGGCCTATATCGCCGCTAGCACATCCTTCGCTAGCGCCTGGCAATCCGCTAAGGCCGCGTTGAACGACCAAGCTGACGAGCTAGCCAATATGCGTACCTTCTATGAAGGCTACCTCGCCTCCTACGACGGCCTCGTCCTCGAGGTCGCGCGCCGCCACGGCGCGGAGCGGAAGATGAAGAGTGTCCTAGCTAAGGCGATGGAGCAGGTTGAGAGGCTGAGGGAGGCGGATACGGTAGAGCGGAAGGCGTTTAGGAGGGAGGTGGGGGCGTTTTTGCCGAGTGATCTGTGGGAGGGGCTGGTGGGGGATGCGCCGAGGTGGGAGGTGGGGGTTTTTGAAGGGGGGGGGGGAGTACGCCGGGGTTGGAGAGGGGGCTGGTGGAGGGGTCGTTGGTGAGGGAGAGGGAGAGGAGGGGTGGGAGGAGGTAGGTGTAAGGGTGAAGGTGGGGTTGGAGTTGAAGTATAGGAAGGGTGGTGGGAAGGTGTAGTGTATTATACCTCACTTTTGTCCCAATATTATGATATATCTACATAACCAGTAGGCTGAACCCTCGAGGCTGGAACACTTGCAGCAAGCACGTAGCTACTCGATCTCAACCCTTTGTTATTATTTGCCATCCACTCGACCTGCCGATACACTTACAAGCCCCGTGCTTAACAGATGGCAACCTTTTCAAGCATCTACTCACTATTCTCCTACTTATTTTGAGTCCAATCAATCCTAGAATATGCTTTGCTCCCAACTAATATGTGTTCTATAAATCGCAGCGACGGCGAGCCCAGATCACCCCTCAATCGATGCCATCACCGGGGCCCTGTCTAAACGGAAGTTTTGTGAAGTCCAGAACACCATCGAGCCACCAGCGCACAAGCGATCTCGTGTCAGCAGCTTGTCATTTTTGGATTTGGCCTGCGCTGAAAACCCTACTGCTGTCGCCCTCGTTCTCGTCACTGTCGCTCCCTACGCCATCTTCTCGTTGCTGTCGCTACCTGTCGTCACCGCCAGCCTCTCACCACCGTCTCCTATCACCACCGCCTCTGTAATGCCTTCCTACCTGCCTCTCATACTTACCTACCACTATCCACAGCGCCATGACTGAGAGGGACGCCTCTTGCGAATGAGCGTGTTCCGTAGTTTCTAGTGCAGACATGGAGGTTTAGAGGGGGGAGGGGGTATTTGAATGCGCCCTCTTCTTGTTGCTGTCATCACAACATGCTTCTCACCACCGGTTGCCTGCCATCACCGCCTGCCTCTGATTCCCACCTGCCACTCTCCACAGCCATCCGCCAGAATCCTCATTCACAAGATCTCACAACGGTCACCAACAAGATAACTTAACGGCCCGTTTTAACCAAAACCCCGGCTGCTCGATGCATATCCATGGTGTGGAAGAAAGGTGGGCGTTGAGACCGCCGATTGGTCAGGATATGGGATGGGAGATGAGCAATCGGGGAATGGCGGGACAAGCTTTTTTGTGAGGGCGCGATTGGGGCTTACGGCAGTTCTGATGCGATCTAGAGGAGTGTGTGCGTGTGATATTGATGCTTTAGAAATTGTATATGGGATATCAACTTATAAACAGATCAATAACGCTCGCTCTCCCTAAATTAACGGGCACATCCTACTTAACTTACCTGTATAGCTGCTTATTCACTTTCGCCGAAACCCTCCTCCCACTCTCTCTGAAATAATAACAACCCCGTTCCCCCGTACCAGAATCTCCACCACCGCCTCGGCCGGCATGAAGATGGACAGCTTCTAGAGCCATCTAGTAACCCCCCTCGCCGCCTCTCGAGCCTCCTCTTTCTGTAGTTCTCTCCACCAGCAAATTGCGACTTCAGAGATAGTTAGAAGGAGGAGAAGACGACGACGACGACGACGACTAAGAGGGGACGACTAAGATGACGGGAGTGCTACAGGGAAAGAGGTCCCAGACGTGTTCCCACATCATCCCCGCAAATATTCTGATATCCCCGCACGCAACTTTCCGGATTGTGACTATTCTAGCCTGCTGCACACGCACCCTGGTGGTTATCGGGGAAGGGAGGAAGGAATGTAGAGGTTAATCTCTCTCCCTCTATCTGTCGATCTAGTCTGGGGAAATTCTAATTTAACACTTGACATCTGCCCCCGTTGTCTCGTATCCATCCTTCTTATAGCTTGACCTCCACCCTTCCTCATCCCCTCCTCATCCCTCCTCCCCTCCCTCATCCCTCCTCCCCTCCCTCATCCCTCCTCCCCTCCCTCATCCCTCCTCCCCTCCCTCATTCCTCCTCCCCTCCCTCATCCCTCCTCCCCTCCCTCATCCCACCCACTCCATTCCCTAAAAATGCAACACGACTCAGCAGGCATGGATTCCTCCACCATGAAGAAGACCCAAACAGCCCAGACCACCCAAACCTACGGCGACGACGCCCAACTCGCCGCCCTCGGCCACCACCGCGAACTCAACCGCTCCTTCTCCCCCCTCTCCATGCTCGGCCTCTGCTTCGCCATCCTCAACTCCTGGACCGCCCTCGCCGCCTCCCTCTCCCTCGCCCTCTCCTCCGGTGGCCCCTTCTCCGTAATCTGGGGCCTCATCACAGCCGGCATCTGCAACCTCGCCCTCGCTGCCTCCCTCGCTGAGTTCCTCTCCGCGTACCCGACGGCGGGCGGGCAGTACCACTGGGTCGCTGTTATTAGTTGGAAGAAGTGGGTGCCGATCTTGAGTTGGGTGACGGGGTGGATTAATGTTTCTGGTTGGATCGCGTTGGTTGCTTCGGGGGGGTTGTTGGGGAGCCAGCTTATTATTGGGGTTATTTCGCTGATGAACCCGCCGTATGTGCCGCAGCGGTGGCATCAGTTCCTCATCTACATCGGCTACAACATTGTTGCGTTCCTCATCAACACCTTCCTCACACGCATCCTACCCACCGTCACCAAAGCCGCCCTCTTCTGGTCCATAACCGGCTTCGTCGTGATATCCATCACCGTCCTCGCCTGCGCCTCTCCCAACTACTCACCCCCCGACTTCGTGTTCCGCGAATTCATCAACGAAACGGGGTGGCCTGATGGAATCGCCTGGTTGCTTGGACTTCTTCAGGCGGGTCTAGGTGAGTGGCCCCATAGCTACTGAGTATCTAAGCGTTCTAAATCTAATGTTTTTCAACAGGACTCACCGGCTTTGACGCGGTGGCGCATATGATTGAGGAGATTCCGAATGCTGCTGTTGAGGGCCCGAAAATCATGATTGCTTGTGTGGCGATTGGGGTTTTCACGGGCTTCGTCTTCCTCACCGTCCTCCTCTTCGTCGCGGGCGACGTGCAGGAGGTTATCAATTCGGCGGCGGGTCCTATGTTGGCTATCCTCTACAACGCCACAGGCAGCAAGGCCGGCTCCATCTGTCTCCTAATGTAAGTTATCAACCTTTTTTCTGCAGCCGAAACGCAAACTAACCCCCCTCCCCAGCTTCCCCCTAGTCTGCCTCCTCTTCGCAACAACAAGCATAATGACCACCTCCTCGCGCATGACCTACGCCTTCGCGCGCGACGGCGGCCTCCCCGCCTCCCGCTTCTTCGCCAAGGTCCACCCGCGCCTCGACCTCCCCCTCAACGCTTTGTACCTCACTACCGCCCTCGTCGTGGTGTTTGGGTGCATCTTCCTCGGGTCGAGTAGCGCGTTTAATGCGATTATCTCGGCGAGTGTGGTGGCCCTGGGAGTGAGTTACGGGATCCCCATCGCGATTAACTGTCTCAGGGGCCGCAATATGCTGAGGCCGAGACCGTTCGTGCTGCCAGAATGGTTGGGGTGGGCGGCTAATCTGATCGGACTGGCGTATGTCGCTGTTACGACGGTGTTGTTTTTGTTTCCGCCGGTGTTGGAGGTTACAGGGAGTAACATGAATTACTGCGTTGTGGCGTTCTTCCTCATATTCGTCATCGCCACGATCCAATGGTTCGTCGATGGCCGCAAGAACTTTAAGGGGCCGAAGTTTGATGCGCATGCGCTTGAGCATGGAGAGGTTATTGGGATGCCGAGGGTGGCCGGGGGGGGGAGGGGGAGTGGGGGGACGGAGGGGACGGTGGTGGAGGAGAAGGGGAAGGAGGGGGAGTAGGGGGGTAGAGCGTGGGACATGGGGATGCGGGGAGATACATTAGATAAGCTATTTTTGAAGAAATAAATCACAGATCCACACTTCACGTTAACCACAACTGCCGCAATAGACACTGCATCTTCAACCCCAATATACACCTTCCCACCACATCCCACCCCCCATACCTCCAATCATCCCCGAGCAACACTCCGCCCAGCTGCTAGCTAGGCCCCGATCAACTATATAAACCACCCCTCCGAGAGTGAAAGAGGGAACAAACGCACGTACCAGAATAATGGATATTTGTTGAAGGAGGAGGTTGCTCAGACTGATTGGTTGGGCATGTGGCTCGCCAACCGAATCGGGTTGCGGACCACCCACAAATAGTTCCGTAGATAGCTTCACTCAGAAAAACAATACAACACATATTACAGTGAACTGTTGTTCAACTCAACTTGATGACTTATACTACCGCAGCAAGTGATATCATACACTTCAACAATATTCCCATAGGGGAGGACTGGACGCTCTGAAGCTAGAAGGGCCTGTGATGATGTCGGGAGAGTGTGTTGGTGCTGGTGGCGGTGAGAAGAGGTTTAGACGGTGAAGGGGTGTGCGTGGTGAGAAAGGGGCGGTGAGAAAGAGGTGGTGACAGCAACCTCTCGACGACAGCACGGCCGCAACACTTCCTGACGGCTCCTCACCAGCATTGCACATCTACCTACGCGCGGACACCTTTTTACCACACAGCCAGGGCAAGAAGTTGATACGAGTGTGTGATGTTGATCACAAATAACACAAACGAGGTGTACGATATTTAAAACGGTAGGTTCGTGGTGACAGAAAATGGGTGGCTATACCAGGTTCACAACGCTGGGCAATACAGCAGTGTTGTAAAACAGCCGGCTGCCATATGAGTAATTCCAGTGGCGACGCAGTATGCGGTGGCCTGCCCTAGTGAAATTGTTGGAGACGAGAATAGAGGAATGAAAGGAAATGTATTTTTGGCGCTTCGGGGTCCTTTATGGGGGACAAAGTAGCTTCTGCGTCTACTCGCCATGCTATTGAGCTTCACGCTTTTTCTTTATTCAGGGGGGGATGAGTGGCGAGTATCGAGTATCGATTGGGTAACTGAGCTCATTGAGATGGGATCGAAAAATACGAATCCGCCCCTCTTGACCGCTGGCAATCCCCATTAGAAATTAAGAGGAAAGAAAGGGGGAATAGGAGAAGGAAGGATTGGAACATGTTATATTACGGCGTCACTCCTAAGACTAATCACCCACGCAAGAAAAACGGCCGTGGATGAGCCAGTTGGCCAACCAGTACAGTTGGTGGTTCGACCAGAACGTATATCCATTATATCGACAATTAGCTGCTCCATTACGCTTCATATTTCTCATATTTATGACACTTCCTCAATTTTACATAAATTAATTTGCTACTACGACCATCTTAAAAATGAACTACACACCAGCCTTCCAATCTATGCATTTTGTTCCTGCAGACGAGGAAGTTGAGATCAGAAGCCGCCAGGTCCGGGCAATTTATGTTGTTGCCCATGATACACTATCAGCTGTGACGGTTGTGAGAGGTTGTGGTGGGAGGAAGCGAGCGGTGGGAGATAAACTGGACGGTGACGGCGAGCTGAGCATGACAGGAGGCGTCCTGACAAGAAAACCCACGCACCCTCCTCTCTCCTGAGACGCAGGTTTTTCAGAATACCGGAGTCTTTGGGCTACTTTTGGACTTTTCTGTTCTCCTCGGTGGGTAGTGGACGTAGATAGTATCCGTAGATTATAAAGGTAGAGAGAGTACTTAAGACAATGAGCCCCAAACAGCCAAGGGAATCCATGCACGCCCATGGTTGAGATGAGATTACTTTGGCTTTGACCTACGATGAGAGTAAAGAGATACAGCGTGCCCATTATATCGGTGATTATCGAGTCCCTTTATGAGAGACAAAGCACCACTACACCGACTCGTGACCGAGTTAGTTTTCTTTATTGACGGGAGAATTGGTGACGATCATCGAGTCTTCGTCCAAAAAATATTCCTTGAAGTTAGGCCAGAAGACTTGGGTCCTTCCCATTTTTGGATGGGGATGTCGGAGTTTGCCTTGTTCGATTCTCAAGAACCGGCAGATGGTTCAGACAAAGCTTCTCCGCGGATAAATAAACCGACCTGGCTTTGAAAGAGCAGAGTTCGATTCCAGATTATTATAATTGAAAATCACCCATCATAGAAAGTTTATATAGCACCAACTGCAATATTCGATAATATAACAATCATGATCATCAGTGAAGTCGATCCGGACTCCCCCACAACTTCCAACCCTCCTCCACGTCAATTCTTCGCAAACCAACCGCCTCCTGCGGCTCCTCACATAATCGAGGAAGCTCCATGCTGCCCGCAGGACACTCGCGAAACTATTCGCATCATACCCCAAGCCCGGACAACCCAGCCAGCCCAGCACGGACACTTCCACCCATCCTCCCTCGCAGAACGGCCCAGTGTTGACACACAACCAACCCAGCATCAACACTTACACCGCCCACCCAACTCCCCCAAATGCTCCAAAATCATCATACAACCCCACACAGCACATTGGCCCTATACCACCTTATGGTTCCCACCTCGTCCCCCAGGCCAAGACATCGATGGTAACACTTCCATCCCCGACAACCCATGGACCCCTATCCCCCTTTCAGCCACCATGGTGGACGCGCCCTACTCACCAGTCGCCATTAAAACGTCAATAGTACCCAGAAACCAAAGCACCAGCATGCCTGACCGCCCTAGCACCCCCGCTTCAAAGTTCAAGTCCTTCTTCTCGGACATTGTCTCATCGGCGACTGCCGTGCCCTCAGGATCTGCCAGATCCCATATTTCAATGCCCGCAGTACAGCCATCAAGGCGCCACTTGGCAGTCAACTCCTCCCACCTCCGCCATCCACACTCCGAACAGCCACACACCCGCCGCACCTTTGCCACAGCCCCGGCACTGCCAGATCCGCCAACCTCGTCCCCCAAGTACGTCAACCCCTTCCTCACGCGTCCCATCACCATACCTCCCCGTGAACCCATCCCTTCCAAATCGTCACCCGAAAACGTCTCCCCACGCACTCCAACCGCCCCAGTTCCTCAATTTCCAGATGCTCCGTTTCCGCAGCTCAATACTCACCCATTCGGTGTCCCTTCCACAGTTCATGTCCTCGCCGATTGGCCTTATGGGCCCTTATTCGAGACCATGAGCCCCCGCACCCGCCGTTTCGCAGTGGGGGGGACAGATGCTGACGGGCATGACATGAAAATCTACCGCCCGCGGCTAGACCGTGACACATACCTAGAGTGTCTGCCACCCGCCACGCGCGTGGTGGTGCGTTGCCCGAGTCGTGCATGTGGGCTCGTCTGTGAGCTCAACGGACGGGCCGGGGCCTGTCGCCGCCGAAGCGCCGCGGCTAAGAATGCGGCGCTCTGGGTGCGTGAGATGTGGGCGTGTGAGGGATGTGGGGAGGAGATGGAGATGCAGGTATTGAAGGAGAGCGAGGGCAACTCGCCGACAGGCACAGGGGACGCATGTTATAAGAAAGACGAGCGAGATGGATAATCGAACACTTAAGGTGTTGCTGGCTGGCTAAGAGCTACTTCTTGAGCAGACTCGCCCAGTTTCCCTTGACCTTTCCGGGCCCGACCTGCGTCCCACCTAGGGAGGCACCCTCGCCCTCACTCTTCGACGCCTTCGCGGTGCCTGCCTTCGCAGCCGGTTCGCCCACCTTCGCGTCCCCGGCGATGTAGCCCTCGTTCCTCTCGGCATCAATATGGCTGCCTCCTGATGCGCCTTCGGCCTTCGTGCTCACGTCTGCAGCGAGGATGGCTTCGACCTTGGATACTTTCTCAGCGAAGTGCTGCTTCTTGTCCGTGCGAGTGCCGGCGCGGATGTCGGTCTGGACGCGGAGAACGCCATTATTGTGCACAAGCGTGTGGGCCTGTCCGATGATGCGGAAGACAGCGTCCCAGGAGCCCTCTATAGAGGAGTTAGGGGTTATTAGAAGAGGTAGATTGCGTGAGTGGGGGGATTCAGGGGAAGTGCTACTGGCACGTGATTTGGAGGTTTTACAGGTATGTGTGTAGAGATAAAACGGGAAGGTGCCAAGGAAGAAGCCAATTGTATTGGTGAACAAACGAACAGGAAATTTAGTTTACACGTACCAACGGTAGTACCAGCAGAGTGCATGGTGTAAGAGAGACCACTTGCTTTCATGAGGCGCTGGACTGCAGCGACCTCCGCGGAGACGGATGCAGTCGGGGTGCCAATCTGTTTGTAGTCAGTTAGGAGTTTAGATAATCAAATATGACATATATGTTGTTGATTCGAAAATGAGAAGTCCCCGCGATTTGAGAACCAGTGGACCTACGGGAATAAGACAGAAGTCGGCCACGGCAGTGGCGGGGGTTGGGAGGTTGGCGTAGTCCATATTGAAGATTGTGCACAAAGCAGAGGAGACGGTTTAATAAACACGCTTTGCAAAACAGTTATCGGTATTGTGATCTAGTATCGGTACAGGACATCCATATTTCTGAAGATGCGAAGAGAAGCGCCGAAAGAGGGACAGGTGTGGGGCAGTCACGTGGTGCATTCCGATAACTGCCGTAATATATATAAAGTTATCCAAAAGAGAGGCCAATACCTTGGCTCTACTTATGAAGAACTGGCTTATTGATTGCAGCCCTGGGTAATTGAGCGACTTCGTTTTAATCACAGTTGTTGTAAACACCAGCTGTTGTGCACAGCCGTTCTTCGGACCTAGACCGAATGGTAGATAGACCAAGGGAGGGTGCGTCCTTTTGTGCCAAGAACAGCAGAGCTTCTTAGAAGCTCTTCTTCCCAATCACAAACACCGCAAGTCACAAACATTGAAACATAGGCCGTATTAACCTTCATCTACTCATTCATAACTTCGTAAAACCAGAAAAACGCCCGCCCAGTACCTTCCCAGTAGTTTACAAGTATTTCTTTGCGGACGCCACCACGCGGTTCCTGAAGACCGGGCTCTTTACTTCCATATTAACTTGGTAGAACGGGCTCATGGTCGTCTTCACCCAGTTCTCATATACCTCGACAAAGAACTGTCGGATTGCCTCTTCGGTTTGGGGAGATGTTGGGTTCGCAGCGATTGATGTCGAGGCCCGGGTTGATATCGCCGTACCGGTAGGTTGTGAGGGCATCTGTAGGAGGAGGAACTTGATATCTATGCCGCCGATTAGTTCTCTGCGCTGCTCATGGCGGTATTGTACGTACTTCCAGGGGTGATAAAGCATGAGACGTAATTATTGTAAAACCGATCGAGGCACTTCAGATACCTGCAAAACTTGGTTAGTCTATGACTCCTAAAACTCGACTGACTAGAACCTACATTTGTCCGGTCCCCCATTGGACTTCCTCCACAATATCCAAGCTGCTATGCACCACGAACTGGTTCATATAGCGGGCCTGGTCAGGAAACCGCGCGATTCCATCACCGCCCTGCTTCGAGCTGCCAAACTCGTATTCGAAGAGGGGATTATCTTGCGTGCCAACAATGGCAAAGTAAAAAGACATAATTTCGTATTTACACCCTTGCTGGGCATGGATTGGAGAGGAAGCTTGCGGCTGTGGTGTTAACTGACGTTGGGTGCGGAAACAAGCGCTGATTGGCTGCGGCGGGTAGATGTCTTGGCGCGGCTCGCATGCTCAAAATATTATCGCGGCTGTCAATTGCGAGGAGTTGATTCCAGAGGCGGATAATCAGAACACCATGTTTGGAGCCTTCAGACCTACGAATTCGCTGTCGGTGGGACTTCTTTGGTAAGGCCATATTCCCTCTGACTGTCGTCAATTGGGATTCAGGAGCTGACGTGCGACCGTTACAGGAAGATCCCATGGAGACTGTCCAAGTTCCAGAAGGCACGACAACGCAAGCGCCTCCGCGCAGTCGACACAGTGGTCTCGATTGTTGACCAGGCACTGGCCAAGAAGGGAATGGAGATCAAGCCAGTTGAGAGGTGGAAGGCCGAGATGCCAAAGGAGCAGGAGATGGTGCCGAGGGACAAATATACCATTTTCGATCGCAAGGAGAAGAAGTACCGGAAGGCTATCCACAGTAGGCAATTGCCGGTCCCTATAGACTACGAAGCAGATATACTGACCCTGCACAGAATTACCCAAGTGGACGAGAGTTTCTCAGCGTGTCAACCCCCCTGGATACTAGAGCTTCGATGGGATGGAGTGGGCTGTACTATATTAAGGCTGTGATATTACAATGCATGGCAGGCGTTTCTGGGAGATTGATGTACGATGGAGATAAATATGTATACCGCAGGATGAATGTATCAGAGTCATTTCCGCTACCCTAGGTTTTCCCACTACGCCTTCTTTACACCGTGAATGCCCATTACATTGCCTTCTTATAGCCATTTGTGCATACCGCCTACCTTCCCTTGCCATATTCTTCTTCCTCCTTGACGCGCTCGGCTTGAATAGCTCGGCCCAATCCTCCACGACCTTCATCGTACTCCTCACGGTATTCGTCGCGAACCTGCCCACCAGACTTTCCGCGACCGTATTGTCTGCCCTCCTCGAAGCCAGGGTCCAGATCCGTGCGAATAATACGCTCATCAAGCTTTGTCCCACCAATGTACTTCATAGAATCCAGCGCATCTTGGTGAGTGTAGTATTCGACGAAGCAAAAGCCACAGGGTGTCTTGTTGAATCTATCCAGACCCATGACCAATCGCTTGATCTCTCCGCATTTGACGAATAGCTCGTGAATTTGCTCTTCTGTGGTGTAGAATGACCTTTAAAATATCAGTACAAAGACACTGTAGAATGGCCAACAAATTGCAAGTAAAAACTTACAGATTCCCAACGTAGAGGGTCGCCGCATCCTTCAGAGGATCCTCTTGAGGCTCAGGTGTTTTTTCTCTCTCCTCACGATCGTCATACCTACGCTTCTTCTGAGTTGAGGTCAGTAAATTGAATTGAAGAAAGACAGAAATTCCTCCCACTCACCCTCCCTGCGTAATAGGCGCTTGGCCTATCAAGCCTGTCAACGGTATTTCTAATCACTGCCCCGGGCATGATTGTTGCTTGTCTGGCCTGCGAAAGTGCTTCTGTTCGGATTGCTGCAGCTACCCATGTGGATGTTGTTGCGCGGCAGGTCGCGCTTAATATTTCTGGCGCTAGCGCTGCATGTTGACTTTCATCGAAACAACCACTCGACGCGCATTAGCTTCACAAGTCTCTATTGGCAGCTAAAACATGATTTAAAACATATCATTGACCTCACACCAGCCTGACCAGCTCAAATCCGAGCTCGAAAATCGAAGATGCCTGATATTGTGAGCTATACGCCTGCTTGGCTTTCAAACCCTTCTCTCGGACACGAAATATTCACACCAGCTCGTCCAAAGCATGTCGATGGGCGAGCGCCTTCTACGACCATTTCAAGCGGAAACTCAAAATACAATGCGAATCCGGGCCCAAAGAGAACTATTGCCCGCCGTGGGGCAGAAGTCTTCGTTGCTGTTGGCAAGGAGATCCGATGGGCAGATCTAGTTTATGTGAAGGAGCTGTACGAAGTGAAGCTAGACAGAAAAGCTAGAGGGAAACGCGCCGAAGATTTGTCAGATGATGGTAGCAGCAATGATGATGATGCTGAAGGTTATAGGGTACGTGCTGCCAGTTTTATAAACTGGGCATAACTAACTAGCTGGCCACAGATTATCAAAACCACGGTGGCAGACGACATCAAGCAACTTGTTATTTCTCCTCATGGCGACTACTTGGCTATCCTTACCACACATACAGTACATATCTCTGTTCTACCCGACTCCTCGCACTTGACAGGCCCCGACCGAAGTCCGCTACGACTAAAGATGTACACGTTAGGGCCTACAACTCATGTTACATCTCAATCTGCCGTAAAATCTGCACTGTGGCACCCCCTAGGTGTCAACGGAACATGCTTGGTTACTGTCACCGAAGAAGCAGTCGTGCGCATATGGGAACTTTCAACCACGGACAGATGGTCCTTTGACAGACCGGCCTTGGCAATCGACTTAAAGAAGCTCGCCGATGGAACATCCCTTGATCAAGACTTCAGCGCCTCAAAATTTGGTTCCAGCAAGAGGTTCTCCCCTGATTCAGTAGAGATGGAAGTGGCGTCGGCGTGTTTTGGTGCCAGGGGCACGGGCGGATGGTCTCCCATGACGCTTTGGGTTGCAATGCGGGAAGGCGACGTTTACGCACTCTGCCCGCTTCTACCGGAAAAGTGGGCGCCCCCTCCGACTCTCATCCCGTCGTTGTCAGTGGCAATCGTTGCAAAGGTTGCTATGATGGAAGACGACTTCGATTATTCAGAAGATACGAAGCGGTTAAGCCAACAGCAACTTTCGTGGATGTCTGACCTTGACAACCAAGAGCCTGTTATCGTGGAGGGCCCTGTTGGAGAAGAGCCGGCAGATGTCTATACTCGACCTCAAAAGCCTGGCAGGGTACCAAAACTCCAAGGCCCATTCATCTTCGAGCTTTCCCCCGACGACTCTGATAATGACCTCGACACTCTCCTGAGTGATATACTCGTCATTGGGGCTAAAATTGACGCAGATGCGCTGATGGATGGCGAGGACGCTGAACTGGACTTTGGCGAGGTTGATCAGGAGGGGCTTTCAATCGGCGTCATCTGCCTTGCCAGCAGCAGTGGGCGGGTCTCCATATGTCTAGATGTCGATGGAGTTGAAGCCCAGTGGCTGCCCATTCGCAAATCCAAGCAGCTGCTATTTCCACCACAGACTACCCCACCATCGCTCTTAACATATCAAGTCTTGGACACGCTCCGATCCAAAGAAAATAGGGAGGACAACTGGCCCATGTTTAGCGAAGATGTGGCGTCGAGGTACTCATTCTTCATCACGAACTGGTCCAACGTTACATTCATTTCGCTCTCGGCATGGGTCTTCAGACTTGAAAGCGATTTACAAAATGGTCCAGCCGCAGGGATCGCTTTCCGCCTTGATCTCCTTGCAAAGGGCGAAAACTTCATCCGCGATCGCCTTATTTCTAATAATTCCCAAGGCGACGAGTCATTGCCTGCTTTGGCTGCCTGCACAAGCATCAGGGACCCGGATTTGGGCTACTTCCTCCTGACGAACTCTTCTCATGGCCCTATAAGTCTGGCATTGGCCACTCCTGAGGACTCATTCAACATGCGGCGACTTATCACTGGCTCGCCTTCTAATGAGGATTCCGAGTCGCATGATCAGCCGTTGCTTCTGTGCCCGCCAAGACCGGTCTATGAACCTCCGGCAGCTTTCACGGCTCCCTCTAACCTCCCAGAATGGCACGACAATCTCCGACACAGCAAAAATAAGAGGCTACTTCACGAGCCTATCCGACTCTCACCAGCAACGTTGACCATATTTGCTGATGCCCACAAGATCATGAGCGAAGAGACTCACCGGATTAATGGTGCAGCAGCTGAGCTATTCCGCCGCTGTGAAAAGCTCCAAGTTGATCTCAAAGAACAGATTGCCAAGGCCAACGAAGTCGCGAATAGGATTGAGCAGGTCATTGGAGATGATAACGAAGTTGACGACAGTTATGTTGGCGCCAATCAAAGCATCGAAGATCGCATCGAGAATGCCAAAGACCGACAACGGGAGCTAACTGAGCGAGTTGAGATCATCAAGAAGAAAGTCGGGAGATCGGTCGTGAGGGAGTTGAGCGACCGCGAGAAGATTTGGTTTGAGGAGATCAGCACGCTGAATAAGAACATCTTTGGCGCTGAAGACGGCAAGGAAGACGGTCTGACGGGTGGTAGGAAAATGGAGTTTTGGAGGCGCTTTGAGGAGGTTAAAAGCTTGAAAGAGGGCATCGTAGAGGAAGTTGTTAAGATACGTGAAAAAGAAGGGTCGCGAGCAGCAGAGGCAACCAGAGATGAAGGCGTCCCTACGGACATTCGACGAGGGAAGGTCGCTCAAGTCATGCAGCTTATCGAAAGGGAGACGGCGCTAGTTGAGGGAGTAAAGGGAAGGTTGGAGAGACTCAGTCTGGTGTAGGATGTTATGTATTGATTATAAGGGTGGGTTTATTATGTCGCGATATGACAGCTTATGATAGAACATGACCGTTGAATATTTTTCCGTTGCATATGGCGGCGCTTATTGATATTCCAGAATCAATTTACTAAGCGCTACCACGAACCTTAACTTAATTTGATCCAAGCGAATGTGGGGTGGGGCGGTATTGCGCACAAGACCCCACCAACGTTTTGGTTGGAACGAAGTTGACAGCTCAGCCTCCCGGAGCGCCCAACCAGACGTCTAAAATATACATATACATGGAATGAAACATATATGGCCGCGCATATAATACATATATCAGCTTACTCAAGTGCGCCCAATCTCGCTAGCATGGCGTCCAACCCCACCGCTACGTTGAGCAAACTACTCGGCTCAGCAACTATGGAGGACCATGAGGAGATTCTGAGAGCCGCCAATGCCGTTCTCAAGAAGTCGAAAACAAACCAGGATGCGCTGCGTACTCGCGTTATTGCACTCCTCAAGCTAGACCGCTACGCAGATGCCCTCCGCGCCCTCGACGACGGGGGCGAAGCTCTCAGCGAAAGCTGCCACGTTGAGAAGTCGTACGCCCTTTACAAAACAGGCCAGCTCGAGGCCGCACAGAAGATTTTCGGCGAGGTGACATCGGTATCTCGAGGCCTACGACATGTCGCTGCACAGGTTGCATATCGCGCCGAAAACTTCGAGGAGGCGGGGGAGATATACAAGCAGTTGAGCGTTCAGGACGCCGCGCTCGAGGATGAGGAGAATGACCTCAGAATCAATACGCTTGCGGTGGATGCGCAACTTGAGTGGCAGGGCAATGGGGACAAATTGGAGAAGAGCAGGAGGAAACCCTCGAGGGAGGACTTTGAAGCTTTTGAGACGGCGTACAATGCTGCTTGCGGGTGTGTTGCAAGGGGCGATCTAGGGTCAGGCTCTGTGCTACTGAAGAGGGCGAGAGACCTTTGCGAGTCTTTGGATGAGCTAACGGATGAGGAGAAGAAGGCCGAAATTCTGCCTATTATGGTGCAGCAGGCTTACGTGTTTACGAAATTGGGCAAGTCGCATGAAGCGGAGACGATACAAAGAATGATCGATACATCAGAGTACGTGGCTGGCTTCGGATTGAGGGAGATATTTTAACCTTGCTGCAGGATTCCAGAAGCCCCCACACGGCTCGTTGCCCACAATAATACCTTTGCGTGCCAAAAGCAGGAAAATCCGTATCTCACAGAACGCCTATTCGAAGCCATGCCGAAAGTGCCAGATACCGAGAAGCTCTTCAAATATCAAGCAAGCATAATCGAGAGAAATAGATATGCTATTGATTTACAATCTCTTAAGTATGATGGAGTGATACGGTCGACGAGCAAGGCTATCTCAAAGGTCCCCGCGCCCACGACCTCTCCATTTGTCAATAAGCTATCGTCTGTTAATGCAGCCGCACATACAAAGTGCCGAAGCGACAAAGCAAGCATTAAGACACTCCTTGCCCTGCTACAAAAAAGACCAAACGACGTCGGCCTGGTCTTGACCATTATTCAGCTTTACGTGCTCGCTCAAAACCCTGGCCCCGCAATCGCACTTCTCGAGTCATTCTTCAAATGCCTCGAAGAATCAGCGACGCCGGAAGAGCTAAATGTTCGCTATTCTCCTGGTCTTGTGGCCCTTATTGTATCTCTGTATCGCCTGGAGGGGCGCAAAGGACCCACAAAGGTACAACTTGGCAAGGCCGCCTCTTACTGGTCTAGCAAGTCAACCCCGTCCGATGAGTTGCTTAGAGCGGCAGGGCTATCCCTCCTCGAATCTTCCAACCCTGAGGACCTGAAAGCTGCAGCTGATTTCTTTGGCTCCCTCCGAAAGCAAGATCCCAATGATCGCATTGCCCTCGCCGGCTATGTCGCCTCAGTTGCAACTACGGATCTCTCCCTCGTCTCTACCGACCTCGCAAAGTTGTCCCCAGTCGATCGCCTTATTGGCTCAGTGGACTCCGCAGCTCTCGAAAATGCTGGCATTGCTTCCCTTCCTGTGGCAATGGCTACTGCGAGCTGGAAGCGCTCAGCACCTACTGAAGAAAAGCCACCGAAGAAGCGTTTGAGGAAGAGCCAATTGCCGAAAGACTACGTTGAGGGCAAGGAGATGGATCCGGAGAGATGGCTACCATTGAAGGACCGAAGTAGTTACCGGCCGAAGGGTAAGAAGGGGAAGAAGAAGGCGGCGGAGGCGACACAGGGTGGTGTAGTGAGAGAAGAGGAATCTGTGGAATTGGTTGGGGGTGCTGGAGTAGTCAAAGTGCAGACCTCATCTAACAAGGCCGGCAAGAAGAAGAAAGGGAAGAAATGAATGGTCGCGGGTTGCCTCATAGAAGGATATCGGGCATCTACATGACTGTAGTTTATAAATATGATCTGACAGCTCATCACCTTCACATTTAACCTGTGCTAAAGCCCCCGTCGATAATCCATCGGTTGTAAGTTTGCCTGTATTATATTATACAACATGATCATCCACACATATATATCATACATCCACGCATCGCCGGCCTCATACACTCTTAGTACCTCCTACAGCTTCCGTACCCTCCGTAAAGGGTTGGTCTATCATTGGGCTTTTCTTCCCGACCAACACTTTCAACGCATCCGGGTCACTCCACTTCCAGTTCCCCATCTGCATCTCCAATTCCTCTGTAGCCTCCAGGTCCATAAGGCTCTTCCGCATATATGCAATCACCTTGGTCAACCCCTTAACATCCACATCCTCCCGACCCTTCCACACATTCCTCCATACAGCACTAGCAAGTGCTGCGTCCCCCCTAACCAGGCCCTCGTCGTATGCGAAAAGGATGCCACGCCACTGGATGAACAGGTCCTTGAGGTACTTGTTTCGCGTGCCGCGCGCCTCCATGTTGTGCGAGACAACCATGCGGTGCTCGGCGTCGTAGAAGAAGTGGTCGATGAGATGTTGTTGGTAGATGGAAGAGGTGGAAGCGGGGAAGCAGCGGAGGCGCACGGTGAGAAGGTACATGTGAAGCATGGTTACTTGCGACCAGGTGCTGAAGGTGGGCGGGAGGCCAAGTTCTACAGGCGCGCGTTAGAGACAGGGCGGGTCAGGAGGTGATGGGAGGGGTTACCAGTGTGCCACCAGCCAGCGCCTTGGCCCAAATCCTCCCCATCCGCCGTCTTGGGCATTTCTTCATCTTCCATGGCGGCTTCCGGGATCGAATAGTCGGCCTGGGCAGCACATTGGCGGTAGAGCACTTCTGCTACACCGTAGGCTGAGTATGTCCCGGCTGTCTTCGAAAGTGCTGCAAGTCCATCGGCCGCGAGTTTGGAGGTCTGCCCGCTTTTGCTTTCTGTAGTCGGGCTGGAACTTGGGTTTGACCCCGTTAACGGGTCGGTGGGTTTGAGGGAGGACGCGGCAGCTTTATCCGAATTTGGAGGGCTGGCTCGTGAATATCGTGTTGTCGTGAAACTCCGAGAAACTCTCGCAATCTGGGGCGTTTGTCGGGACTATTGCAGCAGTTAGTGAATGACTAGGATAACGGCATAGCGAAGGATTTACAAATCGAGCTTGTCTCTGGAGCGTCCGTAGACATGCTATGCACCCTTTAGATGCCATGATGCGCCAGTTATACACTCCTTTCGAAAGCTGGATTATTTATTTGCTCTATCCGCGTATCACCGTATCGATTTATCGATCTGGCGTACAGGGGTTTATGCACCATGGTCCAACATTAATCCGCTGTAAGTAGGGCCGAAACCATCAGATAAGTTAGAGTAGAACTAAATATCGTTCTTGTTCAGCCATCTCTATACCTGTACAAACCATTGTTGTATCTCTCATCACATTCTCAAGATTAAAACATTATTTGCAGGCGGATTCTTGTATTTAGCTGCTATTCCATTGGTAACGTGGAATAGAATCTACCAATTGCTATTCCATTTTCATTTGCCGTAACCTTTATATCTTACACCGTGGCCATAAAATCATCGAAGGCACTTTCTTCGCATTAGAATCCAGGAACATCATACAGGAAGGAGTTTGTAAGCTCTCCTCGGTCTCTCAATTCAATGGCCCTTTGGTCTCATAGTCTTCTACCCAGACCCGAATCTCCTCACCACTGTTTGCATAATTGTTTGACGCTGAGAACAATTCTCCGGATCTATTGTGGCTTTCCAGACTGTCTCTGACTGGCTTCTCAGCGTCATTTTGAAACGCAACAAGCTGGGAAATATCGCCTCCGACAGGCCTAATTTCTGCGAGAAATATCTCGGAAGCCCGCTTGTTGGCCAGCTCACGATCAGTATACACGTCAAGCATCTTGAAGGTTTGAGTGAGTATCATTTCAGGTTTCGCTTCAGGAGATTTGGAGTCAAGAGACAGCCGATGGACATCGGCGGCCAGAATATGACCAGAGCTGTCCGAAAGTTCAACCTCTACCTCTTCTTCGAATAGGGCATCGATTTCGTCCCCGCCCGACTCCCCGGAGTTTTCACTTTGGTGATCATTGGATTTTTCATTGTCATTCTGATCGGTATCCGTGCCTTGTTCTGTGTCGCCATTCTGGTCAGTCTCCATGGTTTGTTCTCCATCGCCATTCTGGTCTGTCTCCATGGCTTGTTCGGCCTCACCATTCTGATCTATCTCCATGGCTTGCTCTGCCACGTGAGCCTGGTCGGCCTCTATGGCTTGTTCTGTCTTGACAATCTGGTCTGCCTCACCATTTTGGTCTGCCTCGCCATTCTGGTCTGCCTTGATGGGCTGCTTTATCTCGCCGTTCTGATCCATCCCCAAGTTTTGTTCTGCATCTTCGTTCTCGTCTGTCTCTATGTTTTGTTCTGCCGCTTCGTTCTCGCTAGCCTCATCTCCATCTGAACCCATGGGAGTTTGAACCTTCTTGGTTATCGATTTGAGAACGAAATATAGTTTGGGCTTGAATATGCCCTTGACTTTTTCATGCTCAAAATCATCCAAATCGCCGATGTATTGGGCATCTGCCATTACATCAACACATTCGACCATGTTCTCTTCGGAGTCGATGAAGGCTCTGCCGCTGAACAGTCCTGTCTCTTTAGAATACCATTGTGTTTTCTGAGGTCTAAGCATTGGTGGGCCCCAACGAGTTCGTCTGAGCTCTTCTTCTGCAAATTCATTCGCATCGTCACTATCAAAAAACTGTTTTATAGTGATAGGCAGAGATTTTTCTTCGTCTCTAATTTCCGATCGTTTCACCGAAAAGATGTACACCATTTCTTTGTCTTGAAGGTGGCGGGGCTTTATCATCTGTGACGGCTTGTTCTCATATTCGAAGGTCCGAGCATTGGCCGCCATTCTATCGGCTTCCATTGCTTTGATATCAGAAACACGGTCCAGGCGACCCGAAGGTGCAGCTGACTTTGGCTTGTTTAGTAGAGTAGTGCCTGACTCGTCATCGTCAGGATCTTCCTCCGAGACTTCGCTTTCACTGTCGTCGTCATCTCCCAAGTGCTGCATTCTATCGTCGACTATTTTTGCGGCTGCAGCTTTTTGGAAATGACCCAGAGAACCGTTGGATTCGCGCAACCGCGCCATTACCCCCCCGCATCGACCCTTGTCGCTCTGAGAGTTGTATTTGCTGGGTCTAGTAGAGCCACCATCATTGAAGTCAACGTCTTCATACCCAAAACGGGCTTGACCATGTGGGCTCCCTCCACCATGGGGCATCATCCTCTTATCTTTTTCATATTTTTTCTCTCGCTTTTCTCGGTAATCTTTCTGTCGTCAACATTAGCACATGAAGAAACATGGCTGCGAGAATAACTTACCACCTGTCCCTCTATGGTGGATCTAATTTCATATTCACTCATATATATGCCCTGTTCCGCATTCTCCCTGTGGAGTTTGACCTCGAATCGTTTCTTTGCCTTTTCAGCCAGGCGTATTTCTTCCTTCTCGCGCTTCCTCGCCTCACTATCCCATAGGCTCTTTTCTCCTAATGACGCATGGTCGTTTGGTTGCTTGGTAGGTTTGCGCCCTGGGGAGAACTGAGTCTCCGAGGCATACTTCTTTGGAGAGGCTATCATACCCCTCACCGAGTTTAGCCCATTTCTCGCATTCATAGGCATGGTAGGAGGTCGCACAGTTAAGATCTTATGCAGTGCTTCCTTTAGCTCCCCCCGAACTTCTCCTTTCAGAGTTGAGGCAAGCTTTTCGAATGAGGCTGCAAAATCCTCCTTCAATTCGATTGTCTCACGTGCTCGTTCCTGGGCCAAAGCTTCGTCGCGCTTTTTTTGCTCTGCTGATAGTATCTCCTTGTGGTGCTCGATTACGATACTAGCAACTTTTGTCTCAGTGTTTGCTTTTCTCGCCCCCTTCCAGCCTGCCAAAGCTCGAAGGGAAAGAGCCTCTGAGCCAGATATCTCTTTTATCGTTGCGGCGATGTTGGATGCTTTCTGCTCTATATTCGAGATAGAATCGCTCTTCGGTGGAGGTGGTGTTAAAGGCGGGCGTGGGATATCTCCCCTGGGGCGAACTGCTGCACTCCTACCCGTTGGTGCAGCGGGTTCATCCGGAATCGCAATGACAACCTGCTCTGGGACGAAAAGTCCTCCGTCGTCGTCGACTGGGGGCTCAGGTATCTTCATGGCTTCCGTTGGGGCCCTTTCGCCTCCTTTCTCTCGTCCACCTTGCCCCATTCTGGCTGGCTTCAAGCTTGTCGCAGCCAGTTTAGAAGCTTCAAGAGTTTTCTTTAGATTTTCCGCATCTTGCTGTCGCTTGCGCTCGGCTGCGGCTTCCTTCTCTATAACGACAGCTTCTCGCTCGCTTTGCTCTTGCCTTTTTCGGCGTAGAAGCTCTTCCGCGATGCGTTTTTGCTCGTCGTGTCGTTTTTGGTCTTCTTCCTCTCGCAACTTCTGGATAGCCTCTCGTTCCTCTTGAGTTTTGGCTTTCTTCGATGCTCTTTCAGCCCTTTCAGCCTCTTTCCGCGCCTTTTCGCGCTCAGCATCCTCTTTCTTTATAGTTTCCAATTCTTGGGCCAGGCCCTCATTGTACCTTTTTCTGACCTCAGCCTCTCGTTTACGCATTTCTTGTTTCTGTATGTCTGCCTGGATTCGCGCTTGGGCTGCGTCGTTGATGGGTTCCTCGAATAGGGCATCTGTGTTCTTGGCCTTGGCCGCCATATCCTCTTTCTCCTTGATTTTAGCATAAGCTTCAGCTTGCTTTTGTAGTTTCTCCAAGGCATCGTCTTCGTCCTTCTTTGACCTTTTCACCGCGGATTTGTTCTTCTGGTCTCGGCTTCCAGCATCTTTTTTCCGACCTACAGGATCATCAAGGCCATAGGTCAAAGACCGAGCCCCCCGGCGGCCCTGGGCGAAGTTTATTGAAGGCATAGAGATCTGAGGAGCTATAACAGTGTTGCTTCTTGTTTCGGTGCTGGTGATAAGACTTTTAGGATGCCCAATCTCGTCTTCGTCATCATCAAGTATAAACGGCCCAGTCCGCTTCACAATAGGGAGCTTTCGGATATTTGCTTCATTGGTCAAGCTAGTTTCTCTCTGAGACCGCACATTAGTCCGTAGTATTGTGTCTGGACGTGGCTGCATTGGCGAAAGTAGAAGCCTTTGAGGAGAACGCTGAAATCCTTGAGGAGAAGGTTGGAATCCTTGAGTCGGATTCTGAAATCCTTGGGGCGAAGGTTGGAATCCTTGTGGAGAAGGTTGAGAGGCGTGGCGCGAAGCCCCAGCTCCGGATGCAGCATACTGAGTGGACCGCTGGTGAGGTACAGGGGAAGCTGGCACACTCTGGTGTCGTGGGGTTGTGAAGTCGATGTTTCCACGGACACTTGCGTGTCCCTGTAGTGGTTGTGCAACACTGGAGGCGCGAGAGCCTTGTGGGTTTTGTGGCTGAAAAAGCTGGCCTGAGATATTTTGGCTTGGACGAAAAGGCTGGGCCAAGGATTTTCTGCCATCGGATTGTCGAATATCCGGTTCGGCGTACGGAGATGGCCTTGGAGGCGATATATGGTTCCCTTGTGGAATAGACTGATGGGAACTGGCAAAAATTACCTGTGCTTGGTTTGCCAGGGGAGATATCGAGGGGTGACGAGAACGGTACTCCATCTGATTTGACTGCGTGTTTGTTTGATGATATGGCCTAATCCTATCAGCAAATCGAAAAGTCGGTGATTGTGTCAGTAAACTTACATAGACTGCACCCTGTTTGAGTGTGGGATATTGGGCCCATACTGGGCTTGTTCGTGGAGGAGATTTGCTGGAGTCGGTAGATGTCGGGAAGGGTGACCATTGATGTTTCCATTGCTTCTCGGATAAATCTCGTCTTGCCTGCCATATGGATGTGAAGCTTTAGGAGTATTTCGGGGGCGTTTGGCTGGGTAACTCTGGTTGTTGAAGGCCAGGCTTCCGGGTCTTTTGACGTTGAATGGAAGGGTGTATTCGCCGTGCCAGCTCTCTTCTTCGGGCCCTTCTTGATATTAGTTACTCAGCCTCGTAGATAAAACTTTCTGGGCATACCCACCTGCGACGTATGCCATTTCAAGTGATTATTGAGAAATATATCTTGGCTGAGGTTGTGATGAAGCCGTAGTGCCAGTAAACATAGGCTGCCCACAGGGGTCCAGAATTTGAAGTTGCATGAAGGTAACTGAAAAATAATGAAGAGTGTCAGCTACTGCTTAATAAGTCTACTTGAGGCATTTGAATGATCATGATATTGAAAGATGAAAGTAGGAGTAAGAGTTTGGAGGAAGAAGGGTGCAGTTCTGTCAAAACACGTTATTTACCTTGTTCGGGGGAGGCAACCAAGGCCCTCTGTCGATGTTGGCAGGAAACTAAGACTTCGAGGAGAGAAAGAAGAATTTGGTGGAAAATAAGATTTTTCAGGAGAGAAAGAAGGATTTGGTAGGAAATAAGGCCTTGAGGAAAGAAAGACTGCTTCGGTGAGAACCGGAAGGCTTCGACGAGAAAAGGTGGTTTTGACAAGAACAACAAGGTGAGAATGGACGGCAACAGTAAAGTGGTCACAACAGAATAAAAGGGAGTTAGAAATAATAGAAATATGGAACAGCTTTGTGGAATAAATATTGGCTAATAAACTATAAATATCTAAAGCGTTTTTTTATTATAAGCATTATCATTCTCATATTCGCTCTTATGTTGTTCCTCTCTTTTATGAGAAATGAATGAGTACGAATAAAATACCTTTGTTTACTTAAATGTCAGATGGGTGCTGTATGCAGTTCTACAGTTATTCATTTCACACTGGTGTCACGTTTGTTATGGACTCTGTTCCTAGACGGGCTATGCAAGAAGACTTGGGGTGCATCGAGGTTGTCATAGACTCTATTTTCTGCTGAGGATCGCAAGGTGACAGTTATAGGCGCTCCAACCCACAGTCTCCAATATTAATCACGTCTGTGCCAGACCCTATTCCTGGGGGGATTCAACAAGGACACGGTAGTGGATAGTATAATCCATAGTCTTTAGTCCGTTTACAATAAGGCAACCTGAAGAATATATTCTAAAACTACAAGTAAAAACTGTAAAAGAATATTGCTCGTATTTGTAACATCCAGTAGCGATAGAACTGGCTTCCGGAGACGTGAGATTCTAAATCTTACAATAAATACAAATATATTGATAAATTGGTTCAAGCTGATCAAAGTCTATGGCGCCTTTTTACTTCTCCCAACGAATCTGCTGCAATTTCGGTAGCAAATAGAAATAGAAATATCTGAACGTGTTGGATAATGGCCAATTGCAGATGTGGGCGGCTTCAGTGCCACAATGACAGTGACAGAGCATGGTATCCAGGCCCTCATTGCTCCGACCATCAGTAATTCGTGTATTATTTCGATTTCGTTTATATTGTAGCGTTTCTGCTAGTGCATAATAGTTTATGTGCAATTTATTGTGGTAAGTTACCCCTTACTTACCCCTGGTTTTGAGGAACCGCGATAAAATAAGCTAGTATAATATGATATCACGACTTTTTACCATATATTCCGAAAATACCACAACAAAGCAAAGGAGGAGTTATAAAGATATTCGATATTACAAGAAAATATATATCAATATGCCGCACAGTATCCAGAAGGTCTTTTTGACCGGCGCCAATGGCTTCGTCGCCTGCCATATTTTGTCCGATTTAATAAAGGTTGGCACAGCACGTGTCTCTCATAACTCAAGGCAATACTAACAGCAAATACTTTCCAGGCAGGATATCTAGTAACGGCGACCGTGAGATCAAAGACCAAATCCCAACAGATGCTGGATGCCCATCCGGAGTGGAAAGACATTGTCAGATTTGTATATATATCAGACTTCACCGTCCCAGGTGCATTCGACGAGGCAATCAAACAGGAGGGAGGCAAATTGAATTATATCATTCACACCGCTCCCCTGTTACCTTCAATGTTGAGGACATTCAGAAGGAGATCATTGATCCTGCTGTCCAGGGGTAAGTGTAGTGTCCCAGTTTTGTCGATTAATTGACATTGGGCAGCACAACGTCGCTCTTGAAGAGTGTGCATGAGTATGGGGGACAGCAGGTCAAACGGGTCGTGCTGCTTAGCAGTTCTGCTGCGATCGTGAACCCCATGGAGGATACAAGTATAACAGAGACCCATATAGCGAGAAAGATTGGGAGCCGGTAACCCAGTCCCACCACCTCATATTTTACGATGCTAATCAAGAGCCAGGTCACTGCGGAAATGGCTGTTGAGCAGCAAAACCCCCTCTTTGGATATTGTGCAGCCAAGACGCTGGCTGAGAAGGCGGCTTGGAAGTTCATCGAGGACAACAAGACCAGCTTCGACTTGACAGTCATCAACCCAGACGTTATCATCGGGCCCATGCTCCATAATGTATCCACGCCCGAGAAAATAAATGAGACGAATATGGTTACCATCTACAATTTCTTGGACGGAACCACTACCGGAGTTGGAGAATGGGGACTCCCGTTCTATCACTTTGTATGGCTGAGACTCTTCTTAATTGGTATTTCTTGGAACCAAGCGCTAACGGATGGCAGGTTGATGTGCGAGACGTCCCCTGAGCACATGTTCTGTCTCTGGACAGCCCCGCAACATCAGCGCGTGGGGTTGGTCCTTGCGGTTATAACTCCCCAGCTCGTAGTAAACATCATTCGAAAGAATTTCCCAGAGCTGAAAAGCAGGGTGCCTGAAGGAAACCCTAGCCAAATTGTGCCAGACGGCATTAACTTGTCGCGCTGGAACAATGAAAAGAGCTACCAGGTGCTTGAAAAGGATTGGACCCTAGAGACCAGCGTGGTCGACACCGTGAACGACATTTTGAAACGCGAAAAGGAATGGCAGAAATAGGCCACCAATAAATCACTTGAGTTTCTTCATAGTCGTCTTTGAGTGCATCTGTGACATGTAATATCATATTCATTCGCTAAGCGCCCGACACATCCGTCCCTTAATTTACTATTTCCCATTCTTCGTCCTGGCCCTGAAGCTCTTCAGCGGGTCATGCCTCTTCGCCTTCGACCCAAACGCGCCTCTTCCCTTGGATTTGTTCGCCGCTCTCGCCTTACGAATTCTGTTCTCGCTCTCCTTCCTGATCCCGACAATGCCTAATTCTCCCGTGATTGCTTTCTGCCCACCGCTCGGCATTAGATAGCTGGGGACGTGCTTCATGTGCCCCTGAACCTTTGCGGCACGCAACTCTCCGTCGTGTCGCAAGTGGTGCAGATCCTCTGGGTTCTCCTCGAAATGCCTCTTTAGTTTGTCACTCTTCATCAACTCCTGCCTCAGCTCGCGCGTCCGAGCTTCACGCACAGCGATCCGAGTGACCGCACGCAGTGCGTCGCCCATTCGGTACCGGAATGCCTCAACTTGCTTCATGTCGAAGTTGTATGGCTTTACCTCCTTGCCCTTTTTGGTTTGGTGGCGTATGATCTTCGCGAGCACCTCCTCGTCGTGCTTGCAGGACTCAACTGATGTGGGCTTGTGTTTGCGGTATTGATCTGCTGGAATAACAAAAGAAAGTGCCATGCCGGATTGCCCAGCACGACCTGTACGGCCCACGCGGTGGGTATATGATTTTGAGGTGGTGGGGAAGTCGAAATTTAACACGCAGGCGACATTCTTGAAATCGATTCCACGTGAGACACCGTATTCCTTGTCACGTTTCGCTTGCTTGCGCTTCTTCTTTGCCGGTTTCTCTTCTTTCACGACCTCCTCGCTTTCTGCAACGTCGACTTCCATCTCATCATCACCAGCAGCCTTCTTGGGCTCTTCAGGGGTGGCCTCTTCAAGCTCTTGGACTCTTGGTGCGTCCTCTTCGTCGCCGATTATTTCGTACTCGTCGCTTGCAATAATGATATCATAGACGTTCTTGTTAAACTCCGCCACGACATGGATACGGGAGTTGACTGGGAGTTCGGAGTTGAGAATACAACTCTTGATGCCGAATTGTTCGAGGAAAAGCTTCAATCGGTAACAGCGGTCAATGTCTTGAACGAAAACAATGCACTTGCCCTTGATGAGCTTGAGCTTAAAGATAACGTAGATCAGGAGGAACTTTTCGTCTTCTGCACATCTGGAATTGTTAGTAATGGTTTGCTAGTTGGCTTGTATGCCAAGCTTACTTCACCACATATTGGCTAATCTCCTCGCCTTCGTCATTTTGTTCGTCCAGTTTCAAAACAGCGGGGTTGCGACAAAACAGGCCTTTAAGGGTATCGACTTCGCTTGTCAGTGTCGCGCTCATCAATATCGTTTGAACTCCTTTGCGCATGGTTTTGGCGACATTCTGTAAATCCTCATCGTACCCGTATGAAAGAACAAGGTCCGCCTCGTCAATAACCAAGTGAGTCAGGTTATCCAGGGAGAGAGCTGATGTGTTGATATTTAATGCTGCGCGGGCAGGTGTCGCGACAACGATATCGGGAGCATCTGCGAGGAGCGATCTTTGAACGGCATCGGAGACCTTTTGTGTGAGGTTGATAGCTCTAACATCCTTCGCACAGAACGATGTGAACAATTCCACGGCCTTAAAGACTTGGTCGGCAAGCTCGCGAGTTGGGACGAGGATGAGGGCGGCTGTGCAAGGCTTGGTAGATATCTAATACTGTTAGTGAGGATTAAAGGCGAATTGGCAGTCAATCAACACACTTCTTTTTGCTTGAGGATAGCATGCAAGATAGGGAGAAGATAAGCAGCAGTCTTTCCTGATCCCGTCTTTGCTCTGGCAAGTACGTCCCGTCCCTTTATTGCTAGAGGTATAGCTTTCTTTTGAACCAGGGTAGGGGCTTTGAAGTTCTGTTTGGCGATAGCTTGGAGGAGTCGCGCATCGAGGCCAAGGTCTGCAAATGAGTTACTTTCTTGAGCCTTGGTCTCTTCTACAGGTGCGGGCACATCGTTGCCGTCGAGCTTGCGTTTCATTGTTGCGGCAGTGCTAAGTTTGGTCGTCAATAAATGAGAAGCCTTCCTTCTCTTTGGAGGGAAAGATGCGAATGTAGAGAGTAGTTATCTGGAACTTTTTTTCTTTCGGAGGTGGCAGAATATTGCGCCGACACCCACTCCCACATTTTCGGGGGATCAGGTTAAAACGTCCACAATCAAAACAAGGCATACATGCATCTTGTGAACCGCGTACCGTACTGCCCCCCACGAAAATAAAAAAAGTGAGGGGAAATACAATTCCAGCCTCTTGCATACTGTCCAACATTATATATTTGCTCTGTGTTGCACTGTTCTCATTCTCTTGCCCCTTTGCAGCGTTTTGTCTCATTTGGCGGCTGTGTGGGCCTCTCTACCCGCTAAGCGCGTGCCTGTCTCGTCGGCGCCGTCTCCGAGACTCTAGCTCCACTCGACGCGACTCGACGGGACGGACCTGAGAGACAAGACCATGAGTCTCCCGACGTCAGGCACACCGTCGTCGAGATATGATACCACGCCTATAAAAGCATCTGAGATAAACAATTTTATAAAGACTCTATCTGAACGCTTTGGTCTTCAACTCCCGATACCTCGAGATGCAGTGTCACCAGTCTCAAGGCGCTCTGCCCTTCGAGACTATGATGCTAGGATCGGTGATGAGATAGTTTCGCATATTATCTTCCTTTCCCGCCGAAAGACTCACGCTCTTCAAGGTGTCGTACAAGCCTTTAAGGCCGAGGCAGATACTCTCCGGGTTAGCCACGGTTGGGTTTACAAGCCGAATGGAGATCATGATGTTATTCCCTTTGTTGGCGATGCCCTCCTCCGAGACGGCTCCGGCAGAGATCAAAGACTACAATTGAGAGAGTGCCTATTGCTTAGGCTGAAAGAAGCCCGGGAAAGTAAAATTTTTGGTAGTAGTGATAATGTTGAACCCAAGTCTACTCGTGTTAGAGAAGTATCTCACCAGACGGAACTAGATAGCTCTCCAATTCCTTTGAACTTGGGTCAACGTCCAGTTAAGAGGACATCGGGTGAATTTTCAGCCCCAGATATATCTGCAGAGTTTAAGAAACCAAGAGCACCCGCTTTGTGGGGTTCGCCGGGTTTAACAAAGGCTGTTGACTCTGCCGCTACAACCTCTTCCAAACAGGACAGTGCGCTACAGACAGTGGCACTTTCCACAAACTCTACGTCGTCGGCGCTTTTCCCTGGGAATTCTCTCAATCCTTATCATCAACAAACCTCCAGGACAGTCAGCGCCAACACGAGTTTTAGCTCCATTGCTTCTGGTGTTTTCACTGGGAGGTCCATTCCAGGCACTGGGACAGCCACTCAGGAATCTTCATTCAACACTTCCTTTCAATCAATCGCGCCACCAATTCAAAAAATAAAGGCTATGTCATATGAGCTTCACAGCTCCCAATACAGGAGCATGGACGAAGATGACTTCATCGAAATTATCAATGAGGACCTACAAGAAAGCTCAGGGGTTGACATCAGTATGTCCGACGTTTCCGTAGGTCCTGTCACTCAGGGAGGCTTGTCACAGCGACTACAACAGGTTTTTCGTAAGTAAGTCTTCATTATCTCCATCAACCAAGAAGGTGCTTCAACGCCGGTAGAACACCTCTTGGTTTCTGAACTCCGCTGGACATCGGACAGTGATTCCAAACTTTGTAGTTGCACTTTCAAGGCACGCCCCGAACCTGATGTAGTTCACTTCGATTCCAAACAATATATCTATGAAGTCGCTCCAAGCTGCAACTTGCGACTAATATCATTTCAGCCGAACTCCCCCAATGTTTGAAAAAGGCACCTTTGTGTGTGCGCTACGAAATCACAAGAGTTTTCCTACACGCTGAAGCTTCCATGGATGGCCTTCACGTTCACGATCGCGATATCGGCACATTTCTTGACTACAATGCTCTTTGGAAATTCCTCAAGGACAAGGTACCCCAACTCCAAGGGAAACCATTTCCAGAGAAGTGCACACCCAAGATCTGGGCATCCAGCCTAGAAAGGTGGTCTATTGGCAACTTTGAAGGCGTGGAGATGTCAGCGTCACTGAAGTTTGCCTCTTCAAAGACAGGCCCCATTTTTCAGGTTCAGCTCAAACCGCTGAGTATAGCCCTTACCCATCGCTTCGGAAGAAGATTTGGCAACGATCGATTTCTGGAGATTATCTTGCCCAACCTTAATAAATGTCGACCACCTGGCAGCACGGAAGACGATTTGGAGATGAGGCGACAAGAAATTATCCGTTGGATAAAAGACAATGGCCACAAGTTCATGGGTATTGAGTGGCGCCCCTTTGGCCTGAATGACACTAGATCAAAGAAGATCAATAACATCGAATCGAAGAAGGCCTCCGAAGATGCAGAGAACAATGCAACCCACCGGATTTTTTTCTTCGCTGTGGATGGCATAGGATTTCAGACTAGCTCAGGGCTACCTGCTAGAAACGATGATCCTCAACACCACACGAAGTTTACTGTGAAGGGGCTGTTAAATTGGCTGATCCCATTCTATCTGGAAAAAAATCAGAAGCAGCCGTACCTTAAGCTTTTCTCCAGAATATCACTTGGTGAGTAAGACCCTATATCAATAGATCCTTTCATTAGCCTCTATACAAATGAATCATTCCGTCAAGCCCTGTGCCAATGGTTCTTTTTCTTAGACTCTGTACCGATGAATCCTTTTGTCAGACCCTGTGCCATTGGTTCTTTTTCTTAGTCTCTATCAAATTGCTAACTGCTCTCATAGGGTTGAGCAAAACCTATGCAACTATTCCACTGAGAGCCACAGAGATCACATTCGTACGCTATGATTATTGTTCAAAAAGCGGCGAAGTAATGAACGATGGCTGCGGCCAGATCTCTCGTAAATTGGCCCACCATATCGCTCAAAAGCTCAAGCTTGATTATACGCCAAGTGCGTTTCAGGCTCGGATAGGTGGCGCAAAAGGAATGTGGATAGTCGATGTGAAAGATTTTGGTGACAAGACGAACATTAAAATCTACCCCTCCCAGGTGAAATGGGATAATAATAGCTTTTTCGTCGACCCTTCCCATAGAATATTCGAAGTTATCTGTTGGTCAAGGCCAGTCCGCTCGGCGACACTGAATTTGCAGTTTCTTCCGATTCTTGAAGACAGAGGTCGAAATAATGGGAAGGGAATGCGTGATGCTTTATCCCGGGTGTTGGAAAATGGCTTGACTTATGAGATTTCACGACAGCGTGAGGCAATGGATAGTCCACAGGCTTTCCGCAAATGGGTCCGCGAGACCGCCCCTAGGATAACTGATAGAAACAAACTCGGCCAAGTTGGCTATGAGGCCGGGTTACCTAAATCACAGGGAGAGAAGATGAACTTGCTACTTGATGCAGGATTCAACCCGAAGGAGCTGTGTTTTCTGAGGGACCTAGCCTGGAAGGCAAACGTTGCGAGGGGCGAAATTCTAAAAAAAAAACTGAATATCTCGGTTGGGCGGTCGGCGTACATGCTGATGGTTGTCGACTTCGCTGGCATTTTGGGACCAAGAGAAGTTCATGTTGGGTTCTCGACGGCTTTCAAAGATGAATCAACGGATTTCTGTGATACTATCTTATCGAATATGGATATCCTCGTGGCACGATCTCCGGCCCACTACACGTCGGATATTCAAAAAGTCAGAGCCGTGTTCAAGCCGGAATTGTCTGCTCTCAAGGATGTTATTGTTTTCTCCACAAGAGGCGATTTCCCTCTCGCTGGGGAGCTGTCAGGCGGGGATTATGACGGAGACATTGCTTGGGTTTGTTGGCAAACAGAAATCGTCAGCGAATTTGAAAACGCAAAAATGCCCATTTGCAGCGACATGGTCAAAGAGGGGTATATCACAAAAAACAGCACGACTTACGCCGAGCTTGCCTCGAAGAATCCCGGACACACAATTGATGCGTTTCTCGCAAACAGTTTCGACTTCAACCTCAAGCAAAATATGCTCGGGATCTGTACCAATTTCAAAGAAAAGCTCTGCTATGCGAAGAAGAGTGTTGCGTGCGACGAGGCTGTCTTTTTGAGCACACTTCTAAGTTCTCTCGTTGATCAAGCAAAGCAAGGATATTCCTTTACCGACAGCGACTGGGAGAGGCTGAAGGCAGAAAAGATTCGAGGACCGGTGAGGGAACCAAATTACAAGCGGCCCGCCTTTAACGGAAACCTAAGAGGAGACATGCACTTGATCGACCATTTGAAATTCAGGGTTGCCCAGAAAACCATAGATGATACTTTGGCAGACCTACACACTAACCTACAGACTCCTGAACATTGGGACGACGATGTTGTTCAACTGGCCAAATTTGCAAGGAAGGAGGCCGAGACCTCAGACGAGTGGGCGGCGCTTCTGAGGGCGCTCGACGCGGACATTAAGCCTATTCACAACCTATGGCAAAAACATTCTTGTCCCCCAAAAGAAGACAAGGAATCGAAAACCTGGTTCTTGAAAGCCATTGACGAGGTCTACCAGCAGTGGCGCGCGATCAAGCCTGCGATGGATACGCCTTTCACTAGACTCCTAACGATGCCCTATCTCACCGACGCCGGGCTATCTACATGGGAGCTTCTGAAAGCATCTATTCTTTTCAGAAGAAGCTATGTTAGCACGATGGTTTGGTGGCTGGCCGGAAAGCAGATAGCCCACCTGAAAGCGATGTCCAAGGGCCCTGTATCAGTTATACCAACTATGTACGCGATGTTGAAGCCAGATAACACCTTCGTGAAGTCGCTGCAGGTGGGAGATGAACACCATCCTAAGTTTTGGGAGGTCAGAACCGAGGCGGTGGTTGATGAGGATGAAGAGTTGGATTATGAAGATTAGGTGTCTGTCATGTCGCTTGGCAAGAACATTGCTGTTGCTGCATTCGTTGCGGTCTGGACTGAAGAGGGGGATAGGGGCGGATATGGTGGAACGAATTTTCTTATTAAGACTTCCTTTTGATGTTTTGGTATTTGAGCCAAGGTGGAGGGGCGATGCCACAACTTAAACATATATACCCTGTCTTTACTGCGGAGGCAAACTGCTGAAGAATTTTGTCAATATTTCATTTTTCTGTGGTCAACACGGATACGTTATGAGAGATGATAATATGAAACACATGATTTGTGCATCGCGGCTATTATTGAAATACATGTGTATCAGTTGTTGTGGATTGTAGTATAATTGACCAGTATCATGAGCCCGTATGTATCCCCTCCACCACGTGAAACCAGAACGATTACCCCCTATATATGGAAAGAACGATTACCAAGCAAGCCTCAATCGCACCTTCCTTAGGATTTTCAGGTTATAGATATGGCAAGAACGATTAGCAAGCAAAGCCTCAATCGCAGCTTCCTCGGGAAGTTCAAGTTATAGATATGGAAGGAACAATTACCAATCAATGCCTCAATCGCAGCTTCCTTGGAGCTTTCAGGTCTCATATATGGAAAGAACGATTACCAAGCAAGTCTCAATCGCAGCTTCCTCGGAATTTCCTTATATGGAAGGAACGATTACCAGGCGAAGTTGCAGTCGTAGCTTCCTCAGAAACCTTTTAACTTCTAGATATGGAAACATGTTCAAGCCACTTACTTCGAGGATAATAACCGACACGAAATGCCATCGGAAACGCAATCCAGAAGATTCAGAGCAGGTGGGGAGTTTGATATTTACTACAGCGTAACAGTTGAGGTCATGTGAAAACAACGCTTCGTCGACGAGCCTTTTATTCTCTCTGTTTCTTTCTAGCTAGTCTAATTGTATATCCAACCCATCTATTCTTCTAATGCTTCTAAAAGAAGAGTAGTAACCCGCTGCAACCATTAAATCATACAACCATACGTCCCCGTCTACGCCCTTACAGTCTCGATCTGTACTGTGCGTTCTTCTTCTCAAGGCCCTCGGCCTCCGCAACGGGCTGTCCATCATCACCAGCGTGCTTCTTGTAGCCAGGGGTATCCGCCTTCTTCGGCGCCGAGATATATCCACCCTTCTCATTATCCAAGTTCGTCACCTCACCCCTCTCGTTCCTCTTAATCCCCAATTCCATCAACTTCGCAAACACTACCGCGAAGTCCTTGAAGAACAACTCCTTATCCGCACCATACTTCTTCACCCACGGCTCGAACCCCTTATCAGCCAACAACGCCATATCACTCGGCAACATCATCAGCTCCGTCTCGGTATCCTCATCCGTATACCCAAACTGCTTCACGCCGCTCGCCAGCGTCCTCGGCTCCCACTCCAGCGTCGTCAGCAGCTTGAAATACTGGTTCGAGAACCTCGTCGGGTTGTTGACCCACTTCCCCTCGAACCCCGATCGGTCCCCATGGCACCTCCCAAGCGTATGCGCACCGCTCAACGCCACAATTTCCTGGTCATTAAACCCCATCCTGTAGAAGATGTTCCTCAGATGATCACTCCCCTGCGCTGCATCTGGCAGCCTGCCGCGGATCTCCTTGATCTTGCTGTCGTCGACATAATCGGTACGGCCGCCCTGCCACGCGATCTCGGGACCACCAGCCTCCTCGAGTGCCACCTTGCCGGCGAGAGTCCACAGGTCGGCGTAGGTGATCCATGGGTGGGCGGCCTTGACGGGCTCGAGGAGGACGCGTGCGTGTTGGAGGCCGGCGTTCGCGGGGTCGCCGCCTTCGATCTCGTAGCGCATGCCCGCGCCGTTGGAGCCACCGGTGTCGGTGCGGATGTCGTAGGTTCCGGACGAGTGCCTGTGGTTTGTGTTAGTGGATGGGCTTGGGGGAGGGTGCTGTTGCGTGGGAGAGCTGCTTACCAGGCGAGGCGGATGAGGACTGGGCCTGCAGAGCCGTCATCGTATTCTGGCTGGTTGAGGAGGGCCTTGATGTCCTTGCGGACGGTGGCGAAATCTCCCTTGGGGCTCATAGCTGCGTTTGTGTTGTTTTGGTTTGGTTGAATCTTCTATCCCAAGCACGATGTTTCAAAGCGAGTTCGATGGTGGACACCTATCAAGCGAAAATATATGGATTACAAAGTCTGGAGAAAGGTCCGGGGAAAGGATATATATCAGGAGAAAATAGTGGCAAGACGGGCCTCAACTATAAGCCAATATCCATCACGGCGTTCACAATCCTCTCCGTGGTCACATTAGACCGAGGCATTCCAACTACATCTGGACCCTCAACCACTACGCAACCCGTTCCCATTGGCCTCTGACCACCATTTATCGGGGCGTTGTGGAGCTCGATGATGAATTCGTGGTGTGATAAGAGCCTCTTTTTTTTTGTGCTCGGGACGGGGGCCGAGGCACGCCGAATGGTCTGGCCGGGGACGCTGATTGGATAGGAGATGTTATCGGCGGCGTGGCGGTGGGTGAGGCTAGCTAGGGAGAAGGCTGAACCCAGCTCTTTATCACATGCCTGGCGGTTTGTTGACGGGATTTATGAACGGGTAGATCTCCGTCTACTACACACACTCATATTTATTTTCCGATAGAATTGACGTTTGATTATTGATATATTGATTATATAATACCCAGAACAGACAGTAACGCTCTCTTGCCATAAATACCCAACATATTGCCACCAAGGTTAGTTCATTGCTGACTTGTCGTGTAAAAATTAAGTATTATTAGACATTTATTCGTCATGATTCATAACTCCATATCCGCCCGGGTATCGTTAATTCGTCTCCTATTCCCTTCATAACTCCCATCGCGCAGCGACGCCTGTTCAGCGCGATTCGTTATCGCATTCGTCGCCAGGATATTAATCCGCCTCAAGTAGGTAGACATCGAATGCGCCACCATCTCGCCGAAGACCACAGATCTCAGCTGTTCATCGGAAACGAGACGGGCTTGAATAATATCCCCGCTGCCACTTTGCCTCGATTTATAGTCCTGCTTTCGAGGCACGGCGCGTAGTAGAATGAGTTTGCCGCCGTTACTTAACGTCGCATTCGGCACTCTCCATATCGGTGAAGCTCCTTCGGGGGCGCTCTTCGAGCGGCTTGGAAGAGGCGGGCGGTCGTCGTTAACGGCAAGCGTGCTCGAACTTGCGGCTTTGCTATTCTTGAGAATAGATTTAGGCATTGGTCTTTGTTCCGATTTTGACCGGGAACTGGCGACCATGGGGGCTGGCGTGAGGTATAAGTTGAGTAGCGACTGTACATATGCTATACTAGCTCTGGATACTGGGTCGCCTTCGTTAATGAAGCTGAGGAAGAGGCTCTTCCGTAACTCTGGGGTTTGTGGTTTTTGGAGCGGTAGTAGAGATATCGGAGGCGATCCAAATGTGATGCAATGGATTCGTTTGAAGAAGCCAGCTAGGGCTCTGAGTTCGGAGTCTGCTCCTCGACTCGACGAGAGCATGTGGCTGTATAGCAGTGCGGCAATCGCTCCGCCTGCAGAGTGGCCGGTTATGAGAAGAGAGCAGCGGGACCGTGAAGGGTCTTCTTGGAGGAGGTGTCGTAAGCGGGCTGCAACAGGCTTGATCATATTACGAGCCACGTCGAGAAAACCTGCGTGACAGAGGTTGCCAGCATCATCCTATGAAATGTGTTAGCAGTTACTGATTAGGTTCGGTGATTATTCCCTACCAGGAAACCAGAAGGAGATGCCGGTGTTTGGTTCATGTTGACAGCCCAATCCATAAACCTGGCGCTGCCTCGGATCGCGAAGACAATGACGTCTTGGGCATCTACCGGCACGGATTTTATTACCATGGCCTTGGTTCCCAAGCGGACGTTGGGCGGTATGTGTTCATGCCTCTCTTGACCCTTTGGGGTGTGGTACACGCGGTCTGAGTACTGGGCCGCTATACACAGAAGCGGGAGAGTCGACGTGTAACTAACGACCATTAATATGCAGCAAAATATGATTCTATGAGGAGGGCTTACAATTTAACGGGGGTCAAAGACTCCGCAACCATGGAATTCGAGTAAAGCTTCCACTTTGTGAAAACATCTGTTGTTGATATGGCCTTTCCAATGCCTTGAGGTCCGCGGTCAGCACCTCTTGTATTGGAGGTTTTACGTGAGGTCGTCAAAGCCCGATCTCGAGTCGCAGGCACTGACTCTTGCCCTTGTTCGGTAACGTTGAGCTCGACCAACTCGTGCTCATCTCTACCGAACTTGTCGCTGTCCATTAACGTGAGAACCGAATCAAATCTCGACGAAATTAAATCAGTAAGTGCCGCTCCTTGGTTCATGTACTGAACGCCTTCTTTCTGCCACTCTGCAACCCCGCTATTGAAGAGTTGAGCACCAGGTATACAATTCGGCAAATCTCCTTGTAGAAAGGACGGCAGATTGGCGACGGAAGCAGAGGCCAGCTTGTTGACCTTGCTAGCCTTTCCATTTGACTGAGGTGCCGGAGGCGCAAGCATGTAATTGTTCTGTATCAGAATCGGTTGCTGTTGCGGTTGCATATACGGCGGTGCCAGCATCCAGCCTGCTGGAGCGAGAGGCGGCCCGCCATACTGCTGGTACTGATATTGCTGGCGATGGTAGAGCGCATAATCCCCATCTCTGTAGCGCCGGCGCTCGCAAGTCAGATCATACGATGACTGTGCTCGTTGACCATATGTTTGCTGCGACTCATACGAGTCCTTCTTCTTTGACTTCCCAAAAAGTCCCATTGTGGTGGTGGTTTGGTGGCGGTTCTTGGCTGTTGCTCAGCCTTGTAGGCGACGATCATTGAAGGGTTCGGTGACAAGATTGAAGAGCATAGAAGCTAGAAGGGGAAAACGAAACCAAGGCTAAATATAAGGGGCATTAAGAAGATATAGGACATCGGAAGAGAAACAAAGAGCGCCCGTGATAATGTCGTCAAGGGTTTTGGTAAGGGTTCCTCCCCACATAGAGGGTTATAAGTAAACCAAGAGCGGCTTTGCACGGCCTCGATGTTGCCCTGTCCTATCCCAGCCTGGCGGTTCGTCGCCCACGTCGGCGTCCCCATTGGACATGGGAACATGGCAGGTTGACGAATCATGACCCGTAGGTCAACTTTTTCGATATCACAGATGCAGTGTGCTCAACAGGTAGTTACTCGAAATCCGAAGGATACTAGTAGCCAGGCACGCGCTGTCTAAACCCGAATCGAAGAAGGGACAAGAAGGAACAAGCCTTCTTCCATCCGGTTGTATGGGTCGTCTGATGGGTGAGTGACACCGAGACCATGAGCACACCATGACAGCATCCCTATGTCTCACATATCTCAAATTTCCCTTGTGCCAATGCATACGGCATACTGACGACACGATCGTGGTGAACGTTTAGGTAGCATTTCTATGGCATGATTAACTTCCAGCTTATGCATTTGGAATAGCTCTGCATCGGATCGGGAGCCCTGCCTTTGTGTCCGTCCGACCTTGGACGCCCGTTTGTAGGGTTCTCGCGCCGCCCCCGAAAGTTTAAAACGACCGGCCGTTCAATAAATGGCGTACAATAGATCGCTGCCTTGCGCTCAGGGCTGTGAGTTCTTGTAGGTACGGGCCCATGGCTGTCCAGAGCAAATACGCCAATAAATGAGGCTTATTGATCACTGTAGACGGTATGCACCATATTTGACAATCTACCTGGTAGATTGGTTACTTCATAAATAAATAAACAGAAGAAAGTGCTTCCCAGCTGTGGTATGGTAAGAGCTGTACCTGGTATCCCTCGCCTTATCGTACCTTAGGCCTTGCGATAAGAGATGAAGCGAGGCTTATTGGAAATAGTAGTAACCCATCAACCACGTTTCACCGAGACAAAGCGGTAGTACAGACATATTTATAATTAAACAGCCTTTGATTGATAAACAGGGGACATGGCGAGCAACGTATAGCCCTTGAAAGTGTAATGCCCCAGAGAAGATGGATTTTGTAAGTAGGCCGGTTATGGCTTCCCATAGATGACTGGAAATTAGATGCTGATTCCATGCCGCAGTGGTCGAGACTGATCGCGGGCACTTCGCTCTCGCCGTCAACACCGAGCAAGGCTGCCTTTAATGATCCGTTGAAGCGCCTGGCGCGCTTTAGGAGGGAATACAGCCAGTTGCTGGTACGTGGGAACCGTTCCGACCGAGGGGCGCGGATACTGACAGCTACCAGCAAGAATGGCGACACGTTACGAACCTGTCGAAAGACCCAGATACAGCCGACACTATCAGAGCGTGCTTGCGCAATATAAACAAGTTCCTCAGTGATGAGTCGCGACTGCCCTCTCCTCATCCGTGCCTGTCGTTTTCCGCCCAGAACCAGATCTACGTCTCAGCGGCCAAGATAGCGACAGTTTCCTACAACGAAGACATTATCAGGGAGGCTATCACCTTGTTCAGCACGCTTATTGAGAGCGAAGAGGAGGACTTTATAGAGAATGACGCTTTCTCGCAGAGTTTGATGAACCTGCTGGCCCGCATCACTGGAGCGAATAGCATCCGACTGAACTCGGAAACCGAGGTGGATGTGATCGAGCTTGCCTTTGGCATAGCTGCGAAGATACGACTGCAGCCGGAAATATTGCCGGCATGGTTCACGACGGGTGATGTTTCCTCGGATGACGAAGACAAAGGCCACCACGAGCGATTTACCGGAAAGACCAGCAAAGAGGACTTCCCCCTATTCTATCTACTGGTCGACTATATCCACCATGAAGGGCGGATAGGAGATTTCGCGCGGACTGGGCTCTTATACATTATTGAGTCAGCGTCTGTGTCTATGCCTTTGGAGCAGTGGCTTGTTGAGAGCGACCTGGCAACATTGATGGCAACAGGGCTTGGCGCCCTTTATAGTCAGTTAAGCCGAAAACTGGTCATTGACTACCCGGAAGACAGCTTCCCCTTGATTCTGGCTACGTCCGACTTCAGACATCCGCGAGCCACGGCCGATATTGTTAGCTCTACTTCTACAGATTTCCAGGGCCACATGGACACGTTTCTTTCGCATCTTGTGTTTTGGCAAGATGTCCTCGATCACTGCAAGTCTGTCGAGGTGAGGCAGACTTTGCTTGAGCATTTTCAAGTTATTTTTCTTCAACAGTTATTGTAAGTGCGACACCCTGTGTCCTGGAATTCTACTTATTATTCCCAGATACCCATCTCTTTTAGAGTCTTCGGATGCAGACGGCGGGTCATCAGTGGCCGTCCTCACGTACCTCCGGCGAGTTCTCGAATCTGTAGAACACCCAGATATGATACATCTCATCCTTAATTATTTATTAGCTCTGCCGGATACAACCATGTTAGAGTCCGTCGCGTCAACAAAATCCCTTGCTAGTGAAGCAAGAAAGCGGAAGTTGATGAACTTGGCAACTATGGGAACGCAGCAGTCGACCCCGGATTTATTCAACCTTGTCGATCTTATTATTGGTAGCTTGCGTTCAAAGAGCGTCCAAACTATTACTGTGACCCTACAATTGTTTTCGGTCATTTTACGGCGTCACCACCGTTACGCCGTATCAACCCTGCTCAGGACAACCCGAGTGGTGACAGATGGCCCCCAAAAGTTGATTGGAGCTCACCAGATGCAGTTGGCATATATCCTTGACCTGGCCAACGATATTAGTGTCCAAGAGGGATTCGATGAAATCTATGACAACCATATTAAAGATGCGACTAACCTTCTTGAGAGCCACCCTTGCTCACACCAACTTATTGTACCGGTAGGGGTCAGCAAACCTCCAGCAAAACACTCGACCATTCCAGGAACCCCGCAAGATGTCCACCTCCACACCCTGAGACCGGACGATCCGATCCTCAAGACTCTACTGTCTATCCTGTCAACTTTTTTTACCAACTCGGTGGAAACAAACCTCGCCCTAACCGAAGCTCTCATCGACCTAGCAATATGCGGATACATGAACATCGAAGGCTGGCTCCTTCCCGACCCAAGCAAATACACATACCCAACACCCTCCAAGCAACCTCCGCCGTCCAAGCCAGTTAAGCCAGGCTCCCAAGCAGCCATCGAACTCTCGCAAATCGAAACTATCCGCGAAGCCCGCCGCCGCCCAAACCTCCCAACTGCCGCAACCCCGCCCCTCCTCCTTACCCTCCGCGCCCTCGTCTCCCAAACAACAACCTACCGCAGCGCCATCCCCCGCTTCGACGACCTCCTCCACTCCCGCCGCCAAGCCTTCAAACTCGACGCCGAATCTCCCCCTCCTCCTACATCACGCCGCACCGACGCCCGCGGAAACCGCAAAAGCTCCGAGTCGGACCGATCCTCCAGCCCGCCTGCCCAGCGCCGTACGCCGCCTACAAGCACATCTCGCACGCGCCGCCATGGTGCCAGTGCTGCAATCGACTCCCTCGCGTCGCGCATATTCCCTGAGCTAGCATCGCGCTCGTCATCGCCTCTAGCGAGGGGGCGGACGTCGCGCGAGCAGAAGCGCAGTGGACATGGGACGAAGGGTGGGGGACATGTAGTATCGAATTCGCCTCTGAGAGCGTCGGATACGGCTGGTGCGGGGTCGTTGCTAGACGAGGATGGGGCTGCATGGGAGGCCATGGGGAGTGCGAGTCAGTCTGCTGCGTATGCGCATATTGATCGCGGCATTTTAACGCGGAGGGTGGGGATGGCGAAGATTGTGGTTGGAGAGGCAGGTGGGAGGAGGGTGGTGGATACTGAGAGCATTGTGCCGAGCACGCCGGCGGGGAGTACCGTTGGGGATGGGGAAGGGGATGAGGAGGGGAGCGTGATTACCGCGCGGACGGACGAGATGGGGACGGAGACGGGGACGACAGACCGTGAAGAGGAGGTGGCGGGGAAGATGGTCAGTGTGAGCCATGTTCTGACGAACATTATTGTGCTGCAAGAGTTTATTCTTGAGTTGGCAGCGCTGGTACAGGTGCGAGCCGCCATGTTTGTGGAGGTCAAATTTGCATAGAAGCAAATTCGATACCATCATTATCAATGTGACGAAAATAATATCTTAATTTCTATATTTAGCACTATCTATTCGTTGCCGCCGATACGTCTAAAGAGGGACTCCATAGCTCAATAGGGGCAATTTAAATTAATTGAATCTCTCGTTTCTCTATAGCTGGCCCAATGACTATATCTCCGAGTGATTGAACTCCTTAACTTGATCATGGTTGCTGTAAACATTACTTATCGGCAGCCTCCTGAGACATTTGGGCGGCAGGAATATTTCTACGTCATTGGGCCGATAACTCTCCAGATAACGACCAGCACAGGAAACTATGGGAGCAATGATCCGCCCGAAAGGCCCATGCCGCCCACATTTGCAACAGTTATCGATGATCGCATATCCCCTATTCATGGAGGAACCATCAGTCAAATATCACGTGCTTATCCTTTCATCGTTGCTGAGCTCCCTGGTTGACGTAGGTCCTTTCGAACGTTTGTACTTGGTCCAACTGCTTTGGAGACCCCTTCAAGACCCTTAAACTACATCTTTTTCCGGGCCAGACTCTGAAAGCACCAACTTACTTCTTTAGTAATTGCAGAGGAGAATCACCTGCCTGGAACTCGATTCAATCCGGTTTTATACGCTCCTTACAGTCGCATGAGGGACGGAAGCAACCAACGTCGCGAAATGATATAAAGCGACCTGGGCCAAACCCCCATTGCGGGCATTATTAATTCACCATGGGCTTCTCAATGCGAAGATGGCGAGCCGTGGCTTTGATCGCAATATTTACGATTTTTGGGATATACCACCTAACGGCGTCAAGTCGCCAATGGACCCAGCCCACGATATCACCAAAACCGAACGCACCAAAACCCAGCGCCGCATCTAACACGACACCAAACACCCCGCCGAAGACCCCGCCGAAAACTGCGTCTGACGGGAGCGGGAAAACCCACTGGGAGAAACGACCAGAGCGATACCCAGTCCAATCTGTCCAGCCTCTACCACAGGGGACACCGAAACCCATACCCTCTATCCAGGCCAAAGCACCGGTCCTTGATGGGGGAGCCAACGTGGAACGCAAGAAGCGCCTTGCTGCTGTCAAGGAGAGCTTCGACCATAGCTGGGCTGGATACAAAAAACATGCGTGGCTACAAGACGAGGTTGTCCCCGTTAAGGGGGGAGCTAGGAATACACTCGGTGGCTGGGCAGCAACGCTCGTTGACTCCCTCGACACGTTATGGATAATGGGCTTAGAGGAGGATTTCGCAGAAGCTGTGGAGAGTCTGGATCAGCTGGACTTTTCGTATACGGAGGCGACAACCATCAACGTCTTTGAGACTACGATTCGCTACTTGGGAGGATTCCTGGCAGCCTACGATATAAGTGAGAGGAAATTCCCGAAGCTTCTGGTTAAGGCAGTGGAAGTTGCAGAGTTACTCATGAGCTCCTTCGACACTCCAAACCACATGCCAGTTGTCCGCTGGAACTGGCTCGAGTACGTGAATGGTGAGGCTCAAGTAGCCCCCTTTAATATGGTCGTCGCGGAGCTGGGTTCGCTGTCCCTCGAGTTTACGCGCCTCAGCCAGCTGACCAAGAACCCGAAATACTACGATGCGGTCCAGCGCATCTCCGATATGCTAGAAGAGCACCAGTCCAAAACCCTTCTACCGGGATTGTGGCCCATAGCCGTCGATGCCGGGACACCAGCCTTCGATAGAGATAATGCCTTTACGCTTGGCGCCATGGTCGACTCTCTCTATGAGTACCTGCCAAAGCAATACATGCTACTAGGTGGGCTCCTCGAGCAGCCAAAGAAGATGTACGAGAAATTCATGCCGGTCGCCAAGAAGCACCTCTTCTTCCGCCCCCTCAACCCAGATAACCTCGACATCCTAGTCTCTGGCGAGGTTCGGGTCACTGGCAAACCACCCGTGTACGAGCTCAAGCCAGAAGGCCAGCACTTGACCTGCTTCGTAGGAGGCATGATCGGCATGGCCTCAAAGATCTTCAATCGCCCAGACGAGCTCGCGATAGCTGAGAAGCTAACCAACGGCTGCGTATGGGCATACGAGTCTCAAATCCACGGTGTCGCACCAGAGCTCTTCCGCTTGGTGCCATGCAACAACTCCACAAACCCCACCTGCCAGTGGTCCGAGGAGGCGTGGCACGCAGGGATCCCGAGCCTGCCTTCCGACGTTGCAGCTGCTCAAAAGAAGATCATGAACTACAGGCTCGCGCCAGGCTTTACGTCGTACCCGGATCCGACATACCTTCTTCGCCCGGAGGCTATCGAGTCCGTGTTCATGATGTACCGGATCACGGGCGACCCGGCGTGGATGGACAAGGGATGGCGTATGTTCCAGTCGATCGAGAAGATCACACGGACGTCCATTGCTAATAGTGCGATTGATGATGTAACGAAGCCGAAGCCGAAGAAGATCGATAGCATGGAGAGCTTCTGGCTGGCAGAGACGTTGAAGTATTTCTACCTGCTCTTTAGCGAGTTCGATGTTGTGAATTTGGATGAGTGGGTGTTGAACACTGAAGCTCATCCGTTTAAGAGGCCGGTGTAGGGATATGAGCTAGAAGGCTCTGTGTTTGAACTGCTTTGTGTGTACTTGGGGCGTTGGAAATGGGATGGTCAGTCGTGTGCCTCACACTAAAAAAAGTTAATACCGGGGCCTACAGGCCACTTGGGATAGATGGACTATTGGGATAAATTGGAAAGGGGCTGGGTAGGAATTGAATCAAGGCATAGGAGCTGTGAACACATGCGTTTTCTCCATGAGGCAGCATTTATTTACTAATCCGTAGTATCAAATATACAAAATATTACGCTATTTATTATACAGTGATAGTTGCACAACCTGAGCAAAAACGGCGTTTGTAGGAACTGTTGGTGGTCACACACTTTCCGGACCATGACTACTTCTACCTTGAACAACACCCCTACCCCTCTTATTGATTTATATGTACTCCGTAGCTCCTGGCAGTGTTTTAAATAGAAGCCCTAATGTTTCATCATTAATGGATGTTGCAAATCTGGGCAATAATATGGGTTTTCGTGCGGAGGATCACTACTTCAACGGTTTCCCCGTGCCGGTCCCTATCTGGGGAGTTGCCTTGGTATGATCACAATCAGGGGGTTTTCACGCACAAGAGCACTCGTAGAGTCACTAGAATTGAGCGTTTGGAGCGTTTGGAGATCCAACGAGGATATCACGAGGTTTGGTATAAATATCTTGTTGCGATACTACCTAGAGTGCCAAAGGAACCAACATTGCTATGATGACCCTTGACTTCCCTTGCTGCCAGAAAAAGAACCAGTTCTCGTTCCCGTAATGTAAGCGTGACAGGCGCATGAACAGCGTTTACTTTTGCATCATAAGCTGGACGAACTCGTTGTCTGGTGGATGGATGTTAGCAAGCGACCAAACATGAGGGGGAGAAGTTCAACGTACAATCAATACGTCCGTCACCGTCCTGGTCAGCCTCGCGGATCATCTCATCAACCTCCTCATCAGTCAACTTCTCGCCAATAGATGTCATGACATGGCGAAGCTCGGCAGCAGAGATGAAACCGTTGTTATCACGATCGAAGACCTGGCAATGAACGATTAGTTTAGATATCCCCGAAGCCGCCCAATGTGCACATACCTTGAAAGCTTCACGGATCTCATCCTCGGAATCGGTATCCTTCATCTTTCTTGCCATCATCGTCAGGAACTCTGCCCAAGAGTTAGCTATCTCGTTACAGTATGTGGCCGGTCGTGTTTACCTGGGAAGTCGATGGTGCCGTTGTTGTCAGCGTCAACCTCGTTGATCATGTCCTGCAGTTCAGACTCGGATGGGTTCTGGCCCAGGGATCTCATGACAGTTCCAAGCTCCTTGGTGGTGATTTGTCCTGCACACAGGCCGTTAGCATCGATGCTGCCCAATGTCCTGCGACTTGCGACAAAGTGGTGTGATGCGCCAGTTGGCATTTTGAAGCAGTTTTGATGTCGCAATCACCAAATACCCAAGTGGCATCTGTAATTTCAAAGAAAGGAAGATGCAATGACTAACCATCGCCATCTTTGTCCTGTACAAGGTAAAAGTTAGTTTCAGGCTCAAGAGAGGGGTAAATGGCTGTCACGACAGTGACGAGGGGTGGTGGCTACATACGAACAGAGAGAAGGCCTCTTTGAACTCGGAAACCTGATCCTCAGTGAGAGCGTCGGCCTGAAGAGATTATGTTAGTGATATTGAAGCTGCTGTTGTGCGGGCGCAAGCTGGTCTGGCCAGCGCGTCCGGATTGCGGGGTGAAAGTGAGGCTACGCACCATGTTGGACGTTGTGGTGATGATGAAGTTGGAGGTAGGAGGTATATTTTGTTATATTCTGTTATTTATATATAATTCAGTATGATGAGTTTGGAAATTGTTGTTAGGCAAAAAAGAGTCACAAACCTCAAGGTTGCCGAAATCTGGAGGGGAAAGTTGTGGGAGACTCGATTGTGCTGACGTCCGCCCAGCTGTGTTGATAAGTGCCAACATACGAAGAGGCTCATGCGCTAGCAACGGTACCCTTAATGCACGACCATGTCGTTCAGCCTTATGGCTCAGGCCCGAGGATTGTGCCAATACCCAATACCGCCAATACCTTCTAGCTGGCAGCTTCCCCAGATGTCGCGATCTGTATTCGATGAAGTGCACATATCCTTAAAGCCGATATAGAATTGAAGCGCTCGACGATCAACAAATTTTGCACCTTGCAGACGGAACGTCACAGCGGAGGGCGGCCGCCATGGCCTGGCGAGATCGCACCAATCTGTACGGCCCCATCCTGACACCTTGCGGGACACCGGCTGACCAATTCACAGTTATATTTCCTATCGTCAATCATATTCCCACCACCCAGCAAAGAAGCAACGATATGGCGGATCTACAGGCAATGGCTACTATGAGTCTGGTTTGGGCGAGGAGCACCAGGGGCTCATGTCGCCGAGCGCATTCGAAGATGACGGCGACGCTGTGATTGAGATGGACCTGCTGCCACCAAGATGGACGGACATCAGCGACGAGATCACGGAGCTCTTGGGTGACATAGCCGAGAAATCACAGAAGTTAGAGAAGCTGCATCAGAAGCATGTGCTCCCTGGGTTCGACGACGACGTAGTGAAGCGGAATGAAGAAGGGGAGATTGAACGGTTGACGCAAGGGATCACACAAGGGTTCCATGACTGTCAAAGGTCGATAAAGAGGATAGATAACATGGTGAAAGAGTCCAAGCAACAGGGGACCATCAGTAGTGGAGAGGAAACCATGGCGAAAAACATACAAATATCGCTGGCGGCGCGTGTCCAGGAGGCCAGTGCTGGTTTCAGGAAAAAGCAGAGCGCATACCTGAAAAGTAATGCTTCCATCCCCATGATCGACTCACGTACTAACACTCGATAGAATTACGAGGCCTTGGTGGCATGAGCTCGCCGATAGACCGATCGGCCACTCCCCAGTTCGCCAACTACACAGACCCGTCGTTGATGGAATCTAATGCCGACAAATCATATTCGGAGTCGACACTACTTCAAACAACCCACAAACAACTCACCTCAAACGACAGTACCATCATGCAGCGTGAGCGTGAAATCACAGACATCGCACAGGGTATTATCGAACTCGCGGACATCTTCAAAGACCTGCAGGCTATGGTGATAGACCAGGGAACAATGCTCGATCGGATAGACTACAACGTGGAGCGGATGGCCACAGACGTTAAAGCTGCCGATAAGCAACTGACGGTGGCAACGGGGTATCAGAAGAAGTCGGTGAAGCGGAAAATAATTTTTTTGCTTATAATTATCATTGCGGGGATGTTTATCCTGCTGATTATCAAACCGAAGGGCGGCAATAGGAGTTCGTCGGACGAAGAGATACCACCGCCTCAGAGGAGGCTATTGTAATTTATTCTCTCAACATATTTCCCAAATAACTGGTCGCGAAATGTGATATAATCCATAGCTTGCTATGATACGTATGAGAAAGCTCAGGAACACCCCCGGGGCGGCTTCGGCCTTCGAAGTTTCACCAGCACTTGAACTACAGAATGTTGGACATAGTCACGGTTTATTGGAAGCGAAAAATTGAGTGTACGGGAGACTGTTGTGATTTATGGCCGATATAACTCAATATATGACGAAAAGAATTGATCGCTTTAAATATCTATTGTCGTTTAATCGTGAGATATGCTTATATCTACTTCTTTCTAGAACTAGAATTTATGAGCTTCTTCTTAATGTGCTTTGGGATCTTCTCCTTCCTCTTCTCGCGCTTCTCTTCCTTGACTGCCATTTTGTGCTCCTGGCATGAAGTTAGTGGATGTTCTTGGCTGGCAGGGGCAACCAGAAAGGTGGGTCACAACTAACCTTCTTCTGATCTTTATCCTCGAATCGTTTCCCTCTCGGCGTACCCTTCTCGAATCGACTCTCGTCGTCTTCCGAATCTTCCTCTTCATCGTCGCTGCTGGTGCCGCTTGCAGTTCCATCCGCGGCTTGCTCCCCGGCAGTCTTTTCGGCTAACAGGTTAGCATACACTAGGAAACCCTTTCCTTCCTTTCTAACTTGCGCGGCGTCTCTCTCAATATCATAAACCTGCTCGAGGGTTTGTGGGATATACTGCTGTCTGAAAACCTCGTTCTCGACTTGTTGCCTGGCAGCGACCTCATCAGCATCTCCTGCGAGACCTGCTGCCTCGTCTTCCTGTTCACCCTTAGCCTTGGCTACGAAAAGGGCCTCCAGACGAGATGTAACTGTGGCATCAGAGTAAGGACCAGTGGTAATAAAGCTGAAGAGCGCCTGCTCTGATAGCGTGTCGACGTTCTTGCGTCTGAAGAAATCCGATACGTTCTTGATATCCATTCGCAAGAACTCTAGCGATCTTGGATGATCATGCTCTACACTCTGCGAGACATCAATAATATAAAGTCTTGAATTGTGATACAACACATTGTACTCGGACAAATCAGCGTGTACGAGTTTGCAGACTTGGTACATCTTCGCCATCAACCCGACGAGTTCAAGATACAGCACTCTCCATCTCTCATCAACTTCATCAGCCGTGCCGTGCATCTCTGCATCACGCAGACGAGGTGCAGCCCATCCCTTCTTATCACCGAGGAACTCCATGGCGAGCACGTGCAGGCGAAGGTATATCGGCTCTGGGCAAGGAATGCCAGCGGCGAACAGGCGCCTCAGGTTACGCATCTCCTTCTCTGCCCACACCTTAACCATAGCTCTGTTCGAGGACTTGTTGTAACCGCCACGGAAGCGATGCTCTCCAGTGACATAGCGATCACGATCCTTGAAGACCAAGATGCTCGTCTTATACACCTTGATGGCACGGTGCAGAGGGGTTGGCTCTGGGTCTTCGGCAGTAGGAGGCGAGACGGAAAGCGCGCCGTAAACGTTGGCTTCCTTTCCGGTACTGAGACAGCCATTTATTTCGGAGACAACACCTCTGTTGATCATCTGCAGCAAAATCATTCTTGTTCGAGGGTCGAGAACTTGCTCGCTGGTCGCACGATCCGACTTGTCCTTCTCATGGCCCTTGGAGTCTTTGCTGAGACCTCCGGTGCCTCCATCGAGGCGGATCTTCGCAGCATGCTTTGTGAGACTCGTTATTTGGTCGTCAACGCTGGCTTTGGCGTTTACTATCGGTTTCGATTGTGGGTTTATTTTCGGGAGGTTCGCGGAGTTGGAGTGTAGCTGTCTCTGTCGGTTATAAGATTTTGTTAAATCAGAGCTATTGGGGTCCCAGTCTAGATCATCCAAAGCACCCTCATCTTCGTCGAAAATGTCGTCGTAGGTTTCGTCTTCCTCAACCTCTTCTTCGCCTTCTTGCCCCTCCGCAGCGGCCGCACGTGTGGGGTTATCTTCTGGGTTTAGCGGGGTAGGCTCATAGCCCTGGTTTGGGACATAGGTATGGCTTGGGGCTTGCCCTGCTGCCGGAGTAGAAACCATGACTGATATATACAGATATCTCAATAGTTTGTGGCAGTTAAAAATATTTCGAGTAGAAATCTTAACAAACGTTGGGTACGGTTATCAGTAATTATTTTTTGCCCAATCTGTAATCGATAGGCGGTGAGACATGACAAAATAATCAGCGCTAATTTGACTCGGGACCCCATCGCGTCCAACTCCACTTCGACGCGATGCGACAGATGAATCCGTGCCTCGACTTAATGGACGAATAATGCCAACGCCAGCCACTACCTCACGACCTCCGAATATCTGAGATTATAGAAAGAACACATTTTTGTTTTTACATGCGATTGGCGCCCAAATACCCGAGATATTTAAACCAGTGGGCTCGTAGGGCGTTTGGGGCATCGCAAAGATGCATATCAAGCAGATCATCATCCAAGGGTTCAAGAGGTATGATTTATGGAACATAATGATCGCGTACCATTGCTGATGATGCGACAGCTACAAGGAACAAACCGTCATCGAACCTTTCTCTCCAAAGTGCAATGTGATTGTTGGTCGCAATGGTTCCGGAAAGAGCAACTTCTTTGCCGCCATTCGATTCGTACTCAGCGATGCGTACACGCAGATGGGAAGAGAGGAGCGCCAGGCTCTGCTCCACGAAGGTTCCGGATCAGCTGTGATGTCAGCGTATGTGGAGATCATTTTTGATAACGAGGATGGCCGATTCCCGACTGGCAAAGACGAATTAATTCTGAGGCGGACAATTGGGCTGAAAAAGGACGAATACTCTCTGGATCGCAAGAATGCGACGAAGACCGACGTTATGAATCTACTCGAATCGGCCGGTTTCTCTCGATCCAACCCATACTACATTGTTCCTCAGGGCCGCGTTACGACATTGACAAATATGAAGGACACGGAACGCCTGACCCTACTGAAGGAGGTCGCCGGAACGCAAGTTTATGAGGCTAGAAGAGCTGAGTCGCTCAAAATCATGACAGAGACCAAAAACAAGCGCGACAAGATTGATGAGCTTCTCGACTATATCAGGAGCAGGCTGAAGGATCTTGAAGAAGAGAAGGAAGAACTGCGGGGATATCAAGACAAGGACAAGGAAAGGAGATGTCTCGATTATACCCTGCTTCACAGAGAGCAAGTCAAAATAGCCGAGCGCCTTGACGAGATAGAAGAGTTTCGCCAGGGTGGCACAGATAACATGGATGAGAGCAGAGAAGCGTTCATCGATGGAGAGAACGAGCTCGCAGCTCTTAAAGATGAGGTCAAACAGTTGTGCAACCAAATGGAGCTGCTCAAGATTGACAAACGTCAACTTGAAGAAGATCGCCGGGAGTCAGCAAGATCCCAAGCCAAGGTTGAGCTTAAAGTCAAGAAACTCGCAGATGGCCAGTCCGCCTCGGAGCAAGCGCGGCAACGTCAAAAGCAAGAACTCCAGGCTGTGAAGAAGGAGATGTCCGAGAAAGACGCAGAACTTGCGAATATTGTCCCCGCCTACAATAAAGCAAAGGCACAAGAGGTCGAGGTAAAGTCTGCGCTAGATGGTTCGGACGCCAGCAGGCAACGCCTTCTGTCGAAACAGGGTCGTAACTCTCAGTTTAAGTCTAAAGCCGAGCGAGATAAGTGGCTTAGAAAAGAGATTGAAGTGCTCAATAACACTCTTGCCACCCAAAAAGCCAACCGCATGGATGCCGACGAAGATGTAAAGGCTGTTCAAACCGAAATCAAAGGTCTTGAGAAGGAAATCAGCGGCCTGCGCGAAAGATTGGAAGGCTGGGGTGGCAACAGACAAGCGCTTACTGAACAGGTCACCAATGCAAAGGATGCGCTTGAGCGTCTGTCTGACGACAGAAAAGTTCTTCGCCGTGAAGACGACAAACTCGAGTCCATCACTGAAAATGCACGCCGCGAGATGAACAGGGCTGAACAAGATCTTGCGCATTCTATGGACGGGGCGACTGCACGAGGTCTCGCAACCGTCAGACGCTTGAAGAGGGAACAAAACATCTCAGGAGCTTACGGGACGGTGGCGGAACTCCTTCAAGTTGGTGAGAACTACCGTATATCAGTCGAGCAAACGGCCGGGAACAGCTTGTTTCATTACATAGTGGACAATGAGGCGACGGCCACGAAATTAGCCAAGGCGCTCTACGACCAGCACGGTGGAAGAGTTACATTTATGCCCCTGTCCCAACTCCGCCCACGACCCGCAAATTTCCCTAAAGCCAACGACGCAATCCCAATGCTGAGCAAGATCAAATACGATGCGCGATATGAGAATGCCTTCCAACAAGTATTTGGCAAGACCATCATCTGCCCAAACCTAACCATTGCTGGCCAGTATGCGCGCAGCCACGGTCTCAATGCGATTACTACGGATGGCGACACTGCCAACAAGAAGGGTGCTATGACTGGTGGCTACATCGACCCGCGCAAATCGCGCATTGAAGCTGTCCGCGCCGCCGAGCGCTGGCGTGAGGAGTACGACGGCCACCGTGTCCGCGCGACAGAGCTCAGACGCGAAATCGAGCGGAAGGACCAGGAGATTACCGCCGCCATGAGCGACCTGCAGAAACTAGAGCAGAGCCTGCGGCGACTCGACGACAGCTTCGATCCCCTGCGCTCTGAGCTCCGCAACAAAGTCTCGCACCTTGACCAGAAGAAAGACCAACTCGACAGCAAGGTCCGAGGCCGTGATGCAGTCGACGGCATGCTAAAGCAGTTCGGCGACCAAACCGAAGCCTACGACGCCGAACTAGCATCAGAATTCAAGAAAGCCCTCACCCCCGACGAAGAGGCCCAGCTCGACGAACTCAACTCCTCCGTCCAAGACCTCCGCAGCCAATGGAACGACCTCAGTTCCGCCCGCCGCAAACTCGAGAACCGCAAAAACCTCCTCGAGATCGACATCCGCGAAAACCTCCGCCTCAAGCTCGACCAGCTCAACAACCAAGATGCAGACGCCAGCGCCTCCGGCGACTCCCACGACCTCAAAGAAGCCCAGCGCGAGCTGAAACGCATCACCAAGGCCGCCGCCGCCATCGACGCCAAGCTCGCCGCCAACGAATCCGAGATCGAGCGCGCTGACTCGGAAACCGCGCGTCTCCGTCGCGAACAGGCTGCTAAGGAGGCGCAGCAGGAGGAGCTCGCTAAGACGATGGAGACGGTTAAGAAGAAGATGGATCGCAGCATCTCTAAGAAAGCGGAACTCACCGCCCTCGCTGCCGAGTGCGCGAAGAATATCCGCGACCTCGGCGTCCTCCCCGAAGAAGCATTTGAGCGCTTCGCCCGCATGGAGAGTAAACAGGTCGCCAAACGACTCGAGCGCGCCCACGAGGCGCTGAAGGCGTTTAAACACGTTAACAAGAAGGCATTTGAGCAGTATGCTTCCTTCACCGCGCAGCGCGAGACGCTCACGAAGCGCCGCAAGGAACTCGAAGCCAGCCAGGGCTCTATCGAGGAACTCGTCCTTGTCCTAGATCAGCGCAAGGACGAGGCTATCGAGCGGACATTCAAGCAGGTCTCGCGCGAGTTCGCGGGCGTGTTTGAGCGCCTTGTTCCGGCGGGGAGGGGGAGATTGGTTATCCAGCGCAAGACGGATGTTAATCTCGATGAAGAGGAGGGCGGGGGGGAGGGAGTGGAGAATTATACCGGTGTGGGGATCTCGGTGTCGTTTAATAGTAAGCATGATGAGCAGCAGCGGATTCAGCAGCTTAGTGGTGGCCAGAAGAGTGAGTTCCCGTTTCTTTCCCCTTTCCCCTTTCCCCTTTCCCCTTTCCCCTTTCCCCTTTCCCCTTTCCCCTTTCCCCTTTCCCCTTTCCCCTTTCCCCTTTCCCCTTTCCCCTTTCCCCTTTCCCCTTTCCCCTTTCCCCTTTCCCCTTTCCCCTTTCCCCTTTCCCCTTTCCCCTTTCCCCTTTCCCCTTTCCCCTTTCCCCTTTCCCCTTTCCCCTTTCCCCTTTCCCCTCTTTCCCCTTTCCCCTCTTTCCCCTTTCCCCTCTTTCCCCCCCTTCCCCTCTTTCCCCCTTCCACAACCCCCAACCCAACTCACCTCACCCACTGTATGAGCCAGACCCGAAGACTGACACCCCCACCCCCAGGTCTCTGCGCCCTAGCCCTCGTCTTCGCAATCCAACAATGCGACCCGGCCCCCTTCTACCTCTTCGACGAAATCGACGCCAACCTCGACGCCCAATACCGCACCGCCGTCGCCCAAATGCTCGCCGCCGTCTCCGCGCAACAATCGCAAGCCGCCGCCGGCGCGCTCGCCGAGGGCGAACGCGTCATGAGCGGACAGTTTATATGTACGACGTTCAGGCCGGAGATGGTGTTGGTGGCGGATAAGACGTATGGCGTTATGTTTGGGGCGAATAAGACGAGTAGGGTGGAGGCAGTTAGTAGGGAGAAGGCGTTGGAGTTTGTGGAGGGGCAGAAGCCTTAGGGGATACTCTGTCTCTGTCTGCTGGAAGTTGGTGGGGAGGGGAGGGTGGGGAAGTGGTGGGGGGGTATGCTATGATGGATGGATGGATATGCGGGAGTTGGGGGCGTAATATGAATAATGTTGATGCTTGATTACTTGCTGACAGCGTCTGTGGCGTGGATGTGTATGCTAGCTAGCTTTTTTGTAGATTGCTGGGGATGTGGTTGATAAATACCAAATACATTTTGCTATTTAGTTATATCGCTCCTCTCATTACTTTTATGCCACGATCATTGATGATGTCGTTGGCCTCACAGTTTGGTTTTTAGATTAGTCAGACAGACAGAGATGGGATGTGATGGGTACCAGGGTATCTCATTGTATGTATTATTCTCTCTCCCCTTTTCCTCTATCCACCAAAACAAAACACCAGCTCTAATCCAGCTCTCTTTTCTTTTCGTCTATCAACCGCACCGAGCGTCTTTGTCTAAGTCTTGTATCTATGCCTCTCTATTAAAAAAACCCCCCCCCCGGAAAGTAGGAAAAGATTCTAAAAGGAAAAATCATGACGAGATTGATTGTCGGATATCCAGAATTGTGTTGCTGTCGAGCAGGGTGTCCAAATGGCGGACAGTATCAAATATCCACCAGCCGAAGTTGTTATATTCCCAGCAGAAAACGAGAGATGTTGAAAAGGTGTATGTATGTGTGAGTCCCAAAGCGTGGGAGAGGAGGAGGGGAAATATCGTACAAATACACGCCCCCGACGCAAGCGAACGCAAGATGCCAGAGATCGATCAACCACAGAGAAAAAGGAACTTATCCAAACGGCCAGTTCTTTACTCCGCAACCAAAATCGGCAACGCCTTAGCAGTCATCTGCGCCGAGTGACTCAGTCTCCTCTTCGCCTGTGACGCCGCCGCAACACCAGTCGTCGTAGTCGCCGCACCCTTCTTCCCCCCCAACAACTCGGCGACCTCCTGGGCCTTTCCGCCAGTCAAATCCTTCGGCGGCTCTCCCGTCCCATGGAGGTTACGGTAAAAGTAAACTCCACTCCCCTCAACACTCTCCTCCACAAACTTGCACGCGCGCTGATTCTTCCAGAACGCCCACATGAACGGCGTCGCGCGGTCAGCGCGGTAGTGCGTCCCCATCACCTTGCGGATGGCGTCCGAGGCCTCGCCGGCGTGGTAGAAGGGGATTGTGGAGACGAGGTGGTGGCACACGTGCGTGCCGATGATGTCGTGGAAGAGGTGCGTATCGATGAAACCGAGGTCGCGGTCGATGGTGGCGGTGGCGCCGCGGGCGAAGTTCCAGGTGTTGTTGTTGTAGTGGGGGAGGCTGCCGTCGGTGTGTTGGAGGAAGGTGATGGCGACTGTTGGGGTGGGGGTTAGTTTGTGTGTTTTGGTTTGGTAGGGGGTGGATAGGGGTGGTAGGGGTAGGGGAAGGGAGGGGGACTAACCAATCCAGTGGTTCACCCAGAGGTAGGGGATCATATAGTAAAGAACCATGTTCCAGCTACCGATCATCTGTCCACCAACAATAAGGAGGCCAATCATGGCAGCAACGCCCGCATCGCTGAGCATGATCAAAGGCAGCTGCTCCTTCTTGAACAGCACGCTGTCCTCGCCAAAGTAGAAGTGCGAGAACTGCGGGAAGCCCTTGTCGTACTTCTGTCCCGTCAGGTTGGCGAAGAGGTACCCCGGCCACCCGAAAAGCTGGTGCTTGATGCACACCCACAGCGTAACAAGCGGGGCGTCCTCAGCGAGGTGCGACAGCTCCACGGACTCAACACCCGCGTCCTGGCCCTGATACGACTTAACCCAGCTCTCACGCACGTGCGGCACGAAAGCCGTATCCTTGTCGATGTTACCCGTAGCCTTGTGGTGGGCGCTGTGGCTGATACGCCAGCTGTGGAAGGGAACGAGGAGGAAGGAGTGCATGATCAGGCCCATAATGTTGTTGAGGCGCTTGTTCTTGCTGAAAGCACCGTGTCCGCACTCGTGTGCCAGGATCCAGATCCCGGTGAACACGAAGCCCTGGAGCACGGAGTAGGCAGCCCAGGCGACGCCGCGCGCGTAGGCGTTGGGGATGTACTCGATGTAGGAGGCGGCGTAGCAGAGGGCGGCGACGTAGAAGTAGTCGCGCACCACGTAGGCCATGGAGCGGAGGATGGAGGGCTGGAAGCAGTGTGCTGGGATGGCGTCGTGGATCATCTTCATGGTGTAGGTGGGCAGCTCAAAGACCTGGCCATTCTGGTCAATGTGCTTTCCCTCCTTGGAGGGAGCAGCATGGGAGGAGCGTCGTGCGGCAGCCATGACGGGCTCTCGTCGTCGTTGTGATGGCGAGAGGGGTGCGGGGGGGGATGTGGAGGAGGAAGGAGGGAGGAAGGGAGAAAGTGTCAAAAGTTGATCGAGATGGCGGCGTGGGGTAGGGGCGGGTCTTATAAACCGACACCACAAGCAGATTCAGATTTAGGAGCCCACGGCCGATGGGTGCACTTCTCCACAGTGATCCACAAGGGCGGCGGGCGGCGGGCGGCGGGCGAAGGACTGGGTGGGCTGGGGACAGATTATGAAGGGGGCCTTGGAGATTGCAGTGAGGCGCTGTAATTGAGGACGTCCCAGCGCATCTCATTGCATCTGTGCGGCCCATTGGATTGATATTGGATTGATATTGGATTGATATGGGATTGATATGGGATTGATATGGGATTGATATGGGATTGATATGGGATTGATATGGGATTGATATGGGATTGATATGGGATTGATGGTACGTACGTACGGAAATGTAAGGAGTGTCCAGTACTCTCTCCAGCTAGCGGGATGGGACAACAAACAGAACAGGAGAAAAAAAAAAAAAAAAGATGGAGAAGGGATGAGGCGAGACGCGCTAGCGGCGACCGCCCCTTTCTATTTCTGTGCTAGTGGCTACTGGATTGGGCGTAGCGTGACAGGAATGAGTTGGAAAATGTTCAGGGTCTAGTGGTACTTGAGATTGATGTTGGGTTCACAGCGTAATTAGATGTACCCCTCTTCTTATTTCCCTCTTATTGCCCTCCTATTGCCCTCTTATTGCCCTCTTATTTCCCTCTTATTTCCCTCTTATTCCCCTCTTATTTCCCTCTTATTTCCCTATTTAATCACGTGCCAACAATCCCCATCCTCTACTGGAATTACTTTTACCGCCCCTTTACCCATCCCGTCTCTCACTGCAGGAGGGAAAAAAAGAAATTCCCAAAAATCCCCAAATTTAAGTTTCGCCCTAGTGGACCTAATGCAGCAACGAAGCGAGAATTGGCTGCTTCGCCCCAATTCGAGATTCGTGTCGTGGATTTCGCCAACTATACTACATTTGGACTAGCGTAATGGAGATTCTCGATGTCTTATCGGATAGGGGCGATGTCTTATCGCTGACACGTTGGCTTGTTTAGCATGTGATACTGGCGATATGCATGTGCCAGTGCAAGTGGGATAGACTGGAAGTTACAGTAATATGCATGTCCAGCTGAAAAGATGCTGCAGAAGAGGATTTCGTTTCCCTTTCCCTTTTTTATGGTTTGTATCTCCGAATACATGGTGGTGCGGCTCTCTTCACCATGCGATTTGACATATATACTGGCGTCAATAGGGGCTGGGGCTGTGAGATGTGGTGGGGTAGCGTGGTAGTACTACTATATCTTGCTCCCAGGTTACAGCCAGCGGCTGCTAATCAAGGTCCCATACGTACTGTGGCAGGACACAAGCACGATGACAGTATAAAATTCAATCTCAAAAACTAAATACATAAAACCGGCTACCCGAGTATCCCCATCTCTCGTTGCCCACACCATATATCCAAAGAAAGCAAATAAATACCAATGAAACACATCCATCCCATCACCCAATCTCCCCCCTGTCATTCGTTGCTCCCCTGGAATCTGGTTGAATCTGCTGTCGATTGATTCTCTGATATCTGCTTGGATCTGTTCGTTGATCCTCTACGGAGGTGTTGTTCATAAGTTTTGTGAGTGGGTCGGGCTAGGGCCCCCTGCGTAGGCTGGTTTGGCAATTCTGGCCAAAGTACCGATTCTCACGCGTCACGAACACTTGAGTGTGAGAGCAATCAATTCTGTAGAATAATGAGTAGAGTAGATACCTAAACCCCTATATAAAACTATACTATAAGCCTAGTACTCTGTGTGCATACCATTTGCAGCAATTACTGCTGCCATACGTGTAGGCATACTATTAAGGAGAGCATTAAGCTCAGCTTCTCCAACTTGCTCCCATGCTTCCTTAACAGCTACACGGAGCTGGTCGTAGGACATATGTTCTGGATGATTATCTTGTAGATAATTCTTCATAATATGCCACACCCGTTCAATTGGGTTGAGATCTGGTGAATACGGGGGCCATTCTATAGGGCAAATACCACGGGATCTCAACTCTTCATATGTTGCACCTGCTCTATGACCTGGAGCTCCATCTTGCATCAATGTAAGGCCTGGGTATAGGCGTAGCCAGCCGTGGATTAGAGGGACAGTATGAGCCATATAGGACTCAGCTCCTATTTTCCCATATTCCTTCTCCCAAAATAGTATAGGACCCTTTCCAAGACCACCTGAGAAGCAGCCCCAGAACATCCAACCTCTAGGGATTGTTAGTAAATCCTATAGTAAATAGGAGTCTCTTACCTTCTCCGTTGTACTCTATCTACAACACATGTATCATCCCACATTTCCCCTGCTTTTCGAGTAACCCATGTACGAGTATGGCGGCCTCCCGTTACCCACTGTCATACTGACATTCGTTGCACTCAGTTTGCTATCAAACTCAAGAGCAAACTTAGAAATCTCCTCCTCAAACCTACAAGTCACCATACATATCTTGGCTTATCACACCAACAACAGAAACAATACTACTCAACGATTGCTGCAAACTCTTCTACTACATCTGTTTATGCTACATACATCACGGCATATCATTTGGACACTCATTGAACAAGTTATTAAGAAAATCTCCTCCTTAAGGGGGTGGGCCAATACTACCACATGGCATATCTCTACCAACTAGAGGCCTAGAAACATGAACAATAGCTCTAGAAGCTTCTACAACCCTCTATGATTCATTACACGTCATCGCTCCTTAGTTACCCACAAGATTGGTTAAGTTATGACATAATTTGTCTATAGGTACTCTGACCTTGGACCTCCTTTTCACTTCCTATAGGCTAGGAACCCAAGAGATGGTTCTATGGGATTCTCTTACGTTCACTACATGATTAGCAAGCTAGTTGTGGGTCGCACTTGATTTCTAATACATTTACCAAGCCTGGTTAGTCATGGAAAGTCATGGAAAATGAGAGAACTACACTCCTTTGGCATAAATAGGATTGCCCTTTCCTTAAGAAAGGGCAAGCAGACAATACAGTAAATCGACTAGCACATACTTCTACGTCTTTTCCAAGCTTCCAAGCATTGATCTTGTTATTCTCTGTTTTTGAAAAGTCAGTGAGGTGCTAACCTCTGACTTACCCCTGAGTTCCCAGACTCAACATTTGTTGCAACTTGTCTGAACCACTTCACTACATCACACACCTGATTGCTGCGTTGTGGAATAGTCTAAGCTACAACCCTTTGGCTCTGTTTCCTAAGACAGTGTGTTGTCTTAGTAAAATCATCCCTTCCTTGGGTGGCTAGATTCTCACATCTGGTGCACCCACCATTATGTAACGCTGACTTCTAAACGATAGAAGACACAGAGGTTCTCTTGCGTAAAGGTTTACTTATCAGAGGAGGCAGGGGATCAGACACAAAGGCTTCAAGTAACACGTTACTAGTATATAACAAATACTGTATTGAGTTGAGCACGAAGCTCCTATCTAAGGAAATACTACCTACTTATATAGTGGCGTCGTGCCTAGTGGACTCTTGGGAACTCACTCGAGTCCTCGGAGTCCTGGACTCTTAGGACTCTTCTCATCATCCTGCGAGTCCATCACGTGCCTAGTGGACTCCTGGGAACTCACTCGAGTCCTCGGAGTCCTGGACTCTTAGGACTCTTCTCATCATCCTGCGAGTCCGTCACGTGATACTTTCGGAACTACTATTCCCCGCTGCCCCTCCAGGTACCAGGGCCAGTCTCATGCGACCTCCCTCCTTCCTGTCCTGTAGTTGGCCAGCCTTCTTGTTCCGTCGTAACACTCGCTCCCTTCCCCTGGGCATTCGTCTCGAATCCTATAAGTACGTCCATGTCCCCGGGACTCTGCTGCTCCTCAGCGAGTCCTTCAACATGCAACATGCCTACTGACACTGCCCGCAAACTCCAGGAACGCAACGATCTTGTCCGTCGAATAAAGAACCACGGATACGAACTACCCGAAATGGATTCTTGCTCGAACTGCGTGAGGCGAAACATTACTTGCGTGTCGTCTCCAAATGATTCACGGCGGTGCGCCGAGTGCGTTCGTCGCAACTTGAAAGAAAAGTGTGACTGTATGGGTCCTGAGCATCCCGACTGGGTGAAGCTCGAACGGGAGGAGGATCGCCTGGATCGCGAAGAGGAAGAAACCCTTTCGAAGTTACTTCGTCTGCGGAAGCAGAAACGCCTCATCCGAACCCGTGGTAAAGATATGCTCCGGCGAGGTTTGAAAACCCTCGACGAGCTTGATGCGGCAGAGGAGGCTGAACGTGTGGCTGCTGAGAAGCGTGACGCTGTTGAGGCCGAGGAACAGGCAGTTAGCGCTGCCTCCTCGTCTGTGACTGGGACCCCCGCTTCCTCCGATCCACTGGCCTACTCCCCTGCATCTTGGGATCAATGGCTGGCGGATGGCGGCGTCGATATTCCTCCAGCAGTTCCTTGCTGATGTTCCTTGTTGGTTCCCACGAATTATCCGTAGGTTCGTAATTTTCCCATTTTATCAAAAACTCTTCTCGACGTCCTACTAACCTTCTGTCTAGGATCGCTTCGACCTCATATTCGATTATCTCATTCTCGGGTTGGAGTTCGGTGTCGGTCGCAATTGGGGTATTTCTCTTGCTGGTTCCAGTAGTGAGACATGAAATACCGGGTGTAGTCTAGACTTCCTGGGTAGCTGCAGTCTGTAATTAACTGAGCTGACTTTGTTCAATATTTTGAATGGTCCCAATTTCTTGAAGTCCAACTTTGTGCTTGGTCGTTTCGTTTTGATATGTTTCCGGAGTAGGTATACTTTATCCCCCTCCTTGAAGGCAGGTTCCATACTGCGCTTCTTGTTTGCGTATGCGGCGGATCGTTCATTTAAGAATTGGATGTCCGTCGCAAGTTGTTCATGGAACGATTTCAGTTGTTCCACCACGATCAGGGCTTGTTCAGCTCGTGATTCATCCGGTCTTGGTTGCCTATATGCTTCTGGCTGGTAGCCATAATTGGCAAAG